AAAGAAAATATGAGAAAATGGATTAGGTTGTATCAATATTTAGTATCTCATTAGTGACATTATTGAACGTTAATTATGTTATAATTAGGGTTTTTTCACACTGCGATATGGCCAAGTACAGTTACATCAGAACGACGTGTCCTGCTTGACCAGATGGCATTAACTGCGACCCACTTTATGAAGGCCTCCTCCACCGATGCCCATTTAAGGCTTTAATCACTACGAGTTACGCAAGCCACTATGTATGTGAAACTTATCGTAAAACAGGACAATAATGTTGGTTTTTACGAAAATTTATGTTTCGGGTACACGCTACAAGGAATGTTGTTTGCACAATTTTCTGAAACAGATATGATACTATCGTTTGACATTGCTAAAGTATTTACAGAAAGTAAAGTATTGTCATAATTAACGCCGACTTTAAACGATATTGCAAATTAGCTTGGCATTGGAATAATATAATAAAAAATCTGGATAGCATAATCTTAATATCTCTCGACCACTTAGTAAGAACAGTTTTACTACATTCTTAAATTGGATATTGACAAAAATATTTACTCAATTTTAATTTAACCTTTATTGACAGCTGAAGCACAAAGCTTTGTCTCGGACAGTCTTGCGACATAAATCGTGCTCAAAGAAAATCTTAAAAGCGCCAACAATTTATCGCGATAAGAAGGTCAGTGCGGGACTTAAGGTAAGAAACGAGTTTCACGCTGTGAGCGACCAAAATCTTGAAGTCTGAATTGACGCTGATTGCACTCCATAACAGTTTTAAATTAATCAATGCTATCAATCTGCACCTAAATTTTCCATGATTTTATATTACCAATTGCACAATATTCCTGCGAACCTTAGCATCGAAAACAAACCTCTGGTCAAGAATAAAAAAGCTCATAATTGCTTGCGTGGCCTCTAGTACTCAGTTCGCAATTTTGTCTTAGGTAGATGCCGTTGGACATATGGCAGCTAAAACGTACCCATTTATGGAGTGGACATATGGAATCAAGTCGTGCTGTTACATTGACGAGGTCGTCCATACATGGTACAACGTTAGTTTTTTATATGGGACAATAGTGTTATTTGACAAATGACGGGCATATTTCAATGTGCCCGAAACGGATAAGAAACACAATCCATAAATATAACAAAGAAAAAAGGAAAATTTGAAAAAAACCAAATGGTTTGATATAAAATGAAAAATATTAAAAACAAGATAAACTGTGAAAATATCTCATGACCATCTGAAGGAAAAAAAATTAACATGATTAATATATAAAATGAATATATAATAATCTAAAATAACTCTTAGCAATTGAATGTAAGTGAAACATGGCTGACGCACAAACCGTGCAGGCCCAGAAATGGGGAAAGAAAGAAATTTAACAAAATTGTAATCTAAATTTAACATATTTGATATTCGAAATAAACCCCACTGAAGGTCATGATGCTGCATCAGAGTAATTATCAATATCAATACATTAATAAACGTCCATTCACAAGTCATATCATTCCAATTTATTGACCACAAAGAGTCTTTTGTCTCATGTTACAAATGGAATAAAATACTTAATTATCTATGTAAAATATCATTGGACAAAGACAAACTAATTATACGGACTACTACGATAATTGGCTCACGGGATTTTGGACCTTGGTGAAATTAGATATGAATTGAAATCTAATGTAAATCGCTAATAATGGTAAGGTCAAGATACGGATGGGTATGTGCTTTGTTCTGCAGTTCACTGCGTTAATGACTGTAGACAGTTATAAAATTTCGTTCAGGTGTGGAAAGGACTTATTACAATAACATGACACACGAAGACCTGTTTGAAGATGTTTTAAAACATAAGCCGATATGCAAAGCTTTTCAGCTGGTACAAATACATACATACATATATATATATATATATACTAGCTGCCCCGGCGAACTTTGTTTTTCCATAATGTGATTTTACTTAGCCTACCTTTTTAGTACATACCAACATGGACATTTTGCTATGCTACCCCAGACAGTGTTCGGTTTTCTGGAATGAAAACTTTTTAGGTTTTACTGTGAATTTTTCCCTAAAATTAAGGGTTGTATGTATTTTTGTATGCTGTATCATAAAAAAATATTTATTTAGGGGTGGACCACGCAAGGGGTTGGAAAGATAAATAGTAGCCGATTCTCAGACTTACTCGGAAAATTTCATAAGAATCGGTAGTATGGGAACAACATTGTGACACGAGAATTTTTTATATTAGAAGATGTATTTTTGACACAAAATCTTCTCAACGTATACCTTGTGTGAAACACACAACGATTTGAACTCCTGTGAATAAATAAGGCCATTGTCACGAACTTCTGTTTCCCGTCTTACACGAAGGTACAGATATAATCAGCAGTTGGTATTTAATACAAACACGACCGTCACTTCACGTTCTTGTGAAACTTCTATGTATTGAAAATGGAAGACTAGCCTATAAAGAGGTTTCACAAGCTTGCTTACATAAGCTACAGAGGCAAATTAATAAATGGCAACTGCAGTCTCTTAAACATGTATGAAAATTAACTCGTGTCACACGAACCTGCTTTATTATAATGGCAATGTTTAAAATAAATCGCTTTTAGAGCTTTGGTTTGGTCCCTGTGGTTCAGTTTTGGTAGTATTATAAACCATCATTGTGGTAACTGAACAACTATCACGTTTAGCCATTATTATATACTTCAACTCAACTTAGTATACAATATAAGCAATACATAAAAACGTTTTTGCCAAGTGCACAGCAGGTTCTTGGCAATATCAATGTAAATCGCATCAATTTAAATCAAAATCAAGGACCCAAGACTGGGTGCCGTCGGGAGCATTACTTTACCTGATTAATTTTCTTTGTTTCTCACGTCTGAAGCATCATTTACTAAAACTTATCATAGGAGACCAATTAAAGACCAGTTTTCTCTTTTTGTCGTCGTAGTTTCGGTTGTGTTAGTAATTGATCAATATCAAATTAACAAAGATTAGAAATACTTTTTCAGTCTTCTTTAACACTATATAGGGGAGGTGTCTTTGATTTTCTTATTTGGTGATTACGTCAAGAGTATCTAATTATTACTTTTTTACATATATTACCCACAATTGTCTATGCTTGAAAACGAAATGCACTATCGATGATTCCTACAAAAGATTAATACGTTTATAATTTTTGAGAGCTTTGCTTACTTTTGCTGATAAGAGGTAGGGGGGGGGGATACAAATTGCAGTATATATATGGTCAAAGTTTTAGTATTTTCAATATTTATATGTTAAGAGAATAGACGTCGTATATAACTTGAAACATAATACCTCCGTAAAGTTGCGAGAAAAGTCAGTACTCATGTGTTTACTCAAGTAAAATTGATCGTGAGTTCAAGAGAGTCCGAAACTATTACCTCAGATTGCATTCTTTACTTATCTCGGGCTCAATTTATTAATATTGACACATTGCACTCGCAAACGTGTTGTAAATTATTTATTATCAATGCTGCTCGAGGTTCCTACAACTTGCAGTAAAACTACCTAATCTTAACATAGATTTTATACATAACGTTATTTTATAATATCCGGTTTTTGTTTTACCACTGAAATTGTTACTTTGTAATATCTCAAGATAATTAAGATTCAGGTTGATTGCCCCATCCTTTTAAATCGCTTCAAAAACTCAAAGTTCTGCACCGATCGAGCTGGTTTTTTTTCCCCCAAGTATTGCAAAATTAAACTTATATGAAATATTTTCTTTGTTTTGTTTATCATTTCTCAATCATTCAATCACAATGTGCCACAGCGAAGCGTGGCAGGGAACAGCTAGTAAATCATGTTATATAGAAAATAAACGCTTATATCGCAAGCTTCGTGCAGAACACGAAAACAATAATGAACAACATGAGAGCAAGACGCTAATATTGAACCGATAAATGACATCATCAGGCTCAAAATACCTCTGGACTATTCCGCACACAATAAAATACGTTACGTTTGAGGATATTCTCGTGACTTGGGGCCAACAACATTTCAATGGCGACGAGTTGACATAGGTGAATTTTAAACCTCTTATCAATGTTGCTTACAATCGTACAACAATTACGTCGCTATCACCTTCATTATTAAATATTTTAAAGTTATTTCCATCACCATATTGTGTACTTTACGCGAGCATCTGTTTTCAATTAGACTACAAAGTGCAGTATTGAACGGTGCAATCGGCGCATCCTTTAGTATCCGCAGGACTAGCAAATGTTCTCCGCAGTGCGGGAGATGATACATTCCGTTCCGCAGTACACTATATCTATTTTATTTTATATCGTATTTACTACAAAGTCGCCCAAATTGCTACGGAGATTCTATGACATTTAAAGTGTGTAAAACTAAATTCTAACAATAGTTTAATAAATTTTCGGTAACTCACGCTTTGTCGTATCGTATGAATGGTATTGTACTGCTTGGTCAACGTATGCAGCATACATTGATTGAGTTAAGAATTCGTCCTACAAGAAAGAAATTACATACAAGTCAAGATGACTTAAACTTAATTTGTAGGAAAATAACACTTCGTGTCGACAAATTTAGTTTTCAACTTTCTACATACACTGTTAAGGCATCTTGTCTAAGCCCCCTGCACTGCAACCCTCCCCTACACTCAAAGAGAAAAAAATACGTTTAGATGAAACCACGCAAAAGCAATACAGAAGTGTCCTTTACGAACAATTTCGAGCACATCTCAAAATGCTTTATTTCCCCTTACTCCTTTACGTCATACATGCGTATCCGTTGATGCCAACATTCTGAAAGTTTCATTTGACCCCGCCGCCTCGGTTCCGTCTGGGCCGCCCTCCGCACTCGAGGGACGTACCCTCAGTACTCCACGTCCTAACTTCAGCGATAATTGTTTGCGATATTGCGTTTAGAATCCCTAATTTTAACTCAAACTATTGATATGTCTATGTAAAATCGTTTAGTATTTTTCTTTATCTCTCATCGTTATGGGTCATGTTGGGGTCTGGAGACTAGCTTTAAGGGATTAGGAATCTAAGGATTAAATTTATAAACTATTGGTTAAAAAAATATATTTAAATTCCTAAGGACATGTTTGAATTTGAGACGTATGATATTCAAGAATCAAGCTCAAGATCTGATAAGCGTTATCACAACGCGTTGGGGTTTATCGTCCGCTAAACAATCGCATGCCGAGTTCCACAGATAGCCGGTTCTATTTTGATCGACCCACGCGGACCACTAGCCATTAATTATTACAAATTTCATTCATTGCTTCAGGCGTCATCAAATTCTTATTAACAATACAATATCGTGTCACTTAATATTTAATTAATACTGATCTAATACTATGGTAAGTGCTTCAGTGGTTTTTCTTTATATTACAACACCTCAGTATCAAAACCTATTACGAGTTACGAGTCGTTAACTCTACTAGCAATTTAAATCAAACAAAACCTTTATATGGACCTTCATAGGTATCCCTAAATATTAACTATGGTTACTCATATAGTAATGATATTAAATGTACGCTTGATATATAAACTGTTTTTACGAGATAGTTCCTCTGGGCGGATATGTGTAATTTTAGCCTTTACACTGGTAACACTGCGTAAACACGTGGGCTCATTCAACTTTCTTGATTATAAGCAGTTTCTTCAAATTTAAATCACTTTGGTACTTTAAAACTAAGTTAACATAATAAGTTTTAAAGTCGTCGTCTCAATTAAGACTTAAGCTGTTTTTAATTTAACAAGTTAGAAGAGATCCAATTTAGGGAGAAATTGTTGGTGAGTTTTGTTTGTGGTATAGCAGTTTGTCTGATTAGATAAAGGCATAAATACTAACAGTATATTAGTAGCTTCAAGTCACAAGATATGAGTACAGTAAAATGTCGTGTCGAATAACACCTGTATCAGCAAAATCAATGATATTTGAAACTATATCCCACAGTAATATCCTATATACATTATCAGTAGAGCAATATTCAATTTTCAAAATCGTATAGACAAATTCATTCAGGGTTACATATCCCAGCATTCGTGGCTAAAGAATAATTAATTAACAACGCGTTAACAAGACTAAACATCTGATTAAGTTCTGCACAAGTACCAGGGCGGGAGAACATCTGCGGAGGTTAAGCGCGGCGCATATTCGCGTGGGCCGTCACTCGTCAGCCACCCTTCCCCCCACCGTCCCGCACGGGTCGACGACCGTTGAAGCCGATTCGGCCGACGGCGCGCCTCACCTTGACATTCATCTCGGGCACGCTTTGACCAACGCTTGAATTAACCCTCACAAATCAAAACGTTCTAATATTGAACCTTTAATTGTATATAACAAGGGCTGAGATAAGTCAAAAGCATGTAAATAGGTTTTAATCGGAAAACATTCGATTGGAGAATATGAATCAGCGTCTGCATGTAACAAATGAAATTGAGATGAAACAACCTAATTAACACCAAATCGCCCTGCCAAAGTACCGACAATAAATAAGTTATTTAGTAGAGCGTCAATAAACTCGACAACACATTGTAAGGATACAATTTACGAAACACGACTGTGGATTGTTGCCATTACCGTAATGTGGTGCCATGGAAAACATTGTGAAGCATGGCCTATTGTTTCAACATGACTCATGATGAAGAGTTATTGCTAACCCAAGACCTGACCAGAGGGAAATTCTTATAAATTGTAAGACAATATTGCACTTTCTTGAGTACCAACCAAGTACAAACTTTGTTTCCTATGTTATTATTTTAAAAACTTAAATTCATTCAGAATTTTTCATTTTACCTTTTCAGATATTGGAATAAAATAATAGCCAGCATAAACAATGTTTACTACATAACTTTAATGATCCAATCAAGTAGTTGAAATTCTTATCATGCTGATAGTTATGGATACTAATGTGTCATATATTTTTTTTCGAAAATTTAACGTTATTTTGGGCATATAGAATGCGCAGATATGTTTAAATACAATTAAGGCAACAATTGAATACAATTACACATATCCACACAATTATGGATTCAGAACTCCTTTGTAATTTATAAAAAAAATTTACTCATGTTATATTTTTAGGTATGATTTTATTACATATATGTGACAATTGATGTAATATTATACATGTATGAACTAAATGAGGGGACAAAGACATGCCACCAACATGAGTCATGAGTCAGCCACTGATAATGTGCAGAAATACAACTTACTTTTACGAAGTTCAAATAAAAATGATGTATTTACCTATTATAGGGAACCATATTCCGTCAAAATAATGAAGATAATAAACTCCAAATTAGAACTATTTAATTTACACTGTACTAAAGATCATTAAGAGTTTGTAAATTGCAACACAATCATCCATCAAGAGAAAATCAATTATTTCACAACCTAAAGCATAGCATACTCCATCCTAAGATTAATTGTCTTATTGAAGTACTGACAATTTATTTTAATGAATATTATACAATTATGAATGAGGCAATTAATACAATGGTTTCTTTAAGGTAGCCAATTAAATTGGACATAATTAAGTATATGCTTTTGGCCCATAGCTTAAACTGTTTTTATTTAGAAAGGTTTGTTAATGATTATTATCAAACTTAATTAAACCCCTGTTTCATGATAATCAATAATACATAGTTATTATTTTCTTGGTATTTTTTATTACTAAGTTATGGTTTTGGTATCTTTCCTAGTTAATGTTACCACACCCATAATTGTATTTTTTTTTAATTATGTCAGCTGAGACAGGTTAGACTTTCGCATTATAACAAAAATACTTTCAAATTAAATGTAAAAATTACTTTCAGATGTTCTGAAGTCCTTTGGCCATACTAATTACAAAGCTCCCAAAGAAAATATGCATACCTTATACAAGTGATACAATGGGCTCTTAGACCAAAAAGTTTGTTTAACCATGACATCACTTAAAACATGGCATGAATCATTCAACAAACCTGGGAAATGGCTTTTACATACAACTTACACATCAGGTCTTCATTAGACGGAGATCTTGTACTAATGATGTCCTTATGGATTATATAAAAGTTAAGAAATACCAAAACATGTCATGTACATGTAAAAGTTGAAGTAAATTTCTTGTTTAGTGTGTTTTACAAATTATAATCTGAGACAGCTAAATAGAATTTGCATAAAAAAATAACTTACATATATAAGTCCTGAGTAGTATCTGTCCTTGATGTTATGCAGCACCGATGCTTCATTGAGGCATGTTAGCTCAGCCATGTCCTCAACTTTGTCAAATTTAGGAGGGTTCATCTTCTGGATATCATCAATTGGCACCAGAATTCGCTTCCCGGACTCCGCGATTTCCACTTCCACTTCATCTCCGCGATCGCCTTTGATCCCTGCGGCCACAAATCCTTGGGTTTCATGCGGAACCCATACAAGCCGCTTTTGGGTCCATTCTGCCTGTGTTGCCGGGTCATTGAAACTGTTCCGATCCACCGACAGGTACCGGAGCTCCGGGTCGTTTCTATCCATATCCACCATCGCGCCCGATCACGCCGCGCGACCCTTACGATAACCTGATATCGGCACTGTATACCACATTAAACGGTCGCGCTGACCGACACTACACTCGCGTTGTTCGAAACAGCTTTATTCGTGCGCCGTAACCGCACGACACGTATAAAATGACGACTTTACAGACAGCAGTGAGCAGACCGATTACCGAATGACAGCAACGGTTTACGGAGGAGGGATGGACCGGTCGACGCCCGAATTTGTGTTTGCCGAAATTATACAACGCATAAATGGACGGATAGAGAAAGTATTATAATCTAATCACTATTTAGGGAAGTATTTGTAAAATGAAGATGTGAAATCCAAGTTCAATTAAATGCTCCAGAGATTATCATCAAGAAAATTCACAATTCACAAACATCTCCGTTCTCGTTTATACTTTTTACAAACGTCAGAGCAAAATGTCACGAATCGGTTCGGTCTGTTTATTGGCTGTTTGAAGTCTTTGAACATTGAAGAAATTCACAGATTACTTATCAATAGTATGGAACCATAGAACTCATATAAATTAAGCAAGAGGAACCAAACTTCATTAGCAAAGCCATCCTATACTAATGAAAATAAAACAATTTATGTCTTTGTGGAGTTTTTTATTTATTCTAGGCTAGTATCGGCCGGTATCGACCTATTTTTGTCGTCAAAAATAAAATCGCGTCGCGCGACAATTGCCATTTTTCGAGTCGTTGCTTTATTAAAGATTTTATCCAACAGTGACAAATTTCATAAATGACATGATGTCATTATGTAACTAATAACTTTATCACTTAACTGACTATCTATCACCCCATCCACACTCTCCACGAGGGGACGCGATTTCGAGAGAGTGGACCGTGAGCAAATGCCGACGGCGAACTAACTCTTGCGTTTGCTCACTTTGTTGTCAACAAAAAACAAGTTCAATATACAAGTCATTCCAATCACGTCCATCTTATCGTAAATGTAGCGAGCAACTAAATTAAGCAAGAGTGTGGATGGCTACTGCCTACTACTCGTGCCGCTGATACTCGACGAGGCGCCTTGCGAGAGTCAGGAACCAGCTTCACTTTTGATACGGTTTCAATCTATGATAATCTAATCTTCATAGTCTGTGATCATAATTCATAGACTATAGAATATACCCGCATCGTATAAAATAGTTATTAAGATATTTTAAGAGTATTTTTTATACTTTTACTTTATTTAAGTTTTTTAGTATTATCTTTTCATAGGTAATGACGAAATTTAATCAATTATTTATGAATTTATAAACAACTATATTTGTTGATAAAATACCCCTAATAGCCTAACCTAACTAGTAACTACGCGAACGGGCAGTTCCGTGACCGAGAAGCTAAACAGCCGGGGAGTTCTAGAACTGAATCTAGGACATAGGTCTGTGGGATTAAGCCTTACACTTTACAGCAGTTACAGCTTACACTTATGTAATATGTATACATACTTCAACACACATAAATATGCTTAAACTATTACAACTTTATCTTCATAAAATTTTCCTCAAATATATCTAAAATAAAATACTGACAAAGTACATCTCTTATCCATATTCTTATCACTTACATTCGTTACCGCCTTAGTTTTAAATACTTAGACGTCAAAACGGTAATATATAAAATAATGAAATCCATTTTGTTGGCAGTTGTTCTCCGCATTTTATCAGAGGTTGAGTAGTCTCTTAATCTTCTAAAATGGCCTACATAGTAGACTTAAGATCGGATTGCGTAACAAAACCAACTAAATCAATGAAGCATGCAATGGTTAATTCAGCATTGGGAGATGATGTATTTGGCGAAGATCCAACTGTAAACATGTTGGAGAGTAAAGTAGCAACTCTTTTAGGAAAACAGGCTGCTTTGTATGTGCCCAGTGGGACTATGTCTAACCTACTTGCTGGTGAGTTGATTAAAAGATTTATTATGAATAATGCTAGTTAAGTCATGTACCCCGCTGAGCTACAGGCAGACACATGGCACATAGCTAAAACATGTTGGATATGATATTATGTCCACATATTAATAGTAATGTATACAACCCTTTAATGATATTTAAAGAGAACCCACAAATCAATGAAATGTCTTTATTCCCATAAACAGCTATCAGTAGAAAGTTATTCATGTTAAATCTACAGACTACAACAAAAATAGAATAATAATATAGCTTTATAGAAATTGGTTTTCTTGATGATAAATGATACTAATATTACTACTACTAATTGGATTGATAGATTTCTGGATAATGTAATCAACCCAATTATCTTTACATATAAGAAATATTTTAATATTTTAAGGCAAAATATATTGAGCACATTACATTTTTAGGTAAAGTTATAAGGAACCAACTTCCAACCTTTGGAAGTGTTTAATTCCAGTGTGTATTCCATTCTTTTCAGTAATGGTGCACTGCAAAAAGCGAGGCTCAGAGGCTATTGTAGGAAATCTCTCTCACATTTACAAATATGAACAAGGTAATTGTACAGTAAGTAATTTAAATTTAATTATAATATTCTGTGTATGTGAGTATATACAATTTTTTATTATTATCTACTAGTCATGAATTCTTTATCAAAAACCTAGAAATAAAATATTTTTATTATATTTTAAGTGCATTATCAATAGTTGTAATTTGTAGATAAATCTAGTTTTTTTATAATATAAAATATTTAATTTATTTATTTGTATTTTTTGTATGTTACACCTTACTTCTAAAGTTTGTAAGCCCATCCAATCACCTTCTTTCTTCAACCAGTTTGTCAGTGACAGGAGTAGTTAATCATTGTTCAAAAACTACAGGAGGTGCAGCCCATTTAGCTGGTGTTCTGCTCAGTACAATACAAAACAAACCAGACGGTACCTTTGACCTATGTGAGCTTGAAAAGAAATTTCGTGGTGATGACATCCACGAACCAATCACGTCATTGGTTGCGATTGAAAATACACATAATAGCTGTGGTGGAAAGGTAAGGTGTAGATGAAGACTAAAATCCTGTTAATGTTTGCCATTATCTATGTGGGGTAAGGTTAACTGTCCATGTTGGAGCCTCAATAACCTTTATAAACTACTAAGACCTCAAGACTGCAACCTTACAAGCTTTTGCTTTTCAGTTACTTAAAATTTTGATTAATTGGACATTATCCGAAACAGGAATATGTATTACAATTTATGAGGTGCATGGGCATGTGTTTTTGTGTGCAACGATGGCTAACATTTGGTTTGCGCTTCTATTAATTTACTAAAATATATATAAATATGTAACTTAATTAACATTAGGTTACATAACTCGTGTTAGGTACAACGTAAAAACATGAATGTTTTCTCGATTAAACGATAAAATAATAAAAATAACAAAGAATGCACCAATTATTAAAGAAACCAAGTTTTTTAATATTAAATTCTTGATAAAAATATTATTAAAAAAAAAAACTTATTTAAGATTCTTCGTCTTTATGTTAGAAAAATTGTCATAAAGCTGTTTTGAGTCAACTTGATCATACTTCTATCAGGATCAAATCTGCTACATCCTCCTTCCAAGTTTCGGAGCCTCTCTTTTTAATGCATTATTGCAGCAACATTCTTATTATTAAATCGATTTCGATCGTGATTTTTTAATCCTATTCATATCGGAAAATATTCTTTCTACTTTGGCGTTTGACAAAGGTAGTATGGTCATTTGCTTCACAAATCAGGAAAAATTGCCATACTTTGGTTGCCTATTCGCATCACAGATTTGGCTGACTTCACTTCAATTTTTTTCCAAAATTTATTCACCATAAAAGTTTCGGACGTCGAACTAGACGTTAAACACGGAAACATCTAATTTTAATTCCCTATATTCATTGTCAACAATTTGCATGTTTTCTGTTTTTATCCGATATACCCCGCATTAATCCGATATGGAATCATATGGAAAGCGTGAATTCTACTAAAATAATACCAAATAGTTTTTACATAAATCCAGATATCAAAATACCAGTACCATAAAATCTACTTGCGATTTAGATAAGAGTGATATAGACACTCAAAACAATTATTTGCATTATAATTCGTGACCTTTACACTTCTTATCGCAAAACTATTTTTATTATAGTCGCTTTATTGTAAAGTATTGTGTTAATGGACGTATTCTTGACGCATTTGATATTCTTATTTCTTCATTTCGTGGTTTATAAATAGTATGCTTAGGATAGTAAGTCGATCGCCGGCGAAATAATCGGTTCTTCGTAGACAAAACATTTACCTTTATAATTATCAAATTAACCGCGGATATGTCTATTGATTGTGTGGTATAGAACTATAAACCGTTCCCAAAATGTTGTAGGAACCCATGTGTAACTTTCAATGGCCAAAATAATTATAATCCAGTGGCGACACAATTGTAATGGGTCCAATATTTAAATTACTGATTGATTTGTTTAAGTCGTTTATTTTTGCGTTCTCAGACAGACCGATTTTTTCGAGATGGTTTCTTTTACCGAATGAGCATGTGGTTATTACGCCTTTAAAAAAATTATACGCCGTATTCAACGAATAGCGATTCGAATCGGACGTCAAGGCAGAATACAAAATACCATCTTTCGACGTCCGTCGTTCCCCAACTGAGCGTTTTCTAAGGCATTTTTTGCCGCGCACCATCGCTATGTGGAACCAGCTACCCACTGAAGTATTTCCGAACCAATTCGACTTAGGGTCCTTCAGAAGAAAACAGCATACCAATTCTTGAAAGGCCGGTAACGCTCTTGCGGGCACTCTATCACTGAACATCAGGTAAGCCTCCTGCCCGTTTGCCTCCTATTACATTAAAAATACACTGCATGGTCACGGTAACAAAGATTAGTGTGACAGTATTGAGATTTCCATTCAGGTGCTTCCCTTAGAATGGGTCGACAAGTTATCAGAAATATGCAAGAAACATTCTATCCCGTTGCACATGGATGGAGCGAGAATGATGAATGCCAGTATAGCATTAAAGGAACCACCTTCGAGGCTGGTTCAGGGGTGTGACAGCATCTCCATCTGCTTCAGCAAAGGTCTCTCTGCTCCGGTTGGGTCATGCCTAGTCGGTTCTTATCATTTTATTGAACAGTAAGTTTATTTTTGTTATAAATTTTATATTATATTTATTTCAAGACTATTAGCCAAAGTAAAATGTTGTTTTATATGTTCGTCTGTTTCATTTATATTTTTATAGGTGATGACTTTATAATATACACCAACCAATAATTTAATCAAATATTAGACAATTATTTAACCGGAAATCGAACAAGGGACTTACGAAAACGCTTTAATTTTATATTTTTTAAATCAGTGAATTTATTTTGTTTATTTAAGACTTAAATGTATAGTCTATTCAAATAATTAGGTCCAACTCTTCGTTCGTGTCGATCTTCAGATAGCGCAATCAACTAATTGGTAATTTTGTAGATTTTATGTACTCTTTTCGAATTTGCTCCTGCCAAAACGTGAATTAGAAACTTTGCGGTGATCGTACGCCTAAACTTTATGAAGAAAAAAAGTATAATACATAATTTGTAGTTTTAAATAACGGTTTTTATTGTAAAACGAGTCGGAAAGGAAATATTGCCATAATAAATGCTTCCAGGCGCATTTTTCCAATATGGCGGCTTGAGCGGCAAAAATACGAAGTGGTAAAGTCGAAATTTGAAAAATGTACATCTATATCTATAAAATTAAAAACTAAACTTTCCAGGTATAACTACCAAATTATTAAAACATCTAATTTATTGAGCGACATCATATTAAATACAAGAAAAAAAAGAGAATGATTTGAATAGTTCATAAATGAATTTTAGAGCTCGCCGCCTCCGCAAGATGCTTGGGGGAGGAATGCGGCAAGCGGGAGTTATAGCTGCAGCGGCGGTGGTCGCTTTGGACGAAGTCATGCCGCTCTTGGAGTTCGACCACAAGCGAGCGCAGATATTGGCTAAGAGTATGTACTTTTTACAGATAAAAAAAATTACCAGTTTTGCTTGTATGTGTATGTGCCCAAACGCAAGACCAAGAGAGACTTAGGCCAGTCTGGTATTGGTCTCGGTCAATAACGGTCTTGATCTTGGTATTGGCTCTCAGTTGGTTTGGTTTGATTTGGAGAGTCTCGCAAGACTTGCAAATACCTATTAGCATATTATTGAAAGTAGTTTAGATTTAGATTATGATTCGTGTAAGACGTATGTAGGTTGATTCTGTAGCTACATACGTCTTGACAAGTGTTTTTTAATCAACAATCTAGCCCTAGCCTGCGAAAAAAAAAAAAAAAGGGGGGGGGGGGGGGGGGTTTCCCCCCCCCCCCGGGCAAAAAAAAAGAGGTGCGTGTGTGTAGTTTAGAACTAGTTCCGGGGGGGGGGGGGGGGGGGGGGGGGGGGGGAAAAAGGGGGGGGGGGGGGGGGGGGGGGTGGAGATTTCATTAAAGTGTGCGTAGGTACATTTTTTAGGCAATTGGCGCGCTTTGCTACGTAGGGGTACAGTCGTTAAAGTAGTGTGTAAGTTACAAGGGGGCAACAAATTGTATTCCTAGAAAAATAGGGGAAAATAACGACGATTATTTTTATTATTTATTAGATTAGAGTAGGTACGATAGAAGTTGGTAAATCGACACTGGGAAATAATTTTTGGAAGTGTGTGATTTTAAAACAAAATGCGATAAATGGGCGGAACCCATCCAATTTTGCAATGCAATGTCCTTTAAAAAAGGTATAATAGGTAATAACTAATAATAATATAAACTATATTTTTATTGCTTACAACAATTTTTTAATATCTGCCTATCCTTACGACTACAATCTTCCTTGCGAGGACAACATAATCTATTTGTGACCGTTCTGAGCACCCGGAAACTTATTTTATTCTTTTTGGGGAATGGGGGGGGGCGGCGGCCTTTGACATCAAAGCAGGCTGGCGGGGGACACAAAGTCTAGGGGGGGAAATGAAATTTTTACCTATTTTGGTAGGTTGTCAATGTTGGCATTAGCACAGAAAAATAAAATTAAGTAAACACAACGTTTATCAACTTTTAATAACTAGGTATCCACGATAGAATATTTTTTCTACTAATTTTAAGTACTCCTCTAAATATATTTTTCAATAATTTGTGTGTGTAATGAATGGTAAACTCTAAATCTTACTTGAGAGCTTTTTTTAAAATAAACTTATGGAAAGCATGACATGGCATAAACACTTTTCAATTATGCTGCGAAATATACTATCTATCATTCACCGATATTAACAATGATTATTTCGAAATCAAAATATTCGCAATTCAATAGATGCAATACCTACTTAGTTATTAATTATCATCTCGCCCGTCAGCTTTAAATACAAGAAACTCAGAGCATTCAATGTATACCTACCTACTGTGAGATATCTTCAAGATCATTTAATTTTATCCTAAAAAAAAAAAAAAAAAAAAAAAAAACCCCTTCCAACCCACCAAATTGGTGTATTTTTGGGGGGGGCGGGGGGGGGGGGGGGGGGGGGGGGGGGGGGGGGGGAAAGGGGGGGAAAAGGCTGTGATACACTCGTTGCAAACCGGGGGGGCGGCCTCTTTGTCGGTAAATAATCAAATAAGTAGGTATATAATACATCGACCGACCAACAGCTTATTCGCAGAACGTCACATTTTCCCAATCAACCTTGAACCTTTATTCTTTAGCGATAAAGGTGAAAATCTGTTAAAGAAATTTGACAGATTGTAGTAGCTTGATGTGCTGGCGTCTGTACCATAATATTGGCTGTCGTAAAACTGTTACTAGACCTACTCGACTCGCTGTTAGTTTTAAATTTTGCTAAATAGAAGAATAATATAAACTTTGAAACATAAGTAGGTACCTACATAATGTTTATATAATTTTGTTGGTATAATTTTAAGCACATACCCAACCTTCGAGTACTAACGTTAGATCTGCACAAATAGACATAAACAAGCATAATATATTATTATAGGTTAGTTGATACCTACAAGGTAGAGATAGGAGATCTTTGCTAGAAAGTTATTCTGGGGGGAAATTTTATCACATGGGGGGGGATGATGGTAACAGATTTGTGTGAATAACACGCTACCTATATTAATAAATTGTCGTAATATATCTTATTCCCTACTTAATCAATACAATACCTTTCAGTGTTCTTTCAGACGAGCGGGGCACGTTTATGTTATGACAAAATGTTTTAAACTGGGGGGGGGAAAAAAAAAAAGGGGGGAAAAAAAAAAAAACCATTAAAAAACCCCCAAATCCCGGTTTTTCTTAACTCAAAGACGCAAGAGTCTTGCAGGCTTTAGTATTGTCTTGCTCATCTCTTGAGGCTTAGTTTGGTCTTGGTATTGCTACAATAAGGCGGTATTGGTCTTGCGGAAACGCAAGAACAAGACCAAGACCAAGACCGATTTTGGGCAACACTCTTGTATGTGTAGGATATAATAATAATCGGAAGCTAATAGGGGTAGATTCTACGCAAAGTGACTATTTTAAAACTATTTGTATGAGAGCTGTTAAACGCAAAAAATTACAATATTCTTAACCTCAATAGTAATAATATCTAATAATTATAAATCGATAAATATAAAATTTAAAAAGTTTGGTCCCTGTGGCACTTGTACCTTTAAGTGCGATACATATTCGTTTAGCGAGGAAAGTACCAGCTCTGGGGTCACCGGTACTATCTACCAGGCGCCAACTTACATCTTTAATTAGCGCCTGTGCACTTCATGCAAATTCAAACAGGAAACAGTAAAAGTCAAAATCGATTCAATAGGTAATTTTTAACTTTTTAAGTATTTGAACTTGGTTTATTTTTTTCGTAGAAGTAACTATTAGGTTGAAAAAGCTTCAGCTATTTCTGGTTTATAAATCTATGGGGTTGCGAGTTTAAAAAATAAACGATTTTGTAACAGCTATTCACGGCCTGCAGCTGAAGAACTTCTTAATAGATGTGTCAGGAGTCCATACTAACATTGTCATGGTGAATATATCTAAAGATATTCCGCTTCAGGCTGAACAACTGGTGCAAAGATTGCAGCAGGTCTCCTTGGATGAGACGCAGGTACTTCAATTGATTATAAACATTTTATTAATCTCCACATTGTGATCATAATTAAAATATAATCTTGATGTGTATTATCATTTTCGAATAATATTTCAATTCGAGGGGGGGGGGGGGGGGTTTCTCCCCCAAAAAAAAAAAATTTTTTTTTTTTTATTTTCCTTCCCCCTTGTAATTTTTTAAAAAGGGGTTTGGGGGGGGAGGGGACAAGAAACTTTAAATATAAAGTAAAGAAGATTCTTTGTAGAAGATTCTACTGCATTATTTTAAATAATCCTGTGGAACAGCCATAAAAGGCAGCTACCGCAGCCCTTAGACACTTTTGAAAAAGCTTATATTTTTTAATAGGGCGACTGCAAAACTTCGAACGACGAAGGCGTTATTGTAAAAGCTGTGAGTTTTTCCGATAAAATAATGCGGTTATGCTTGCATGCGGACATAACTGATGAAGAATTGTGGATGGCCATCATGAAGATTACTTTTGTCTTTAAACAGTTGGACGCACATTACAGCACTAAGTAGGTTTATGAGGAACAGTTAAATCAACTAATCACGGACAATAATTGCTCAATATTAATTTGCCTATGTTAAATTACTATTTTTATTTGTATCCATGGAAAAGAATAAAATATATCCATAGAAATTTGTTTACAAAGCAAATAGCTACTTTTACTGTGACTAGTTGCAATTATTTTATTTTGAATATCTTGACGCATTGGTTTAATTGTAAGAATTAATAACTCGAATGTTTAACTAAATACTTTATTGACAAAGTATGATTTCAATTATAATCCTAACTTGAAATGTGGCAATTAGCTAGTAAATATAATAATGTAATAATTGATCTATGTAAAAAGCATTTGCAGTAAATAGAAAGGACTGACGGAAAATACTACAAAATACTTTGTGATTTTTTCTTGTCTTTACCATTTATCAGACCTTATAATCAATTACTATAATTCCTGATAACAATCATATGTTTAGAATTAAATATAAATTGTAATATATTTTTGTGAATTATGTTTTGTCTGGATGTCATTATTGTGATGTATATATTTGTTATGATTAATATGTTTAATAAATGTTATTATATATTTAATAGTTTTATTACACTATGTTGCAAGATACAAAATAAGATAAATTTATTCCTAAAAATAATGGTTACATAAAATTATAAATAATAGAATATACAAATAATTATTATGAGATGAGGTCGTCCATAAATTATTCAACTTAAACAACTAAACAAGTACATGTTTAATTTTGTCTTATCCTATTATGCTTAGATAGCTTTCAATGTGTATTTTGCTCATTCCACACTTTAAGCAACTCATTCTTATTATTATATCCATGAGATGCAATCACATTTTTATATCCATCTCTTGTGTATGTCTTCTTATAAAAATGGAACTGCGGGCAATGTACTGGTTTTATCCCAACTTTCTTAGCTACTATCGCCAAATAAATGTCATCAAACCGAAAATGCTTGACATATAAACTACCAGCATATAAGTACTTCATTGACTTATTTGTGACCACAAAAGCCCCAGCAGTCACATAAGGTGGCCATCTGTCCCATGGGTATTCATCTAGAGAAACTCTCCATTTACTTGAATGGTAACGCTGAGGTGCCGATTTAAAAACATAACCAGCAAACAACTGTCTATCTCCCTCTGACTCACTGTGGACATAATCTAATAAATTCTTCACAGAGATATACATATCATCATCTGTAAAGAGATAGTAATCAGAAGTAGAACAGTGCTCATACAACCATCTGAATGCCATCATAGTTTTTATAGTATTATTGAAATATGTGTCAAGAAAATCTATTTGTATTATATCTTTGTATTTAGCCATTTCTTCATCTATCTGATGTTGAGTCATTGACTTTGGTGATTCACCTACACCAAGGAAGAAAAGGGTTTTGATCTCTTTTCCAGGTAGAATTCCTTCTCTGCCAAATGTTTGACGTATTGCAGATCTTTGTTCAAAGTGATTCATGGCCGACTTAACGATAATAAAAAGATCTAAGCGGTCTAATGTAGAACATTTTCCTGAATTAGTCAAAAACCTGTATGGATAGTAGTTAATAGGTTTAACACTGGGCTTTTTACCAGATAAGATTTTCTCTACTATTGGTTGGACGTCAACATTAAGTGGATAATCAAAATTGTTTACATAGCTTCTGCTAAATATATAGTCACTAACACCAAAGAAGTAGTAAATGTATATTAATACACATGAACACACACACAACTGGTAATAGCGTTTTCTTCTCATTGTAAGATTTTTCAAGTTTCTGAAAATGGATATGTATTTTTTTTTTGATAAGTAGCAAAATTTGCTAAAATGGAAAAAATTAATAAAATCTTTTATTGCCCCACATTTAACTTAGATAACAATTTTTCTTATAACAAAAGTTATGCTCTAATGCCTAAACTGGCTTTAAGCCCTAACACCAAGTAGATTACAAAGAATTGCAGTATATTAATCAATAAAAAAATCATTTTTTTTAAATACATACCTTTCAGCTTATAATGATGTGTCTACTGTAGAGCTAATTGAGACTGGAGGCAGGTAATGATTACGAATAAGACTGTGGAGACGAGCAACTTCACCGTCAACACTCTCCAACTCACGCACCATTTGAGTGAATTGTACTATACCTAAAAATTTATGGTTATAACTATTGATGACTAGATACAGAAATATATAAGGCTCTTTATTGTAGTTAACATTACCTTCCCTAGAACTAGTGAATCCATGACGCTTGATAGTTTCCATTTTTATTTGTACTACCATTGGAAAAACTAGTTGCATCATTTTTAACATTTCATTACCAGCAGCTTCTTTCGCTTCATCCAATTTGGATGAGTACTCAGGCGATTCCAAGGTATTAACTATTTCATCGAGAATAGCTCTCATTTGTTCCACCGAAATATTTTGGGGTGATGCCATTGCCTAAATTTCTTCATGTGATAAAGTCTATCTAAATTGGAACAATAATTAAAGATTCTAAAATTTTGTGAGTTTGTGACACTGAAATAACTGAATTAATCACAAATTTACATAAAAGTTGTCTTCTCGATTTCGAATTCGGAATTCGGAGAAGTACACACACACAGAACACTATTGTCTATTACTTCTAGCGAGAAGCGAGAAGTATAAGCGATAAAATACAAATTAATAGTTTAGAATTCTACTTAATTCACAGATTCCTTTGAAGTGAGGGGATGTGACATTCTGCATAAAAAATAGATTTTTTATTAATCGATTATTTTTTTAGCATGAAAAATCGATTAACAAATAATCGTTTTTTTAAAAAAATAATCGATTTTTTTATTAATCGATTTTTTCCTAATTTCAAAATAAACACCCTAAATATTTTATTTTTCATAGTTTTTTAAATAATAAACAATAGAAATTATAAACACAAATTAACGTTTAAGAATAATCAAAATCGAAATTAACTTAATCTCGTTTTGATAGATTTTAGGTGAAAAAATGCTGAGTGTATTCCTTTTCAGTAGCACATTGCAGTATTTTTGTTGTCTTTTTAATTGTATGTAGTCTTGTGCTGCTGAATAAATTTATTTTACTTTTAAATTATAGTGTTCCATTCAAACTTGAGTTTTTGTAAAATTAATTTATCTATATATCTTTTATCATCCTTTTGATGTTTTACAAAAAAAAATCAATGTATCGAGTATATCAATACATCTTCAAAGAATCGGATTCAATGTATCGCATTGTAAACATCGTTGTGTATCGAATATACCTAATAGTTCGAGGTCCGGGTTATAAAAGACCAGACATAATTTCGGGAGGTGGCAGATAAAAAATCGATTATGACTGATTTTCAATTATAAAAATAATCGATTATTTTAAATATAAAAATCGCGTAAAAAATCGATTTTTACTTTTAAAAAAATCGATTAAAATCGATTTTTTTAATAATCGATTATTTTTTCACATCCCTAAACAGAGCCATAATCACGTTACTTGACGACGGACACGTTTTCACTGAAGCTCCGTAAACTAAGTACTGACATGTAGTAAATTCAATGACTGACGCAATACTGTATCACTGATACTGAACTGAGCGGACACGTTGAAGGAACTGTGGCTTCACTGATATATGTGAATCAGCCTAATGATATAAGTTTAAGAGTAGTTTTCTGAAGAAATCTATTAACACAAATGAATAAGAAAACTTTAAATTAATAGCGTTCTCTAAGCCCTTATACATCTTCACAAACTTTCAAGAATTGGTACACTTCTTTCTTCAAGGGTAAGTCTGATAATATATGTAGAAAGTTTATCTGGTTAAAAAATATTTACATCATACTAGTGTCACTGCTTTTGAACCCTGGTGATATACAATTAGATAAGGAGCTAGGCAGTCTTTGTCGGGGGCTGGGAGTTATTTGTAGGAAATCGTCGTCTTCACCGTCAAATTTGCGTTTTAAACTCTTGAACTGGGTTTCGTCGTCACCTTTTGTCAACCAGTCCTTATACTCCACGCATAGCGGCCATATTTTTTTACCTGATCTGGAGTACAAAAACATATACTATAATTTTAAATTGAGATTTGAATCGATCAATAACACATTCAACACATAATTAAGTTAAGATTTTGAATTCTATAAAAAATTATATACTGCTCAAAACAATTAGCGGAACAAGATTTTTCTCCTTTCTATTGCTTAAACTAAAATTAGATTTAAATTAACTTGTACGCTATTTTTTACCTTGTTAATTTGTTAATTACTACAATTAATAAAAAAATTCAATTTGTATTTTTTTTATTAAAAAAAAATTAAAATGTGCATTGAAGACGAAAAACTAATTGGTGATAAAAAAGGTCCATCAAAGAAATATTCTTATATCGTTTGAATATTCGTCTTTAGTGACTTTCAGTAACGTGTGTGGCCTCCATGAGCCCTAATCACGGCTTGACAACGACGCGGCATGCTTCGTATGATCCTCCGAATATCTTCTTGTGGAATTCGCTCCCATTCTTCAATCAACGCTTCAGTGAGCTGCTGCAGTGTTTTAGGTGCAATCGGACGCTTCCGGATGCCCTGTCAAGCAAGTCCCAAATGTGTTCAATTGGATTTAGGTCAGGGCTCATGGAAGGCCACTCCATTACACGGATTTCCTGCTGTCGTAAGTAATCTGACGTGATGGCTGCAGTATGCGGCCTGGCATTATCTTGCATTAAAAGAAAATCTGGGTCCATACCATGTGCTGCGGGCCAAACATGATCTTCGAGCACATTTTCAATGTTAGTTTGGGCACACAAGCGCCCGGGAACAACGACGAGATCTGTGCGCTCGTCCAAACTAACTCCGCCCCAAACCATCACAGAGCCACATCCAAATTTGTCATATTCCTGGACTGCTGCTGCACTGTATCGCTCGCCTGGGCGTCTGTAAACACGGAGACGACCATCGCAACGTGTTAGACGGAATCGTGATTCGTCAGTAAAAAGCACTGGCCTCCAATGTCGAAGTTGCCAATTAGCGTGATTTTGCGCGAACTGTCGGCGAGCTTGTCTATGTTGAATTGTTAGACGCACAGCCCGAACTGGTCGGCGTGATCTCAAATTGGCTTCCAACAACCTATTTCTTACCGTCTGGTCGGAAATTTCTACACCAGTAGCCGTCCTTAGTGTATTTTGTAGATCTCTTGCAGTTGTGGTGCGGTTACGTAAAGCACAGTTGACGATGTAGCGATCTTGCAAACGTGTAGTTTTTCTCTTTCGACCTTGACCACGCCTTCGTGAGTATTCTCCCGTCTCACGGTATCGCTTCCAAAGTCTGTAGATAACAGAAGGGGCTACTCCTAGATCATTTCCTACATAACGCATAGTTCGACCCTCTTCAAGCAAAGCGATAGCTCGGGAGACATGCAATTCAGTCAGATCTGGCATTATGACCTAAACTCACTCGCTTCAATGAATAACAATACTCAAAAGGCTCACTTCTATTTCTATTAATACTCAAAAGATTGAAAAAAAACTACTTAAAATGTGTTTTCTGTGATTAGAAAGTAATGAAAATTCAAAGACGTCACTTTGTTTTTCGTCTACAATGCACATTTTAATTTTTTTTTAATAAAAAAAATACAAATTGATTTTTTTTATTAATTGTTGTAATTAACAAATTAACAAGGTAAAAAATAGCGTACAAGTTAATTTAAATCTAATTTTAGTTTAAGCAATAGAAAGGAGAAAAATCTTGTTCCGCTAATTGTTTTGAGCAGTATATTATTTTAGAATATTATACTTACATTGGTAAAGTGTATGGATCATACGGGAACCACTCATCATATTGCACAGCATTATGTAAGGAGAACCGAAGATTTTTCTCAATGATAGACTGGCAGTAGACCACCTGGTGAGATCTGGTGACTGATGCGAAGGCCTGGGTCACTTGTGGAGGACATGTCCGCAAAGGGTTTAAAGGACAGGTTACTAGACGGGGAAGGTTCAGGGACTCGACGAAATTTAAACCTGAAATCATTAGATACAATATGTAGATTTTCAATGATTTGGAACACAAATTACTTTTAATAATATATAGATTACTAGCAGACCGGCCAAGCGTTGCTGTGGCTAAGGTTTTTGTTATATTACATAGTAAAACTATTCAAGGGAAACGGTAGGAGAACACCAGTCATGGGGAACACCAGTCATGGGGACCACCATGCTTTTTTGGTGGTTATGCCATTAAATTGTAGCTTATGTGAAACGTTGGTACTTTCAACACAGCGCCATGTGTTAGAATTGTGACTATCAAATAATAAACAAATATTTTGCAATGAAATAATATTGCGGGTATAAATTGAGATGTAAGCTATCCTATCTTTTAAGTTGGATCAAACTACACACGGTGTGAAAATTTAATTGATATCGGTTCGGTAGTTTAAGATTCCATAGCGGACAAACAACGTGACTCGCTGTAAATTACACCCATTTTAACTTTTGTAAATAATTAGTAGACAACTTCTACTACCCAATATTGTAATATTTTACTAAAATAAAACTTTATTTTCAATTTAATTTAATATATGTTAGTGCAAATCTGATGCGAAATTAAAATCTCATAAAACTAACTTAGCTCTTTCACCACATATTCAAAAACCATCTGGGAGTCATTTTGGATAAAGACTTATTACCCTTAAAATAAAAGTAGATATCATTTAATACCAAGATAAAATTAAACAAATTACTTCTTACAACTGAATAATATAGTTTCAGGTTTTCTGGCCCCATTAGGTTCAAATTAAATTTTTAATTAGTTAAATAATAACACTTACATTCTTTACTCATAAATAGATGATGGTTCTTGAAGGCAACAAGATAAAATATCGCGTGACAGACTGCATGGAAGGCACCGTGTACTTTAGTGTTGTCGTGAGCGGAGGTCTCTTGCGTTGCTGTTATGTACCTGAAATTATAATGTATGATATTTGATTCCATTACTTTTTTATTAACACCATATCTATATTTTGTATATCATAAATTGCTGTAAATATATTTTTTACGTTATATTAATACTTGGGCATTTCATTAAAAATGTGGTTATGTCTTGTATTATATTGAGATTTCACTTAATTTTAAATTTCAAAAAAATTGCAGGTTCCTATAAATTAAAGTCCACATAAACAAGAATTTAACAACTGGATATTTAAATTAGGATTTTTCAACTTTGATCATATTTCAAACAATATTATTTACATGCTTAATAGGGATATTATTAAAAAACTGATATGTTTTCTCATAATTAGTACTCACCCGTGACACCAATCTGCCATAGTCTTTAAATAGTCTATTAGTCTACTATTAGGAACTCTCACACATCTTGCAAGAAGACCTGCTAAGTGACTGGCAGCAGTCTTACGTGTGGTTAAGGCACCAGGCCCTAATCCGTGGAGACCAGCTGTTATTGTCCACAAGTTATTAAATATCCTATCAGCACACTGCTGATTTATTGATATAGTGTATAGTAGCAGGAATTGGACATATCTGAAATATTATTCAAACTATTACTGAAGTATCAAGCTTATTTATCTTTGGTTATCTGCAAGGAATTTTCTCTTAGCAATAAGATAGCCAATTTACATCCATAGTTTGAGTTTTGTGATATTATTATGTAAATAAAGTGTTTATTATTAACAATATACTCGAGCAGTGTTGGCCTAGTAGCTTCATCGTCCGACTCTCATACCTGAGGTCGTAGGTTCGATCCCTGGCTCGGCGCATTTAACATATGCTCGAACGGTGAAGTAAAACATCGTGAGGAAACCGACATGTCTTAGACCCAAAAAGTCGACGGCGTTTGTCAGGTACTGGAGGCTGATCACCTACTTGCCTATTAGATTTAAAAATGATCATGAAACAGTTTCAGAAATCTGAGGCCAAGATCTAAAGAGGTTGTAGCGCCACTGATTTATTTATTATTTATACTGCAGCCATAATATAATTGATCAATTAATGTAATGTATTTCTTGTGAGGGAGCTAAGAACAGAAAACGTAATATTTTATATTACATATATTTTTAAATTTTATTTTATATTTACAATTAAAAAATAATAAATATCAGTAGAGAACACTGACTAACAAAACTTTCTAAATACTTTGTTCTATACATTAAATATTTTGACTATTCCATAATATGAATAATGGTAAGATGGTGAATGATGGTGTGTTTAATCTAACATATATAGGTGTGGACCAAAATAAAATGCAACTCACCGAATGCCATAAGTAGGAAGCACAACCCTTTCAAACACATTACACAGTACCTATACGCTTTACACTTCCGGGAATAATATTATTAAATTTGTTCTGCTTTAAAAAATTGCCAAATGTTATTGGATGGAGAATGGTCCCGTCGTCAGGTGAACTTTGAATACGTTGAACATGTATTAAATAAGGGGAAACATCGGTAGAAACATATTCAGTACGGCCAATCGAACGGGGGTCCGTATTGGTTACTGAAGCTGTGGTGTTGTTTGAATTTCCCGCGTTAGAGTCTTGAGAGATATTTGAATTTTCCGTGTAAGATGTTGATGGTCGAGAGGATGTGCTATGTGAATTATTATTATTTTGCAAGTGTGGAGATGACGTGGATTGAGATATAGGTTTTGAAGTAACCTTTTAATTAAAATTGACTCATCTTCTACATTGCATAGGCTTTCGCACTGACAGTAATCACCGCTAGAACCACTACCTTTCTTTTTCTTAATTTTCGTACATTGCCGACAAAGGCGCAAATAACGTGTTCGTTTACGAGTTCCTTCACCTGTTTGAGATGATACCGAACAATCGGTATCCATTTTGTCAAATTCATCTTGTGAACCAACAGATACATTTGATCCCACAGGGAGATTCAAGCCAACAAGGCCATCATCCCCCGACCTTGATCGGGGGGCTTGTTCATACAATATTTACAGAAATTACAAAAACTTACCGACTACACGATGACACTATACACAAATATGATATAAAGATTACATATAATACAAAAATTAAAACTACCAGCTTATCCTCTGCGTTTTAACTAGTAAAATTAAATTAAATATTCACCACCGTGAAAAAAACGTCTACCATGAACGAAGTTTCCCGCGCTTTTTTTCTTACCCCTAGTTTCTAGTCAATTAGTATTATTAAGAATTAATAATATAAGTTATCTGTTAAAATTTGTCAAGTCTGTCATCTGTATGATAAAATACATCTAGTTCATACTTCATAGTATGAAGTATGAACTTCATACATCATATAGTCATTAGTCATTACTCAATACTCATACTGATTGCCGAAAGCATAAACATTATGTATTATTTATCTTTTAGTTTGTTTTTTTTATATATACTAAATCCATGAGGACACTCATAAAATTTGTAAACACTAACATACTTATTATGCGCACTAAGTTGCTCGATTGGTTCCTTTGGTAACTTTCTCTTAAAATAAATACGAAACAGCAAAGTTGTATTAAATTTTATTGAGAAAAACAATTAAATCCTTAACTATTTCAATATTATACTATCTTATCTAAATTGAATTGTAATCAAGTAATCCATCAAAGTGATGCTTTTAGTATTTCCCGTTTTGATTATAACTAAATAACTCTTTTGTGAAACAAAGAAAGTGGTAATTATTTATTCATCAGCTTTTAGAGTGCTATTGCATAAGGCAAACAATATTTAAGATATATTATCTTAACAGAAATTATAATTATGGAAGATCAAGTTGAAGATATTGAATTAAGGCCTGCAACTGTATCCCGAAACCTGACTACCAAAAATAATGTAGCTCGTCAAGTTGCCATCAACTTCATGCCTTCGCGCCAAGCACCATATAGTAAGTATAAATTAAATATAGATTTACAAATAAATAGTTGGCACTGTGTAAGATACATCTTTCAACTGTACTTCCTATTCACTACTTGAGAATTAATGAAGATCAAAAGGGCAAATTAATGCCAGGCAAATTAAAGGCTGGAATGAATGGTATAAAAATAAAAAGGATTTCAACAATTTTAACAGAACCAAGACCAAAATCTCCTAACTTAATTGTAATGCATGAGACGGTATGATTCAGTCTGAACTTTGGTACTGATGAGATAACAAGGTCTAATTAAGTTAATAGAATGCTTATTTTTTCTCTTATAATTATTGTAGTTGTGGTTGTCCAGTTAACATTGTGGTATATTAAAAAAATGTTTTATCCAAGTACAAGCAAGTTAAATGGAGGTATGGTTACTTATTCTTCACACTAGTAAAAAACTTACTTATTGGACAAAAATAATAATTTTCAAATAAAATCATTTACTCTGCTAATCCTTTGATACTAGTATATAAACCTGTGTTTGAGGCATAGTTCTAGGAATTTTAACTGGATGGTGCAATTACTATATTTGTTCAGCAATTCAGTATCTGATTAGTTTAAAATTCATATCTATAAATGTTATGCTTCCATGACGTGCCCAAATATTTTTTAGGTTTTATAATCATTTAGTAAAACTAATGAATAAGTCTGAGTAAAACTATTACTGTATTATATAGATTTTCAAATTAATGTTGAATTTTTTTGAATTATGAAGATACATTACGCTTGAGGAGAGTGAACAGTGAGAACAATGCACTATTAGATGCAGTGGCATCTGATACCCCAGATGCGGCTAATAAACAAGCCGATATCATTGTACGGGAGATGGAACTACATACGCATTTAATGCAAGATGATCCTGTGTCTGAGGAACTTAGAAGGTACCATTGATTTAAACAATTCTAATGATTAAAACAATTTTTATGTATGTTTGTCGTTAGTGTTTATTACTATTATTATTGATTTATGCAATATTTAAAATGGGTATCGTTATAAAGTTCCTTCAATGTGTGGAAATGTAGCTAGCCTTGCCAGGCATAGTCATTCTCATATTTAATTGGCAGACGAAATCATACATATTTTCAAAGTCACATCACTGTTTGTTAAATTTTGTATTTTTATCTAATCAGTCTTCAGCTTCTTCGCTACTGTCATTCTCTCTCTTGTTGTCTCACTAGTGTAATACACAATCAATTTATAAAAAAGATTTAGTATAATATGTATATAAAATTCTCGTGTTACAATGTTCGTTCCCATACTGCTCCGAAACAGCTCACCCAGTTCTTATGAAATTTTTTATGCACATTCAGTAAGTCTGAGAATTGGCTACTATCTATCTTTCAAACCCCTAAATGTTAAGGATGGTATACAGCATACAAAAATACATACAACCCTTAATTTTCACGCCTCTCTGATCAACCCCTATTCTTTATTTGTTAATTAAAATCTAGCGGGTAGGCGCAAGTTGAATATCGAGTCCTCACAAAATAACCAATTAAAAATAAAAATAAGTGAGAATACACAATAAAAAGTAAATATCGAACTGAACCAGGAGAAGATATACCACAGGCAAACGTATCTGCCTCATTATTAGTGTAAAAAATAGAAAATTTTCACGTTTTAATTTGTGTTATTGCAACGGTGACTTTTCGTTTTGACTAAAACAATTAAAAGTGCGTGTACAAATCTAGTGCCAGTGACTTGGAACAAAGATCAGTCAATTTTTGTTGATATTACTACAAAAAGAAGAAAAAACTACGACTTTGTAACAGTGATGTTAAACGGATATACGTGACTTGCGGCGACCTAGTATTACATTAGTCACTCCTTGTAAACGTCACTCAAGAAAGAAACTGTTCAAGTAATTCGTTCTCCGCGTCATACAGTATCTCGGCGTCGCAGATAAGCCGTGTTCCTGATTTACATTTGTATTGGCCCGAGTTCAAACCTGAACACGGAATATTGAAACTTCAATTATTTTTGTTTTTATAATTTTATTTGAAGATATCTAATCTATTTCTAACGGATAGATTATAAAGGGAAAAATAATTCGGTAAGGAATTAAATATAAAATAAAAGAGGAAGGTAAAAAAAAAAAATTAGAAACAACATTTCAAAGTATGGACAAAAAAGAAATGGGATACCTTATAGAATCGATACACCAAAAGCTGTGCGAAAAGTTGGCAGATCAGACGAGAATTATAACAGAAAGTGTAACAAAGTCCGTCGTAAGCAGTATAAATGTGAAGTTAGCAGAACTAACAAAAGAAAACAAGAAACTTAAATCGGAGATCGTCGTTCTAAAAGACAAAGTAAAATTCCTTGAAGATGGGAAAAGGAAAATTAATTTAGTATTTTTTGGCATAAATGAAAACCAACAAGAAGAACCTAACCTGCTTACACACATGCTGAAGTTGATAAATAATTCAACTGGTTTATCCTTGGACCCTAAAGAGCTAAGCTCAGCTTATAGACTAGGCAAAAAGAGTGAAAATCCTCGCCCAGTCCTCGTTAACTTCACTAGCCTTTGGAGAAAATACGAAAAATGGAAACAAACTCCCATCTAACATGTATGTAAAAGAAGATTTTTCCAAAGAAGTATTAGAAAAAAGAAAACTATTACAAACCGAACTAAAAGCTGAACGTGCTAAAGGGAAAACTTGCCACATTATAAAAGATAAGCTAGTTATATACGAGAATAAGCGTGAGAAATCTGAAAAAAGAAAGAGAAACTTCTCAGAATCTCCGAAACAATATCAACAACATCAACCTCAATCAACAAGTAAAAAAATAAACTTACTTGATTACTACGAAGCGCATGGCTCGAATTCAACGCCAAAACAACAAAAAAACTAGTATGCGCCACTGACCGCTCGAACCAACATAATTCTTCTTTCAAATGCAACAACAAAAGACAAAACGCACTAACCACCCCAAGCCGGCTGGTCACGGTGGATATATTGAAAACTGCAACAGACTTCTATAGAAACCTCTACTCACTAGAGACTGATAATACCTCACAGAATTCAGTAAATCTTGAACAAGACGAAGAAGAGGTACCTAAATTTCTCCTTTCAGAAACGGAGCATGCTATCAAAAGCCTAAAAAATGGAAAAGCGCCTGGACCGGATCACATAACTAATGAGATGATCAAAGTATCATCAGCAGCACCAGGGAACTTAAGAAAACTTACTGAACTATTCAACACCATACTAAAAACGGAATACATACCTTCTCAATGGACGAAGAACATAATTACACTGCTCCACAAAAAGGGTGACAGGAACATCATAGAAAACTATAGACCTATAAGCCTTATGTCCAACATGTACATATAAAGTTTTCTCCAAAATGATCCTGCGAAGAATAACGAAGGCAATGGACGAACAACAACCCATGGAACAAGCTGGATTCAGATCCGGATTCTCAACTGTGGATCATATATACATTATACATGTTATAAAACAGCTAATACAAAAGTGCAAAGAATACGGAAAAGCATTATACATCGCTTTTGTAGACTACAGTAAAGCATTCGACTCTATAAAACACGATTCCCTCTGGAGAGCCTTAATACAACAAGGAATACCAAAAAAATACATACGTATAATTAGAAATATACAGGGTGTCCCAAAAGTCGACGTCAAGTCGAAATTTTCTTATAGGTAATGCCACACCAGTTATCAGAAAAATTAAAAAAAAAGTTAAGTCATGTATTATTGAAGTTATGGAAATTTTCCTTTTATTCCAGAAAATGTACACCATGTGACAGTTTTTTCATTCCTGTTGTTACAAATATTTACTTTTTGCCAAATTTATTTCTCTTACGTCATCCCGAATAGTGCTTTATGTAACCTATGATCCTAAACCCTGTGCCGATCACTCCAACTTGTAGGAAAATGTCATTTTATACCGTACCAAGTTTTCAAAATTAATGTTTCGCACTAGTTCAACTGATCGTCCTGAAAAAAAAATGTACTACTCCAGTTTGGCAAGCTTTAAAAGTTCGCGCATTTAATAAGGATTCTAATGTGGTATAATATTACTTCATTATTTCTTAGATCGGCCATAAAATTTTTTTTTGTTAAACAAAGTCTGTTTTTTAAAAATTTCTCTGGAATTACAAAAAACTATTCTAGTGTACCCAAAGCGTTCCTAATAACCACAGCGTGGTTTAAATAAGATGGCGTAAAGTGTGAGCGAGACAGATAGTGACGCTACTTATTACTATTGACACATGCACTACAGGTCAGTACGCAACGCTCCTTCCTTTACTACGCATCTTTTCGTATTGGCTGGTGTTATTTTGTGTTCTAACTACTTTGGCTTCGTTTACGGACTTGTTTGCTTGTGATTTGGATTTTACATTTATGATCTACGACGACCTTTACTTTTCCCTGGACTTACGTGTTATTGTGTATTTGTACCATACCATGGCTACGTACACTACACAGGAATATGCTAACATGCACCTCATTTATGGGGAATGTTTATGTAATGCCAGTGAAGCCGCTAGACGGTATCGCGAGAGATACCCTAATGCAGATCGCTATCCGGATCACAGAGTTTTTACCAATGTGCACCGCCTACTGTTCTCTGAGGGCCGACTGCCAAACCAAGTGCAAGGTAGAATTTCACTACCCTACGAGGCAGTTGTCCTTCAAGCAGTTGATGAGGACCCAAGTTGTTCGGTACGTGGAATTGAGGCCAGCACAGGTGTGCCCAAAAGTACAGCTCACCGAATCCTACAAAAAAATGATCCATGATTCCATCCATTTCATGTACAGCGAGTACAATCCTTATTACCTCGAGATTATGAACCTCGGGTTGCTTTTTGCCAAACAATAATTCAAAAACACCGAGAAGACCCACAATTCTTAGAAAAAATTTTATGGTCGGATGAATCAACTTTTAAAAAAGACGGCTACATGAACCTACACAATCTGCACGAGTGGCACGTCGAAAATCCACGATTGATGAGACCAGACAGATCACAGTACCGTTTCAAAGTTAACATGTGGACTGGAATTTTGAACGGAAAAGTCATAGGGCCTTTTGAGTTACCAGAAGTTTTAAATGCTGAAATTTATTTAGATTTCTTACAAAATCATTTGCCCAATTTGCTGGAGGACGTGCCGCTTACTATTTTACTATACCACTGTAGAATCCTTATTAAATGCGCTAACTTTTAAAGCTACTTGCCAAACTGGAGTAATACATTTTTTTTTCAGGACGATCAGTTGAAGTAGTGCGAAAATTAAAGTTGGAGTGATCAGCACAGAGTTTAGGATCATAGGTTACATAAAACACTATTCGGGATGACGTAAGAGAAAAAAAATTGGCAAAAAGTAAATATTTGTAACAACAGGAATGAAAATGCTGTCACATGGTGTGCATTTTCTGGAATAACAAAAAATATGCATAACTTCAAAAATACATGACTTTTTTTTTTTTAAATTTTTCTGATAACTGGTGTGGCATTACCTATGAGAAAATTTCGACTTGACGTCGACTTTTGGGACACCCTGTATATACAAGTAGCACGGCTTATATCAAACTAGAGACGACGGGTGACGAATTTCCTATAGCCAGGGGTGTGAGACAGGGCGATCCTTTGTTCTCTCTTCTCAGCCATTTTGGAGAGTTTATTTAGAAATTTGGAATGGGATAATGTCGGCATAAACATAAACGGCAGACAACTGAACCACCTAAGATTCGCAGACGATTTAGTGATCATTTCAGATAACGCAAAGACGCTTCAAACTATGCTGCAACAGCTGACAGAAGCAAGCAAGATAGTTGGGCTTTCTATGAACAAATCTAAAACGAAAATAATGACAAATAGAGAAACTATTATGATACAAATAGGAGGAGATGCTATCGAATATGTAGATCACTACGTATATTTAGGGCAAATAATATCATTTCATGACCAAATGGATCTTGAGATAGAAAGAAGAGTGTCTTGCGCCTGGAAGAGATTTTGGTCACTCAAGGAAGTACTTAAAAGTAAAGACTTCCCAATAGTAGCTAAGAAAAAGGTCTTAGCTATCTATAAAATCTATGTATCCTACCATGTGTTACATACGCCTGCGAGACTTTGGCTTTATCTCAGAAACATCTTCCAAAGTTGAGAACATGCCAAAGAGGCCAAAGAGGAATGGAAAGAAGCATGGTGGGTGTAACACTGAGACATCGAAAAAGAGCAGAAGAGATGATCAACGACCAAAGTAGAAGACATTATAAAGAAAATAAGGCAGTTGAAATGGCGCTGGACTGGGCACATGACGAGAGATAGCAGGTTGAAATGGACAAAAATAATTACAGAATGGCAACCACGTGATGGAAAAAGGAAACGAGGAAGACCGACCAAGAGATGGGCAGACGATATTAAGATAATAGGAGGCACAACTTGGACAAGAAGAGCTAATATCAGAAAAGAATGGAAACAGCTGGAAGAGGCCTACGTGTCACAGGACACGCTGAATAAAACGGGTCAAGTGACGTATTAGATTAAGTTTTATTTATGTATTAGGATTAAGTGTTTTTTTATGTAACTTAAATAATTGTTATTACATTGTACTGGGTGTCAGCAATAAAGGCTAATGAATGAATGAATAATTAAAATCTTATGACTTGAATTCTAATGTTTATATAAAGGAAAATTCACAGAAAAAACATAAAAAGTTTTCATTTCAGAAAACTGAACATAACAAAATGTTCCATGTTGGTATGTACTAAAAAGGTAGGCTAAGTAAAATCACATAAAGGAGAAACGAAGTTCTCGGGGGCAGCTAGTTTTCTTGTATAAGTATAATTCTTAATGGCAAATATATATATATATATATATATATATATATATATATATATAATAGTTATAAATTACTTCTTAATCATTGAAACTTTTACATTTTAAGGGAGGCCTTACGGGATCTTCCTCAGGGATTGACAATGAAACGAAACGTGAGAGCAAAACTTTCGGCCTCTGTCAGTTTGCGCTCAAAGAGGAAACCAATTTCTGTATTCAAGAGATTCAAGTACCGTCTCAGTTTCGTATGGAAACGGGTAATTTAAATATTATTTTTTATTTTATTATTTTTTTTTAATTTTGAAGGTTTTAGCTTTCTTAAGGATTTTCCTAAACAACACTTCTACATAAACATTTCTTAAGTCGGAAACACACTTACGTGTCGTGGCGTGTCGTGACGCGCCAGAAGCAGATTGGTTTCATACATTTAATATGATTAGAAACATATTTGCATGTTGTGTCGTGTCGCAACACGTTCTGTCTAATCATACTAAAATATGCTTCTGGCGCGTCACGACACGCCACGACACGTAAGTGTGTTTCCGACTTTAACCATATCCTATCCGGCTCAATTGTCACTTTTGTAATTCATGAAATACATGTATTTTTTATTCTATTGTAATTCATGAACCGTAACGATAAATAGTTTTGGTAATTGTAAAATTTTTCTATTGTTACTAGTATTTTTATTATTGTTGATTTAGTTACGCGCCTCTTGCACTTTAGCCTTCATATATCTTTATTTATTTATTTATTTTTATTTATTAACACTTCGTTGCATATACATTAATATAGTACAATTGACATAATTAAATAAAAAGGAGAGCAACTGGCGGCCTTATCGCTTTCGAGCGATCTCTTCCAGGCAACCACTGTGAGAAAAAAAAAGTATTAAATTACATAAGATAGGCAAGAAGTGCAAAAATACATGTATTACATTTAGTTGTTTAGAAAAAGAAACTAAACAGGAACAAAAAACAAACTAAACTAATAAAGAATACATGAAAAAAAAAAAAAAAAAAAGTGCACATGAATCATTATAATTTAATTTCAGAATTTGATTTAAGATCAGTCTCACGACAGTTGGTAGGTACCTATTATTAAAGTTAGGGATACGATGTAGACAGGTAATGTTTGTACAGAAGAAATTAAAAGGAAGATAGAGATTTTTAGTTATTTTCCTTACTAGGGTTGCCTGGAAGAGATTGCTTGTTAGCGATAAGGCTGCCCTTTGCACACCTATTCATTTATGTTACTTGTTTGTAATTGTTATGTAACTACTAAATAAATAAACTGGTTCTTGGTTCCAGAATTAATCATAGACTATAGTGTTATTATAAAATTAACTTTCATTTTTTATATCATAAATGTTAATTACCTAAAATATAAATGATGAAGTTGGTTAGTTTCCATTGCCAGTTCTTCAGCCCTTAAACTATTTTAGAATTTACTCCTATCTTTACAAAAAAGTGATTAATTAATAATAGCATTCTCAGACTCAGAGAATTTGCAGTTAAATTATATACAGTTTGTTATAACTTGTGTTTACTAAGAGGAACTATTCATATTAGTTTACACTAATAGTATCTGGTACATATGAATTTTCACTTATGGCTATTCTTTTTAAATGCTGGCACATTAATGTAATTTGTGAATGGAGGATGTCAAATTATTCAGCCGCCCATAGACACTAACATTACCAAAGGGCTTACAAGTTATGGCCTTTGATAAATAAAATAATAATAACAATTAGACTCATAGAATACCTAGGTAAGGAGTCTTGGCCTAGTAGCTTTAGCGTGCGACTCTCATCCCTGAGTTTGTAGGTTCGATCCCTGGCTGTGCACCGATGGACTTTCTTTCTATGTGCGCATTTAACATTCACTCAAATGGTGAAGGAAAACATCGTGAGAAAACCGGCTTGCCTTAGACCCAAAAAGTCGACGGCGTGTGCGGTGTGTCAGGCACAGGAGGCTGAACACCTACTTGCCTATTAGATTGACAAATGATCATGAAACAGATTCAGAAATCTGAGGCCCACCCCTATTTTTTTTAATTTAGAATACCTATTGGTTATTGACATAAATGAATACAATTACAGACTCGTGAACGTTTTCGTGACCTAATCTTCTCAATACAACTGTGGTATGAGCCGATACGCACCATCGAAGGCCATTTGGGTACAGCGGTTGGGTCGTACTTTCATCTTCTGCGCTGGCTTTTCAGCCTGAATCTGCTGTTGAGTGGATTGGTGGTTTGCTTTTTAGTAGTGCCTCAAGTGCTTCATGATCATAGTAACTCTACGGCTACTGATTTTCACTGGTTGGATTTCATCAGTGGTAAGGTGAGAATTAGTTATTGTTGATCAGTAACGTTCCTAGTATTATATACTTTTAATTTAAATAATACTTCCTTGGAAAAATGATTGATGTTTTTGCGGCGTTATTAAGATTTTGATAGATAAAATCATCGATAACAATTGTTACTTGATTAAACGGTTTCCCACGTCACATATAATCTCAAATATACAAATAAAATAATAAAAACAAAAATCTTTTACTCATATAGGTAACACAATGTACATTATGAACGTCAAAAAAGAAATACATATTAAATGCTTCTAATTTTACATTTACTGCCAGTTATCAAACTAAGGGCACAGAACCGAAGAGAAGAACTGACAATAAACGTTCCGCCACTATTTCTAATCGCCAAGTTTTTTGTTTTACAAAATGTTTGTAACCATTACACATGACTTCTTAAGTAATTAGTAATAATAATATAAATTAAAAACAAAGATTTGTCCTATATCAGCAGGAGGCATGGTGAAATTACACAGTAACACAGAAGTTAAACAAAATATAAAATAAGTATTATTGTCTATTATTATGACATTGTATGAAAAATTATTAATAACAAGCGACCAGCCCTGGTTTTGCATGGGATACCCGTTACTATACTGTTGCGTTTTTCCGTGCAGTTTTCTCTCCATATTTTTATGTGACAGGAAGAAGACTCAACTGATGTTAAGTAATAACGCCGCCCATAGACACTCACATTGCCAGAAGGCTCCCAAGTGCGTTGCCAGTCTTTTAAGAATTGGTACGCTCTTTTCTTGAAGAACCCTGAGTCGAATTGGTTCGGAAATACTTTAGTGGGCAGCTGGTTTCACATAGTGGAGGTGCGTGGCAAAAACGCTCAGTTGTGGAACGACGGACGTCGAGGTGAAACGGATGGTATTTTGTATTTTGCCTTGACGTCCGATGATGAAACTCATCTTTGGCTATTAATACTAAAAACCTTCCTCAGAACTTAAGGAAGAATCCCAAAAAAAACATCGAATTTGTACAGCCATTTTGGAGATTTTCGCTTAACATATTATATTGCGATTCATTTTTATATATATAGAAGATATAATATAGGAAAATAAAATATATTAAAGAGGGTATTATAATGCATCTGTCTACGACATTGTAACACGCTCCAATATTTTGGTAAAGTGCTGACCAAAGTAAAACAAAATCTGAAGAAGAGGCATAGTGCAGCTGGAAACATGTTTTAAATAAAAGAAAGTCTTCTTTCAGGGTGGACTAGAAGATTCTCTTTTGTTCTACGGCCACTACCACGATGGTGTTATTAACGGCTCTCTTCCCCTCTCTTACAACATGCCCTTCGCGTATTTCTTCACGATGTTCTGTATCTACGTGGGGTTCTTTGTGGTGTTCTGTTACAGGTCAGTATTATTATTATTTCACTGCAATATTTATGATCTGTGTTTTAGGAGACTGATGAATAATAAATAATCCTTTGTTTTGGTTTTTTTGGATATACTTTGAATAACTAAATAAAATAACATCTTTTCCTAGCTGCCCCCCCCCCCCCCTTTTTTTTCGCCTAAATATGTTTTTTTACTTAACCCGGTACGGTACGGTTCCTGGGTTATCGGGGTGCTTTAAATAATAGATGATTTTAGTTTTACTCTATATTAACCACTCGCCTACAACGATAGAATATAAGCGAAATAATGTTAATAATTGCTATGTAACGAAAGAATGCAATGTAACTGTTTAAAAGAGTACGTACTAATACGTCTGGCTATACTCTCGGGGCGTAACTCCGACGATTTAGGAAATCGCCACGCTTATAAAACTTAGAAAGACTGAGTGATAAAACTGTACAGCCTTGGCACATACACCTTCCTTTTTGGTAGTCTCCATACAAACTGTGGCTTCAGTGTGAGACTCATCCTTGAGGTCGTAGGTTTGAACCCCGGCTGTGCACCAATAGAGTTTCTGTGTATGTGCGCATTTAACTTTCGCTCGAACGGTGAAGGAAAACATCGTGAGGAAATCGACTTGCCTTAGAAAGTCGACGGCGTGTGTCAGGCAGAAGGCTGATTACCTACTTGCCCATTAGATTGATAACGATCATGAATTAAAAAAACTGCATCAAACCTAAAAAGGTTGTAGTTTAAATCCATTTTTTTGGGTTTTACAAATCCACTCTATATTATAAAACAATAGGACGGCGTACTCGTACCGACGCAACTTCATAGAGACTTCGGGCGGACTGTCCAACGTGTTCGCCAATAAAGTGTTCTGTGGCTGGGATTTCGGCATCGTGTCTGCGCATGCCGCTTCGCTTAACGCCGCCAGTCTCGTCAACGAATTTAAGGTAAAATTATTATACAAAAACACATTTTCATCTCAAAAATTAAGTTAAATTCTTCCAAACATTATTAGACAGTACTTATTGTATTTATACGGATACATTAATTAGTACAACTTTATATCTATTGTTCAGTAACTTCCATAAGATTCAGAGTTCTATATACCGCCCTAAGGCTGTAATCACATTGGCGTAGAATTGTTTTTCAACTTTAACGCGCGACTATGCTCGCGTGAGTGCGCCCTAATCTAATGACTTTTATGTGTACGTGAATAGTGCTCGCTTTACGGTATTCATTTATAGAAGAATACAGAGAAGAAAGAGTAATGGAGCCGTGCTCCTCCAGTCAGCCGTCGACGCGCGCTTACTTATTTCCATAGTACAAATTTGTATCTTCATAATGGAAAAATGAACACAGTTAAATGAAAGAAACAAGATCAACACGCATAGTATATACGTGAGAAAGATGGCACGATGTCGCCTCGCCTCTGCGCTGGAGTGAGTTGAGCGAGAGTCGACTCCTTAGCGCAATTAAGCCGTATGGCGCAGTGCTTTGTCAGATGCTGCTCACTCCCAGTACCCTTATAACGCGTTTTACGTCCCCCATATAACGCGCAGATATCTCAAGTTATATTTCTGTAGTGAGAAATTTATAATGATTTGTCAAGTCAAAAACTAATTCAAATTGCGTACCTTTGCGCCTTCAATTGTGTTGATATAAAAATTTGTGTTCCTAGTTTTTGAGTTGTTCAATAACCGATTTTACGAGACCACTCTTGCAACGCGATTTCCTATAACGCGATAGAACAGGACCGCGGGCGTTTACTGTATTGTGTTTTTCATAAATTATATTTTTCCAGGAACTCCTAAGTGAAAAATACAAGGTCAAAGTCAAAAGATCGCTATGTATGAAAATTTTCGAGTATATAGTGAACACAATAGTATGGGTGACCGTACTGGGGAGCATGGTGGCTCTCCATTACGGTGTGTGGTCCCTCCGGGCGATGAACACGCGGACCGCGAACTGGAATCTTCTGGTCTCCTTGATATTGACCTCTGTGCTGGCGGTGTGTCCGCTGTTGTTTAATTTTCTCGTCAGGTACTTTTTATAAATTTATTTAATTTGAGTTTAGTTTGACTTGTTGTATAAAAAAACTAAAAGTTGTATGTTACGAGAAAAATATATAGTATACTAGCTGACCTGGCAAACGTTGTTTTGCTATGTACTATATTATTTCTACTATAATAAAAATAGGGGTTGATCGTAGAGGGGAAAAAAATTAAGGGTTGTATGTATCATAAAGCGCTTAACACTACGCGATGTTCAGACAATCTATAGATAAGACTGTCTTAAAATCGATGTTGTCCGAAGCTCGCTATATACACTGGACTGAATATCGCAACTAACTCATTTTACTCATGCGAAGCGTACGTAGTCGGTGACGGTTGTCTCGCGATGGGAAAACTTTCAAAGCACCAGAAAATCGCCATGGCTCTTGCCGAGTCTATTAATTTAAATTAAGATAAGTTTTTAACATATGGGTGAAAGAGAGTTTTTACTTTTGCGAGAAAAATTATTATCAAATATGCGAATACTGAGTATTCTTCGAACCATGTTGACTTAAGAAACTACCTTAGAGTTTGAGTTACCGAGTTTGAATTGTCTTTATAAATGAAATTAGTTTTTTTTTTATTTCAGACAATCTGTTCCAGATTGACCTAGTCCCATGCTAACCTCGTGAATCTTGTGTTATGGGTACTAGGCACGGACGGATATATACATACTACTATAGACTTATAGATATAATACATATTTAAACACCCAAGACCAAGTCCAGCACGAAAGGTCATTACATCGATGTTGTCATCTAGCCTGGTTTGGATTAAACCACCCATTCGCAGTCAGGGGTAAACCACTAGACCAATGTGTTACTCCGTACATTCAAAAGAAGGTAGGCTGGAGTTCTTAGACAAAGTATCAGTCCTAACAAATATTGTAGTTACTTTAAGATTCCTGGCAACGGGCGCTCCTATCAAGACCTAAGGTCATCTTGACACTCTGTATCCATGTTATAAAATAAATTTATTAACATTAGCAAAACTAAGGTCATCAAATAATAAATCAATCAATCTTGCAGCATAATTTGGATGTCTCAATATTGATAATATGAAAAAGTATTTTTTTCTTTCGAACTTGCCATAGTGCACGCGGCCACAGCAAACAAACATGTAAGAACGTCTTTGCTTGCGGCTGCCACGCGCTGACTGAACGGTTAAGCGATGCTAAGTCTTATTATACTACGCGATTTATTCAGCAATGTAGCAAGTAGGTTACGCCGAACCCTTTGGTCAAGTCTAATTAGACAGGCTTACTTCTTTATACTTGTTAAATCTTCTGCTAAGACTGTCTGAAATCGAGTTGTGTAACAAGCGCTTAAAAAAAAAACTTTTCCAAGTTTAAAAAGCTTATGTAATAGAAATATAGATGTTTTCCGATTCTCAGAGATACCCAATATACACAGAAAATTTCATGAGAATTGTGTATTTATTCATGAGTTTGTCTCAAAACCGCGACACGAGAATTTTATAAATTAGATATTTCTTTAACAATTGGTCTAGAAAATTTTTTAATTGGTCAATTCTAAAATGTGAGACATATATATGCTTCAGCCATGTTGACTTCCAAAATAACTTATGATTATTGTATTAAAACAATTTAATTATATTTATAAAAATCACATTTACTCTTAATTCAACGCTTGTTCCAGATTGGCAGTTCTCGACCCGACCCTTTTACATCTTTCTAGTGACTCTGGCCTCGGACCTTTATACATCACTACGCTAGGCTTGAACTCACATTCGGCCTCCAGTACGAACGAATTAAAAGTGCATCTATTTTGTTTTGTATTAAAATTATAGACAACTTAACTTATGTCAAATTTTGTGTCCTGAGGTAGCGTGGGAGGTCTTTCATGAAAAGCACTGTACTCTAAAGTTTTCGTGATGTATAAAACGCAACAATTCATTCGCTTGATTGTGATTGGTCGGAACGATTAATCGAATCGCGTGTCTAATTGACCAATCACAGACAAGCAAAACGTGCACTTTCGTATACCAAGTCCGTATTTTTTATATTTAAAGTTTAATTGAAATTCGCAATAAATATACTAAATCGTAATTTAAAAAAAAATGCTAGAACCTTGTTAGGCCTGGGCCTAAGATTTCTGTATCTGTGTCATGATCATTTGTCAATATGTGATCAGCCTACTGTGCCTGACACATGTCGTCCACTTTTATGGGTCTAAGGCAAGCCGGTATTCTCACGATGTTTTCCTTCACCGTTTGATCGAAAGTTAAATGCGCACATAGAATGAAAGTCCATTGGTGCACAGCTGAGGATCGAACGTACGACCGCTGGAGCTACTAGCAACCAACACTGCTCTTATAACTAAAGCGAAATAATAAAGACAATATATTGCTCTGTTATTCATTGTAATTTTTCTCCCAGAATTACCCGGTTAAACTGTTTTGGAGTCATAGGTTCTGTGGGCTACAGACTCAGAGTGAGCCGAGAATTTGCGCTTTCCATATCTTATAAAGTTGTTACGTGGAGTGGGCAGTGCCCCAGTGTCTGCATCAGGGGGCCATGGCCATACGTTAGGTGGAATCGACCAGCAATACTATTCGCACCCTCAGCTAAAACTAACCTCTCGAAATGACACAATGTATGGAAATGAACTGCATAGATTATAACACCAGACTAATATCTTTATAGTGAATTTTGTGTTTACATTCCAGTGCTGGGAGACGGTACTGGGCCAAGAGGCGTACCGCCTCGTTCTGCTGGATTCGGTGGTCTCCTTGCTGCTTCTGCCTGCGGTCGAGTTCCTTAGAATTTTGATATTTAAGTATGTTGATTATATATTGTATTATAAATTATCAAGTCTTTCAATTCAAAATGAATTGAGAGATAACAGAAGAGCTTGGTGAATGTCATGAAAGTGGATGAAGCGAGAGAGGAAGAGAAGTCTCGTTGCGTATTCTACAAAGTGTACTATTTCTGAACAGTACTTTGGATGGATCTCTTCTGCCTCGTTTCATCACTGTACGAGCCGTTTTAACTCAAAATTTCCACTTGGTGGCTGGAAGTCTTCCACGGTCCGCTTTCAGAGACTATATTTTGCGAACTGGTAAGCTGAATCGACTCCTGGTGGGGGTCTACCCTGGGACATACGATTGTTTATGTAGTGTATACTCCTCCCTCAAAGGCCGTCAACGCACTCACTAAAATAGGTGATAGATTTGCCCCCTATCCAACATAAAATTAATAAAAAAATAAAAACCGTGGTTTCGGCCTACCCTTTCGGAAAAAATGCATGCTGATATAAATAAATTAAAGAAAGTCTAACAAACGCCTTGTCATTCCAGGTTGAACCCTAAAGGCTCAGGGCCAGAGTTTAATATCGCGTACAATTCCCTGACGCTGATCTACAACCAAGCCCTGCTGTGGCTGGGCTTGCTGTTCTCGCCCTTGTTGGCCGTGGCGGTGACCATCAAGTTCTTCCTCTTGTTCTATATCAAGAGAGTCAGCGTTTTAAGGGCGTGTCGACCGGCTAGGAAGGTGATTCAATCTATTTAAAAGAACTTTAACCAATACTGGATAGTCAAATAAAGAAGTCGGAAATTTTGTTTCGAATATTAATTTTTCTTAGTAATTTCTGTACAACAAAAGTTAACTAAGAAAAGTTAAAATTCTTATATATATATGTGTGTGTGTGTTTGTCATCAGTAAAGTTCAGTCATTATTAATTAATTGTTAAATTATTTATTTTTCTCAAAGATCTTAAAAAGATTTCGATTATAGAAATTATGTTTTACAATATTAATAGTTAAATGTTATTTTACAGGTGTGGCGCGCTGCGCAGACGCAAACGGTGCTGTATATGTTTGTCACTCTGTCTCTCTTTACCACTCTTTTCGGAATCGGAGTCCTTTTCTTAGCGTGAGTACGAAATTTATTATCATTTGATTTTCTACCGATAAACTTAAATTAAATAACTATTTAAAAGACAATTGCACCGCTACATAAACTTATATGTTGTATAATTATATTGCTTTATAGCAACTATGCTCGAAAAGAACTAGAAGAGTCAGTATCGAAACTCCCCTTTTTTAAATTATTTATATTTAAATGTGTTGTATTCCCATAAACCATAGATAATAAATAGAGACTTTTAATCTCTTTTTCTCTGTAAATATTATTGATTTTTTACACACAAGAAAGAATACACAAAACACGGAAATAAACCTAAAGGCTTGGGGCAATGAGCGGCCTTTTTTATCTCTTCCAGACAATCCGTTCAAAGAGTACCGTATACCTACGTAAATAAAATAATAAATTGTGCGTGTACTAGGTGTACACACGTAAGAAGTAAAACTTCTTTATGATCTTATTTTTCGAAAAATGATCTACTATATGCAACTTTACAGAAATTCGTTTAATTAGATAAAGTTTAACAAAAGGCTTTTATTATCATAGACATGAATACAAATATTTCATTTTACCTTATTACTACGAAGATTATTATAGAATTTCATTAATTGTAATAATTATTACTATCATTGAAAAACGTAACGATTTGCTACAAAATTTCTCCCATACGTCGATAAAGAAGTTTCATTCCAACAGGGCCGAAAATGTGGCGTAAAGAAGTTTCACTTCAAAAAAACGTGTGGCACTCGGGGACTGCCGCGGTAAAGCTGTTGCATAGCAATTTTATCAACTTATGCAGTATTTGTTTTTCTTTGATATTTTTTCAATCTACCACTCTACCAGACTCAGACTTAAACACCTATATAGTCTGTCTCACTCTAACGCGTACCGGCAGCCCCGGCCGCGCTCACGCTACGTCACCGATCTCGTCAGAGAGATGGGAATGCGCAGTATGGTCCTGTCCCACTCTAACACGTATTTGCCGCACCTATATTACGTCATCGTATGTTAGGTTTTCTCGTTCTTGATTCGGTCGCCGGGCTCAAAGACCGCGACAAAATCTATGCAATAAGTTTAAAATAAATAAGATACTACTATCTTAATCATAAAGCCATATTATTTATATATACATACTTGATTACTCAATTATGATTTTTTGAAATTTCAGGAGCACGTCAAACGCGTGCGGTCCGTTCCGTCAGTACGAGCCCGTGATCGCTGTAATCAGCGAAGGGGTGTTGGGGCTGTCCACTCACCAAACGCTCAACGCCATCATCACGTTCATCATCAGACCCGGGGTTATCGGATTCCTCTTTGTTGCGCTTTGGTAAGATATTTATTTTATATGAAACTTATAAATATGTTGCTGAAATAATTATAGATTTATATATATCTATACAAATTTAACCTCACCAAAACCGAAATATACGTGATGACAAGTAATTAATAATTAATTATTAGAATTTGTTATTTCATAAAAGGCCTTAAAAACAATTATTTTAATAAAATTCCTAATTAAAACTATAAAATTTTCTAACAAGCTCTTCTAAGTTCGGGTCTTTCTCCACAGACTAGCAAACTCTTAATCCTACAATTAAATTGACACATGACAGATAACAATCGAAAAGAAATATAATTATTTCTTTACATAAATTCAAATGTATTTTATATTTATTTATTCAATCTAAAACAATGTGTATGTCTAATAAATACAAGTAAATATAACATCACAAATTTAACACACATACACATGACACATACTCATCAAATATATAACAACATAAGCAATCTATCAAAAGAAAAATTAAACAAACAACCACAAAATAAAATCTAAAACTAAAAAGATATAAAATAATAAATTAATTTACTGTGTGCATGTAATTTGGAGATTTTGACTTTTATGATTAAATATTTAAGACACCATTTTGCAAGAAATTGCACAATTTGGAAGCTCTTTTTAAGAAACCTTTATTTCTCAACTATCTTTTTTACCAAATAGTTGAATAAACCTATTGTCAATTGAGTTACGAAGGTTCGTGGATCGGAAGAGAAGAACTGGCAATAAACTCTCCGCCACTCTTTTTAATCGCCAAGTTTTTGGTTTTACACAACGTTTGTAAGGAGCTGCAACCATTACACCATGTTCCACATGACATTTTTAAGTAATTAACTATAATAATATATATGTCGGAGATTCAACGAGATTAATAATTACAAAGTTGGTATCACTACCGTAGTCCGACATTATTACTTAATATTTAAACACAGTCAGTGCGCACGTCCGCCACAGGCGCCGATCGGAAAGCAACTCTAGCACTACACAACCGATTCTACGCACTACTGACAGCTTGACTTTTACGATTGACACATTGACACTTAACAACCTGTAAGATGTCCATGATATCGCGTGGTGTTGCCATTGTAATCAAACAAATTACACCGTGTTCTATTATAACCTTATCTCTGACATATATATTAAAATAAAAGGCTTTTATGATTATATACCTTATTAATATATTATCCTATATTATTTAAAGCATCCCCATTAATCCAGGAACCGTAAATTAATTCTATCGCATTGCTAAGAATTGTATATTTTCAGCGTGTCCGTATACTTCATGCGTGCCAAGTCAATTGCCCAGCGCTCCATGGTCGACCTCTTGCGGCAGATGCTGGTGCTTCAAGCCAAGGACAAGGATTTCCTCCTGACCGCCATCGCCAAAGTCTCCAATGGGGGTATGGCCGTTTGGATTTTTTGGGTTTATTGTTATTTATTCACAAAAATCCTTACATTATCCTTACAGTACTAAACTTCTAATAAAATATATAAGATATACAATATCGCTTTTGTGAACTCTGCGAACAACTCTGCAACGTCTTTGTCAATGGGGATCTGATCAACAGACACTTAACACTTTCTTTTGCGAACTAGCGAACTGCGGAATCCCGGTGGGGTCTTACCCGGGAGACTTCATTTGTTTAAAGAAAGAGTATACTTCTCCCTCAAAGACCCGCAACGCACCCACTAAAAGATGTCCATGGGCTGATATGACTGCCATTTTCGGGCATCCGGTAGGCTCGTTTGCCCACTTAAAAAAAAAGATACTACTGGCACACGGTGAAACAGTCGTCGCAGTCGCACATATACCAAGTTCTTGAAGAACATCTCACTTTTATTTTGATTTCTCTTCAGAATGGCTCTACAGCCCGAAGCCCGAGGAGAACGCTGACAGTCACACCTGGCGTTACTTCCACGAGGTGCGGAAGCCCTCGAATGCGGGTTATCACTTCGACGGGTCCCGGCTGAGCCACGCGTTCGATAGGTCCGATAAACCCGTCAGGCCGAGGTCGGAGAGACCCCAATCGCTCAAGACCGACGGGGACACGGACAGCTCCTTCAGTTGGCAAGGGTCGAGCAATTACCTGAACGATCTGGAGAATAGGAGAATGATTTGACAGGTTCTTACTCATTTTGGAAGGTGGTGCTAGTTCTGATATTAGAATATCAGATTTATTTGTGCTTTGCACCCGAGATCGAGAACCTTCTAGAGTTAAATTCGTTTCGGCTCGAAGGACCAAAATGTACGGTTCCTGAGTCAGTCAGTTTTAAATATTGGAGGATATTATATTAATAAATTATATAATTTAATCATAATAATGCTATGTTATGTAATGCTGAAGAGTGGCTGCATATTATATATATACACACTCTCGGGGCGGAACGACCATCTAGGTATTTGCCACGCTTATAAAACTAAGTAACCCTGAATGAGAAAAATGTATAGGGAAACTAAATTGTTTTGAATAAATTTTATTATTTATTAAAAAGTCCTTTGAAAGTATAAATAATAATTAATTTCTTGTAAAGTGCAACACTGTTTAATTTTTTTTAAATGAAATCTTGAAAGAAGCTTTCAAGATATCTTCGCACCCACTAAAATGACTGCTTTTTGGGTCCCCTATTAATAAAAAAATGTTTTTTTAATAGACGCTTCTGACCTAATTTAGATTTTTGTAAATTAAACAAACAATATAATTTCAAGAGTAGTCGAACAATTTTTCAAAAATGTTACATATTTTCTAGTACTTAAACGAAACTTACGATATCCGAAACTCAGTAACTCAATTTATGTTTCCAGTAATGTCAGTTAAACGTGATGCATCATCAGAAAATTCTCTAGAAGGATATATCATAATTAGGTTCACGTAGTATTGTACCATTCGTGTCGATTAGTAATTTTATGAGGCTTTTTGTAATATATAATGGTTTAGTCCATAATTACGACAAAGAAACACTTTACGTTTCTACATGTAGTTTTTATATTTTTTTACTTCCCTAGTGATTATAAAAATATTGCTTGCCCCGGGCAACAAAGTCGGTTTTAGACTTCCTTGGGTGATGTACTATAACTGTATTTTTTTTAGAATTTTTGCAAAACATTTAGATTGTAATTCTACTAAATTGTCATAAAAGTTAATACGACAGTTTAAAAACAAAGAAAGAGTTCTGTTTCACTAAGGTCATAATATTTCCGCGAAAAGAGGTAATAAATTATTACGTTCTAGACATTCGTCAAAATTACCGTCGTAATGTGCGGTTATTGTGTCGTCCATAATTATTATGTTTGAACCGTGAAACAATTTTCCTCATTTTATTTTTCCTGAAAAAAAAAATAGATTTTGCCATAACGACTTTGTTCCCCCCGCAAGCGATATCTAAATTATCAATTTTTGTAGACTTTTTTAATTCCAACAAAAGTACATTTAAGCAACAGATAGCAATAGAACAGTTGTGATATCGAGGTGCCAAATACTTGAAAGATTATATCATATATGTACTAAAATTTATTTACATATTAAGTATAAATAACGAAGATTGATTTTATACTATTGCGTACTGTCTTTTGGTCTTCCAAAATTATTTGCATAATAACCTGTTGTAATTGTAGTTATCATTATTATTTATAAATTTGTGGTGCCTATTAATCTGGCCACATATGTATTAAATATTGTCTTCAATTTATTCTTACACGTAAACGTTTAATGTAAATAAACGCTAATTAATTTTATTATTAATTGTCGTAATGTACTCGGAAAGTCGGGCTATGTAATCAAAGCTTTATTTATGTATAAATTTTTGTCCTTATATTGCTAACTATGTATCATAGCTAAAAATGTATGAACTGTGAACAATTATGGGATCACACAATAATCTTACTCTAAACCACGTATTCATTTAAACAACAAAAGTACAGAATTTTAATTTTTCAATGAGCTGTTGTTGACAAATTAGACCATTCGTCTAAATAAATTAACAATGTCGTGAATAACAAAACTGAGTACATACTCGGTAACTCCAAATAGCGATAGCTATTGCGATAACCACTTTAATGTCGAATGTTTGTCATAGAGTGAACATCGAAATTGCATACAAAAAGGTCGGAATCGGTATTGCTAATGGAAATTAAGCTAACAAGTATGAAATATACGAAAAGCTTTACATATTTAAATAGCTATTTTGTTGTCTTTTGATGTTGGATGTTGACGCGTGATTGTGATTGGACCAGATACTGACCAATCACAATCACGCCAGACGTCGTCTTTGTGTTTTGTGGCAAAGAAACCGTGGACTGAAAGGATGTCCATTCAAGTCAATTAAGCATAATAATTATAAAAGGTATTATTTAGTCATGACAATATTTTTGTACAATAAATTTATTATCTATTTAGTGTTTTATTTCGCGTGAAATTCCCACCCTTCAATGAACTACTTAGGTTTCAGATGCAAATGTTGCTACTTCTTTTCTTATCTCGGAGATTAATGCTAAAATAAATTCTAATACTCAAACTCACGTACCAGAGCGCTTGAGACTGCTGGTTCTAAGTGCGTACGAAATCGAGATAAACTTCATAAAAGATATAAAAAAGACCCAAACAATGAAATTAAGAAAATAAGGTACAGAAATTTTTGCAACTGGCTCCTTAAGAAACTTAAAAGAGAATTCGATACCTCCCACGTAAGTTGTTGTATCTCCAAAACTGCAATTTTACAGTAGAGGCGTTTCAAAGATTCAAATTAACCCAAAATCTGTTTATTGTTGCATCTTTTAAAATTTCGTATATAATGTAATATAATTAGTCTTCTTAACTACGTTAAAAGAAATTTTAAGTAAATGTCTATTGCCGAGATATTGTTCATACAACATTTTACTCCGGAGTAGAAGCTATGCCAGTTGTTGCATCTGATACTAACAACATTTACCGCGGCGCCCAGATAGCTCACTTGTGGTATATGATAGTTACAACTGTAACTTTGAAAAACATAAGTCTTACTTGTTGTATGTGGTAATTATATTTATATTAGGTACAGAATTCAAATGTACAATTTGAAGGTGATTAATTTTAGGTTAATAAATAAAAAGAAATGTTATTAAGGTTAATTTTTTTTATTAGAAACAACATCAGTGTTAAAAAGCTAATCAGAAAATCTTTGAAAATAAAATAGTGAGCTTTTAAAACTTAATTAAAATTACTTCTTCTTTTGCTGAATAATCAAAAACGTTTTAACACATAACAATCATACAAAAGACTTTTTTAATAAAAGTTATTGAATAGATAAGATCTTATAAGAACTAATCAAATAGAATTACAAAAATCAACATCACTATAAAAATAAAAATATGAACTTAATTATCATTTATATGAGATCAGCTTAAAATCAAAGTAGTAATTTGGAAACTATTTATAATTTTTGGCATGTACTTATTGGTTTATAATAATGATAAAGAAATTTTAAAATAAAAACAATTGTGTTAATTGTCAACCTAACAAACCTAAAATTAGTTTTATGGGAGCCTTAAAACAATGTAAAACAAATAAATATTATTTTTGTGAGATCAATATTAAAACCTGAGAGGCTTAATCAAAGGCAATATAGAAAAAAGAAAAATAAAAGGAATATTTGGAAAAAGACTAATGTCTATTCTGAATCAGAAAATTCAGCGTCATTATTAACGCCAGCAACGAAAGATAAAGCTGAAAAAGTCGACGAGCTGGAATAATTTCAGTATGACACAGGTTCATTAAGTCGTCATATTTTGCCTTAGTTATGGGAAGACGGTTGAATACAAGGGGCATAGCTCAGCCATACTATTCCTTTGGCGTCTACGGGTATTGGTATTAAGAGCAATTGTCATAGCATTACTGTCTGCCAAATCGTACCGATACATAATTTTAAAAGGATCTTCTGCACATACACTTACTTCTTTTATTTTATTCCATCTAACTACGTTCCCATTTACATTTTTAGACCAATTACGTCCAATCAAAAGTTTTTATAGTTTAAAAATCTGTATGCTTATTTTTATGACGTTATATGGTTTGCCCTCCTGTTTCGCCCATCGAACCAAGCTAAAACCATTCAAAGGTGTATAAATAAGTTTATTTTTGGACGAACGTTCTATTAGAGCATGTACGCTATCCTTCTGCCTGGGTGTGACCTTTTTCAAGAAATGTATTTTGATAGTAATATTAAGCTTATGAGCAATAAAACATAAAACGCAAACACAATACGATTGCGATCTGACCGGCACAATTGTCAGACCAGAATCTAAATTCTTTTGCACCTTGTTCATGCATTTTATGTATAAAATGAGAAAGACAGCCTGATACCTATTAGAACCACGTTTGGCTTCTCCCTCGTGCCACATATAACAATGACCCTTTTATTTGCTAAATCAAACAAAGTAAAATTAAAGACGGACAGCTTCCGTTTGTAATATAAAATACTCAATTGGCCATGAGGTGATTGAGAATCTTTTGAAAATCAAAAGTACCAGCAATTATTTTACCTTCAGAAGATTTGCTTTCTTCTTGTCAGACTTCATAGCTGTGGAAACTTTTTAGTCGTGATTCAGACGATGACTTGCTTTGTTGGACCGTTAATATTTCTGAAGATGTGACACTGATCGCACTGATCTTTCTTAGAATATGAAACTGACTTAAATTTCATTTACAATTCTCGAATAGACGTTCGATTTAGCTTTCTCTTCAATATATTAGATTGAGCACTCATTATACATTTCAAATAATTTATGAAAATTTAAATCTCCATCCAAATATAACTTATTCGACCTCTGCCTAGTAAAATGTGACTCAACTGGCTGCAAACTCATGATATGTCACACATACTGGTTTCAGACTTTTTTTTTAAGGTGGTTGAGTTTTCCTCTTTGATCTGGAATTAATACTCCAGTATGAGCCATCTTTTTAGGGCCTTATTAATAACCTGAACTGACGGAAATAGTGCTTAAAGTTTTTGCATACATCCACATATTTCTTCACCATGATCTACGGCATGAGTACTTTAACGTGTACTTTCTCTTGAAGTAGGCGGAACCCTGTTTTGCTTTTTTACTAAGTGGTATAAAATCATTTTTTTCTCGATTGCCCAAATTCCAACTCTTAAATATCTTCTTTTCCTTCACTTAATTTATCAAAACACTTCTATGAAAGCCAGCTGAGTATTTTTCCATTTGTTATTCTTTCTCTTAGTGTCTATCCATTCATTAAAATGTTTTTTTCTTATATTACCTTTATCTTTCCTTAGTTGACGACCGATCGCTTGTGCTAGGACTATTATTCGAAATATCTGACAGCGGACTATAATTGTTTATGTTGTATACTAGCAGCTAGACAGATACCTGTGAGGGTGCGGGCAAAATATCAAAAGTTGTAAGTTTTCCTTTTGTATATAATAATGGCAGAAATCATATCACAGTCGTTGTGGTTGGTATACAAGAAGGTGAAGGGTGCGTTTTCGATTGAGATGATCGGAAGCGAACTAGGTTATAGAAATAATCGCACAATTATTTGCTAGCTCATTAATCCGACTCATTAAAGCTTTTGGTAATGGAGATTCTGAAAGAATAATGTTTTGTATAATAAATGATCAGAGATTTAGGCAATCAAACCTGGACCTCGGCGTGCTAAACAAGCACTAGGATGCCTGCATGAGGCAGTCCCTACTTACCATTTAAAGATCGACTTTTGAACTGATGACTTGACTTACAACGTAAATTTTAAGTAAAAAAAAGTAAATCCAACGTAAAATATAGCATTTCATTATACAACTACATTTTGATGAACGATTTCCGAAGTAAAACGATGTATTTATTAGATACAACAAAATGTTTAACTTCAACGAAGACGTAAAACATTGTTGTATTACATACAACATTTTCGATGAACGCTCACGGCGTAGATTGTTGTAAGTAATCTATACAATAGTTTGGTTGGGGCACCATGAAAAGTGTTAGTAATCTAATTCATGCGACTAAAATAATACAAAAAGAAAATTACCATTTTATTTTTAGGTTCGAATAGAGTATTAATTCATTTAATGAAATATTGTCCTTTTCAATGGGTGATCGGAGTTGTAATCGCATAATGAGCAAATCACATATTCGACGCCCTCTTGATATATATCTTGCACGTTTCATTATAACAAAACAAGTAAACTAATTACGTCAATGAATCATCAAATAATATTGCAATGGCAACGGGATGCGGCTGGTTGAAAGTCCGGCGTGGTCTGTTGTATGTAACCAATACGAGGCGCGAGCGGTGATTTACCCACCGCGCGCCCCGCGTACACAAATGCATAGGCATATACATTGGTCTACTCCGTTCGCGTTTGAAAATTACAACATTATGCGTCTGACAAATCCTTTAAAAATAGTGTTTTTGTTTTTTTTACTTTGAATGGATATAATGATCCATATTAGGGATGTTTTTCAGAAAAAAGCAAATAGCATTTTGTGGCATACAACAACTTACGTGGGAGGTATCGATATGAGGAGAAGGTTGAGAAAGCAGCGGCGAACACAAATAATAAAGCACTCTGGGACACTATTAGAAAATTAACGCATACATCAAAACTCAGTAGACCTGTGAGCAATTTATTTCTCCTGATAACCCCTCTGAATCGATTAATTATATTAATAAATTCTTTGTTCTGTTGGTAAAGATCTGGCTGAAAAGGCATATTCTTATGGTAAGGGTTGTATATCCTCAATGGTCAAGCCACTAGCATCCTTAGTTTGGATAGTACCGATGAAAATGAAGTTCGCAACTGTATTCCTCAACTTAAAAAAGACAAATGTACTGACGGCATAATATTTCAGGTGCTATATTAAAACGGTATGATCAAATAAAGTCCACATTGACATACATGTAAATTTGATTTTTCCACAGGCGTTTCTCGGTGCTTAGCTGGCTGACATTGTTCCAATTTTCAAGAGTGGGAAGAGAAAGTGTCAATAATTATAGACCAATATCTAAACTACCCACGATTGCAAAAGTAATAGAGAAACTCAAAACAAACGCCTTGTTCACTATCTTGAGACTAAGAATCTCATTTCTAGCTCGCAATTTGGTTTCCGTTCCGGTAGTTCTACAAAGGACACCGTTCAGAACTTACTGATCACATTGTAGCCAAACTTGACCGAAAGCAAAAAGTTATAGCGATATTTTTGGACCTTGCTAAGGCATTTGACAAGTTGTCCACTTCTCTTAAACAAACTTGATCTCTGGGTTCCGTGGTTCTCAATTGAGTCTTTTCCAAAGTTACCTTAAGAATAGATTTCAAAGGGTAAAGATCGGGATTTGTAAGTATGACTTGCCAATAACTTTCGGTGTCCCTCAGGAAGGTATTGGCCCAACATTGTTTCTAGCATTCATTAGGAACCTCCAGTGCCATGGTGATATTTTGTAGAGACACTGCCCTTGTTTCTCTGGCAACAATTGGAATGAGGTCTATAATTCTGCTCAGTCTGGTTTTGGCCTTGTTAATGAATGGTTGAGAGGCAACGGCCTTACGCTTAATGTTGATAAAACAAAATGTATGCCCTTCTCTATTAAAAACATTCCCTCACAATGCATGATAATTTTTCTATCACAGCCCATACTTGCCTTCAAATCAACTCTGCCATTGCAAAAGCATTTCCCTTGCCTATAGTATTAAGTATTGAGGTGTAATTATCGATAGTAACTTGAGTTTTAATTCTCACGTGGATCTTCTCTCATGCAGAACTCGTAAACTCATTATATTTTAAAACTTTAAGACTTATAGCAGACAAACAAATTATTAACGTAGTTTATCAGGCTTTATCTCAGTCAATTTTAGGCTATTGTATCACTGTTTGGGGAGGTACTTTCAAAACCAATCTACTAAAACTTGAAAGAGCCCAACGAGCAGTGTTAAAAGTAAGTCACTCCTTACCGCTTCTTTTTCCCACCAAAGAGCTTTATGCCCTAGCCGATGTATTAACAATTCGTCAATTATTTATTCTCAACATAGTTTTAAAACAACATTATAAAACTAGTTACGACCCCGAATTAAATATAAACAAGCGGGTTAATCATAAAGTTTGCTGTTGTATTACATAATGGACAACTTCTTTCTCGGAAAGATTCTTTGGTTTCCTAGGCTGTTACTTGTATAATTAATTAAATGAAAAAATTAACATTTACCCACTATCTAATATGAATGTAAAAAATGGTTACTACTTGGCTGAAGACTTGAGTTATAATGAAACAGAAGATTTAATAATTGTTATTCTGTAACACACCCACTTAGAGAGAGAGACACACAACAAGCCACGCACACAACACACACACAAACACACACCAAATGTATTTTTACGACTCCGTTTGCAATGTTTTCTTTTAGCACTTAATACTTATTTTCTTCTATTGTATCTTATGACAATGACCTGATTGTACGTGTTCCGGTGGTGGAGAGGCTGGCTATCTGTCACTCAGGTCTCCTGTAAGAACCAGTCTCTCACATACACTTCCTAATGTTATCATCTTAGTATAATCATAATAACCTTGTATTTATATGTGAGAGAAGAAATAAAGATTATTATTAACTTTTCAGTTGAGGAAAATTATACTAAAAAAACGTGTGTCACACACGTTTTTTTTGAACTACACACCGTGTGTGTACTTGTGTACACGCGTTAGTTCTTGGTGTGACAAGATAATATACTAATATAACTATTGCGTATTTAATAAAATTAATATGCCAGTACTGCAAGTACAGGTAGAAGCACAAAAACTATCGAATTTTCTATTAAATTTTATGCAACACTTCAATTTAAACCCATGAAAAATATTTCAGACATGTTATAGTGGTTTAAATAGATTTGAATGTACCATATAGAATACTGTTAACGCTATACATAGAAACTAATTCAAAAATTATATCCCACCGAAAATATTTTGTTTATTTAAATGTCTGAAAGAATAAATGTCACTAAAATATAAATTACACATGATTACAAAAGCTTTCCAACATTTTATGTCATTGCTTCCACGTTAGAGAGTAGAGGACCAACATATCACTAAAGGCTGCTAGGGTTAAGGGTTGCAGTTAGCACAGAACCAAATATGTTTGTTAGTCTGATTTCGTAATCACTTAGGACAATAATTACTTTTGCAATTATAACAGCCGTTGTCAAGTTACTATGGCAACATATTGTTTTGGACGCCAAGTCCTATCATTGAACATATACTTCCTAAAATGTATAACTTTATAAGTAAGGAAACAGAGGTATGTAAACATATTAAAACTTACATATTTGCTTATTTACTAGTAATATATTATATATTATATATATATATACAGTATTATATATTTAGATTTTCAAAAACCTTAGGTATAAAATTAACGTGGAAATCTCAAGTTATTTCGCAGCATTGCGATAACTTATAAGAACATAGAGCTACACACATACAGTTGAAAATATCTCGGATTAAACAATTATTTACAGAATTATATTGATTAAATTAAAAATATTTACATATATTTTACCATAGTAAACAATGGCAAGTGGAGATCGAAAGCGAACACGTCCGCCTCTTACTGGGAAGAAATGTCCATCTCGGTTTGTTCCCGGACCACCACGCAAACAACCAGCATTGCCGTGGATGCCCCGCGCAGGGTACAGCAATGAACTTGACCGAGATAGCGAATTACTGAGGTCAGCCAAGAATTACTACCCCGAAGGTAAGGTATCATTGGTCTTATTCATTTGGCTGTTAATAAGCGTAAGGCATTCACTCGCCTATGAATATGTAGGAATAGAAATACATAAATATATTATGAGAAACTTCTTAAATATGGACCCGCATCACAAGATTAAGAAATCAATAATAAAAAGAAAATGGTATGATTTTATTGATGTGGCTGAAGCACATTCTTCTACTGGTCCTTTTACCATGTCCGGGCCGGGAACCATTGACCTTTTGGTTTTCTGGCATGTGGCTTAATAAGTTGTGGAGGAACGATGACCTACTGTTCCTCCAACCTAACGAGAGTATCCTCGACTACTCTTACCACTGACTGGCCTGAAGGCCCCAGTTACGGTGAAGAAATTCTGTATCTCTTAGCGGCTGGAATAATTTTTGCGAGCGAGTTTCAGGGTATGACATCATCGAAGTGTTGTAAACGCAAATTGTAGGTGTCGCTACAGACTAAATTACGGAGATGGCTGATGTTAAAATGCTTATAATCTTATAAATGACTTATGCGAACATAGGTTTCGTATCGACTTTTCGGTGATTGTAAAGTTGCGATCATTAATTTATTACAACATAATTATTTCTAATTACATAACGTTGTTTACGTTACAAGAGCTTTGCATATCACCTCAAAATCTCTAATATACTCGTAGGACATGACTTGAAATTTCTTAGCAAATTATATGGACTATATTCTATAAAAAAAAAGACAAATCATCTCAAGAATTATACTATTTTTATGAATTAGGTGAAAGCCAAGGTGGCTGCAGTGAGTTTCCTCCGCTGATGCTTCGGAAGTCTTGGACGAGAGGAGTACCATACCGAGACAGTTATGACCATGCTAAACCTGTTGATTCTATCGGTAATTCACTAATATTTTTCAAATAAAATGATATTTGGGTTTCTTATAAGACAAATATACTAACAGTGATGATACTAATAGTATTTTTTTATGAGTAAGAAAGTAAATATTTTTTTCAACACTTTAGCATATAATTTAATATAGATTACTTAAAATTTATGAGTGATCTTCAATCTTGGTCAGCTTTCTCTATGCCACCTTATTTTAACTCATAACTATTTGATATTATGATTAGTGTATATTTTATGCTTCCATATTAACGTGTGTAGTAGGTACTTGCGTAGACCAAAGACAAGTAAATGCTGCAGGCATTTTTAAATATAAAATTCACTCTCAAATATGATTTTGTATAGGGAACTGTTATACACCAGCTTCGAAAACAATGAAAACCATAAATATGCCTCCAAAACGCCGTCCGCCCCCACAATTGTATGGTCCCATTGGCCCAAATGGGGAATTACAGTTTCCGCCATTAAAACCCTGGGCGGAGAGGGAGAAAGAGAGACTGGAAGCCATTCAGAGGGAAAAGGATAAGAATAAGCTTCCAAAAGGTATCTTCATATATCTAAAACTATTTAAAATAATAAATATTGTAGGATATATCTCTAACAGAAGAATATGCTTTTCTATTGAATTAATACACTGTTTTAAGGTTTAGTGCTATTAGAAGATTTAGTATCCGGCGCATATGACAGACGTAAAGCGGCAGAAGCAGAGGCAAAAAGAAAAAGAATAGAGAAAAGACGAAGAGAAAAGGAAGCGGCGGAGTTAGCCGCGCAGGAGGCTTTAAAAAAGTAAAGTTGTTTTATGTATTTTCTAACTTTATAAGCAGCAAGGTAACTACGTAATTAAATGATTATTCTGCATTCGATATGCCAAGCGACAACAATGCAACATATATTTAATTCAGTAGATCAAAATTAAAATATGCCAGCCTTTAATCCTATATTAATGTCTAACAAATTGTTGGCGTTGTGTTAGAAAAAAAAAAAAAAAAAAAAAAAAAATAACCCCCCCCCCTTTGCACCCCAAAAAAATTTATAATCACACTAAATAAGAGAAATTATGGAATCCAAATCTATGTTCCCACCCCATTTGTACCATAAAAATATTTTTAATCACGCTAAATAAGAGAAATTATGGACCACGACCCCCATCGGTACCCTAATGTAGAGGATGCTGTCACAATAATTAAAATGATTGCTGGAGTTCACGAACAAAAGCTCCACCATCAGGTTAATGTCGAGGCTATTTAACTTCTTAACACGGCCTAGTGAGGAGATTCAAAAGGACATAACTATTTGAATTAGTGTTAGCGCACGTTAGTCTTAAGTGCTAAGTAAAAATAGAACACAATTACAGAGAGTGAAGATTATTTTCCCCATAATAGAGACTTTAAATAGTGTTATTGGATACCTTCATATGTTAAATGTCCTTATTAGTCAATTATCGTATCGTAATATCGCATTAAGTCTCAGTAGAGACAAACTTGGATTTGTAAATTCGTAGCTTCTTATATATTTTCAGTGTAGGTATGTGATATCTGGTTCTAAACAAACGATTTTGTTTTTATCCATTCCAGTGTGAAGAGATAATTATTACCCATTAGTTGTGTAACTTTGTTGTAAAAATCTTAGAAACGCATTTGATTTCTAGGCATCTGGCAAAGCTGTCTTTCGCTGATCCACGGGACCCAGATGACCAGAAGTTAGAATTGATTAGGGTGACTGAAGAGGAGCACTATCGATACATACACCCTAAGGACCTTGAAAGAATTAACTATTATTTGACAACAGTAAGTATATCCATTATATATATAAGTGGTGATTTGAAACTGTAGCAACTCTTGTTTTATTCAGGCTGAACCATGAGTAGGAGTAGTTAAAGATAATAAAATATTACAAAATCACGAAAAATATGCTTCTAAAGGTTCAATTAAAATCAGTATATATATTTCTGTCTAATAAATTTATTTTTAAAAGATGTATGATATTAATACCGTTAGTATTCATTATTACTAGGAGAACACGTTCTGTACATCACGCAAATTATTAATAATAAATTTAACCGCTTTGATCCGTGTCAAGTCAAGCGCGTATTTATCAAAAATTAACACTGATCGTTCCATTGTGAAATAAAACACTCGTAGGCTAGAGGAAACATCGTGAGAACTCCGCCAGGCCTTACATCCAAACACGGCAGGTTGATCACCTTCTTGTCTAATAAGAGAAATGAATGATCACATAACAGATTGAAATAGAAACCTGAGGCCCAGATCGAAAAGGTTGTTTCGCCACTAGTTTTTTTGCTAACTTCACTAGGACTGTCTGTACAGGTAGTTTTTGAAGCATTCAGCCCGCACAAGAGTGAAAAAGACTAGGGTACTAAATATTTAATAAATAGAGCCCTGATGTGTGTTTCAGTCTCTGACGGGTGACGTGATCCCGGATTATCCAGACCATTTATACAAAAGAGCGAAACAGGGGGTGGATAAGCAAACAGCGCATATAAAGAGGCGGCTCCTTATCCTGACGTATCAGGCTTGTGTGAGACAGAGTGCCACCGAAATCAAGGAATTCTTCCTGCTGGCTATGAAAAGGTAAGATTGATGCAGCAAACTAAATGCTCGAAAGATCTTAGAAATCCTATCATTCTCTTCCTTTGTTGGCGAATTCCTATAAGATCAACGCAGTCATCATCATCACCAGCTTCTTCATTTGGTCCATTTCTGGACCTAGGCCTCCTCCATTTTCCTCCAATACGCCCTGTACTGGCCTCTCTGTATCCACTGCGAGCCAACCTCTTTGAAGATGTCGTCAGTCCACCTAGTCAGTCGGCGGGCGCGCGGCCTTTTGTTCTGCCTAGGTCTCCATTTAAGGAGCCTGCGGGTCCATCGGTTCTTGTCCATGCTCACTATGTGGTCTGTCCACCAGGGTCTACGCAGTTAGGCTACGGAATTTATTTCCTTGAATGATTGTATGATTCATGTGTCCTTTTGTTTGTCACGATGTGGACCGATCAAGTTCAAGACTATTCGTCCTCAAAATTAAACACCATTATAAAAGAAGCGCAGGAAAATAAATCGGTGGAGTAAATATAATTACAGCCAGATCTCACTTTACAGCTGATCATGATACTCAAATATGAGTCACCAACCTTTAGTGTTCAATTCAATTTGCTAAGTTTCTTGAGCTCTCAGACGTAAACAACCTCAACGAAAACATTTCAATAAAAACGAAAATACAAATTCTCAAAAAAAAAAATACTATCTATACTATTTATCTACTGAAAAATACTTATTATTTAAAACTTCAGTCAATTTAAAAGTACAAGAATAGCTACAATTTATTAGTTGTTTCCACGAAAATTTATCTTGTGAATAAAAACAAAAATTAGCACATTTGTCAGAAAATTGCGATTAGGTGGCTACTTTCTAAAAAATAAATTGATTAAGTAACATTATTTCCATACTTATCTTGTATTTTAAAGTATTCTGTTATTTTATTTTATGTGTACAACAAAAATGTATTTAACTTAAAGATTAAACCTTTTTGACTTTGAAATAATTTCAAAATACTCAGATGCCTCCTAAGCTACATATTAGAAGACCCAGCCGAGCGTTCGAGGTTAAACATAGCTTTCCTGCCATCCCTTTGGCCAGCTTTGATCGTCCGTGCGCCTGTTCCCTGGCACACGAGCGCCGTGAGGGCCAAACAGGCCATGAGTTATCGCTACTTCGAAGGGAATCCTGTCCTTATAGAACTCAGACGGATATGGCATGAACGGTAATTTGGTTATTTTCGAATTCTGCAGTTTATGACACTGAGTAGGTACCTATGATACATGCTTCGACTTACATTGTATAGCATAAAGGTTTAAAATAAAACAAGACTTGTTTCTGGTTTATACAAAAGGCACATTATAAGTGCATGGTTGCTATTGAAGGGGTTCAAAAGCCCCAAATAAAAATAAGAAATACAAATATAATATGTTTTATAAAGGAGTGGTACTGTTATTTCTTCAAAATTTTATGAGAAATTGTGTTTTTTGATAACTCAAGGATGTGAGACCTATGTTTATTTATTTGTCACAAATGTTTTTATATATAGCTTACTATAAAATATATTATTAAACAAGCTTTAAGCTTAACATCACAAATTAAAATTCAGTTATTTTATATTTAAATATAAGAGAATTTTAGGTAAATGTTTTGCCTCTAGCTGTTATATGACTATAGGTACCAAAATATGTACATCTGTGATATGAACAAAATGCAAGAAGGTCTCCCCTTTCCACAATACCCAACAGACTTCACGGACCGTCTTAACAAGCTCTGTGCGGAGACAAGGGCTGATCTAGTCGACAATTGGTTAATTGACGTAGCTGACACAATGGTTAAGATGAGAAAGCACTGGTCATTATATGTCTCTAAGAAGAAAAAAGCTTCAACATTTGAAGTGGAGGAATTTTTTAAGTAAGTTATGTAGATTATTTTAACATAACAGGGAGAAAACGTACAGGCTGACCTGATGTTAAGTGATACCGTATGGACACTCGCACTGCCAGAAGGGTCGCAAGTGCGTTGCCGGTTTTTTAAGAATTGATACCCTTTTATCTTGAAAGACCCTAGGTCAGATTGATTCGGAAATACATTAATGGGCAGCTGGTTCCACAAAGTGGTGTTGCGCGGCCGTAAAAAAGGCTTAGTCGGACGGTGATGTATGCGCTTAAATTTGATATTCGTATGACGTCCGATTATGGAACTTAGCTGCAAGTTTTAATCCCGAACAATTCCTCTGAACACTCTACATGGTTCATTGCGGTAGAAGATGCCGAGAGTCACTAATGCTCTAGAACTCTTTATTGGAACTAAGCAAGCTAAGCAATCAAAGGGTGATTTTGATAATATTTTATTAAAAGCCACACATTAAATATTTGTATATACATTTTGAGTATTATAATATTATTTTGCAGATGTATTCATGGTTTGATGTCAAAGCAAGTCCGAGATCTTGTCGAGCGCAGTGTTAATCATTTTGCTGAATATTTCACGTACTACTGGGTATGTAGTTTCCTCTACAACTCCATGCCGTTATTAAATTTTTTACTCACGCAGGCTTCATTAGTTTTATAAGCGTGGTGATTACCTAAATCGTTAGAGTTATGCCCGAGAGTATACCAAGAAGCAGGCACTCTCTTCTCAATTTACATAACATAGCATTCATTTAGTTTTAAATTATTGTTTTATTATAAATAGAGTACATAATATTTTTACATTAATTAAAACAAAAACTGACCGAAGGACAGTACACTTTCTCACCTAATCCGTTATGACTTCAAATCCCTAATTACGTATAAACAATAATTAATTAGTTATATTTACGTAAAGTCGGGCAACGTTAATTGAAGAGTTTGTTTTAGGAGGGCAACGACTACGGCCAGGATTACCAGGATTACACGTTCATAAAGTGTCCACTCCTACGCATCAAAGTGGTGGGTCAAGCTGGATCCATCCATCTCAACTTTGATCCAACTCTCGAACATATGCGAGTGCTTATTGTTAAGTGGATCCACACCATTATCAATGTGAATCACCAGCTGGCCAGCGTCGATAGTATTATGTATCCAGGTACTAAGATTTAATGTTTGATTTAAAATTATTTTTAAAATTTAATGAAAAATACTAACAATATAGATACAATAATTTAATGTTGATTTATAGGAATATTTATTAGTTATTAAAAAAAAGTTGTCGGTAAAGTCGGTTTACGGACGAAAACATTGATGAAATGATTGTCTACTTTAATGAATAAAATTGAATAATTTAAATAAGTACGAAACGTATAATACTCCTATATATATTTATCTAAAGTACTATTATTGTTTCTATATTAAATTATTGGGTTAGATTTACAACAATTTTACTTATGATACTCAAATATATTATTGCTATATTAAACATATTATAACATGAGGGTATCCCGGGATGGGCTATCCGAAATTTTGCTTGAGCATAGATCGCTGGAAAATTTCTGCCATAAAATTGTCAAATATATCAGAAAGATAAATAGCAAAATGGGGAGATTTGACACTCCCCTCCAGCCTTAATTCTAACTAATCGGTGCCTGATATGCTGCTATGCCCCTCCTAGAAATAAAAAGGGGTTGTATAAATATTCAGAAATTTATATATAGTAGCTTGACAAATTTTTGCGACTAATTCATGCCGAAGTCATAGAATGGAAATCAATCGGTCTAGTTTTTATAAGAGTCACGAACCAAATGCGTTTAGAGGTCATAAGCGGGTCCCCACAATAGAAAAGGTTTTGAACTCCGACTAAAACACTAGTAAACAACTTTACTTTTGATATACTTTTGTTTGTTAAATACTAAAAGACTACTTGGTTTCACAATAAATTATTGATTGAAAAATTCGACTGAAAAAAATTGTTTCTTTTTTAATTGGAAAATAATTTGGGGCCAGGGGGCCTCCTGTTGGCCCCGAGGCCAGCAGACCTCTAAATCCGTCCCTGCTGTTCTTTAATATTATATACTGGCTAAAACTACATCTAATTGTCTACTGTCGTCTGTCGTGAATAAAACTCTCGTTACATTTCTTAGGAGTTTCTGTTTTGAACTACATAGGAGACCGTCATGAAAGACATCATTATAATTTGATCCATATGTTTGTTCCGTGTGTAGGTTCTGGTCGTCCCCAACCATACCTGATGGCGGTATACCCAGACGAACTGTACATGACGGAGATAATCAACAAATGCACTCGTCACTTCGCACTCAACAAACCAGGACCCATTTCCTTCCTGAACCGATTTGTGGAGTACAACTATCTTCTGGATGGATCAGCTCATGAGGAACTGCTTCGATTCTTCGCTTTGGAACCGCCGCCGTATCTAAAGGTTAACCACAAACTAAGATGTGTATTGTTTATGACTTTCTGAACATATAAACACAGTAATCCCCCTATAACGCGTTTTCGTATAACGTGATTTCCCTCCCCCATATAATGCTGTATTTTCCCACTCTAACGTGGAGATTTCTCAAGTTATATTTCAATAGTTTAAAATTTATAATGATTTGTCAACTTCATAATTAGTTTTGCGTACCTTTGTGTCGTCAATTGTGTTGTTTTACAATTAAACTAAATAACTTTTGCAATTCGTTTTACGAAAATACTCCTACAACGCGATTTTTTATAAGGCGTAATAGGGGGGATTATTGAACATTAGGTAACTCGAGTCGAAAAATGTTCTAAATTATTTAGTTGCGTTAAAGAAATAATATATAGTACTAGTGGACCCCACAGACGTTGTCCTGCATGATATTTAAAGCGATTAGGATATTAAGCAAAGTATGAAAGTACCGACTGCAGTGCCATCTGCCGGGCTGATTTGTGAATCTAAACCATTCCCAGATCCCCTTGAACACACACAAAAAATTTCATCAAAATCGGTCCAGTCGTTTGAGAGAAGTTCAGTGACATACACACTCACAGAAGAATTATATATATAAAGATATGCTGCATTATTTTTATAACCCCATGCGCCTATTTTAGATCAAATTTTAAATCTAATCAAATCAATGTAAACAAAATATTATAAGTAAATTACATTAATTTCCTCCTAAATATAAAGACATGGCCAGGCAATGCTAAAATTGTTAGATTTTTTATTTTAGGACTTCTCAGCGCGTATTTTGACGTATGAGACTCTCCGAGACGAAATACTCTTCCTCCGGCGAGACATTCCATTAAACATGATTATGTTGGACTGTGGTCCTATTAATGATGTTATATGGGATATCGTGAATGGCTTGCGGCAGTACATTGTGGATCACTTCATTTCTGTTAACCGGAAGTGGAATCGAGGGTATGTTTGGATAATTTAAGAATTTTTTATACAGATGTTTTAATACTATACTCAAATATCGCTATTACTCTTATTAAGGACGACAATCAAAGTTAAATTTTGTTTCATAAGGTTTTAAACCATCACCTGAGATAGGCATTGTCATAGTACTCTTTCAGAGCCCGCTATTAGCGATGGCATGCAAAGTCTAAGATAAGGGATGTAGGTACGGTTCCTGGGTCATCGGGGTGCTTTAAATAATAGATTTTATTTTTACTCTATATTAACCACTCGCGTACAACAATAAAATATAGGTGAAATAATAATGAAATGTTAATTGCTATGTAACGAATGAATGCAATGTAACAGTCGAAGAGCGTGGAGTTACTCCGACGATTTAATCGCCACACTTATAAAACTAAAAAGGCCTGAGTGAGCAAAATCTACAGCCTTGGCTCGTACAAGGGACCTTTAAAGTATTCCTCCAATCTGGAAAAGCATTGTTATTATATTCTTATACTAATAGGTATGTGATCATTGAAATTAATTTTATTGAAATAATTGATAGAGACTCTGGAAATAACAACGTCGTCCATCGTTTCGAAATATTGACAGTTTTAAATATCGTTAAAGTTCACATCTGGGGACACGGCAGTGCGCCCTCCAAGTCGAACAAAAAAGTTCAGGCCGTTTTCGATAACTTTGTTGTAGGTAAAATTGGAAGCCTGAAGTTAATATAATTATTTAAAAATAAAAGATTTGTAATATTGATATGGTCGGTATAAAATGTTAGGTTAGCTAATTAGGTAATAACTTAAGACAAGAGGTCCCTTAAGTTGGGACTGAATTAACTTGGATCTCACAAATAATGTTTCAGTATATGCAACGTATACGAAGAAATGGCTGCACGCGCTTCCGAGAGTCCAGAAACAACCGCTCAGTTGGTAGAGCTATTGGCTTATATACTCGAATGCAGGGATTGTGCCCTCTTCGAGTTACGAGAGAAGTCCCGTACCACAGCAGATCATGTCCTCTTTCTCATGGAGCATGCGCATTTGTCTTGTTAGTATTTAAAAAATATTGATAAAGTATAATTGTGAGCATTCTATTAAAATTTACAGTATAGTGTAAACTACCGTGTTACTGTTTTCGCTATTAAAATGATTAGTGCTACGTTCTTCTTTGGTAAAAATATATCTAGGTATACGTAGTATAGTAGTATATTTTTAGTAACAAGTTGATCACACTTATGTGCCTTGTCAGTCGATGACCTCTTTTTACATTTGGGTCTAGACAAGAAGGTTTTATCACGATATTTATTCAAGATGTGAGCAAGTATCAATAACGTGTAGGACTAAACATTAGTGCACAGCCTTGCTTTGAACGCACGACCTTAGAGTTCAGGGTATGCCAATTGCCAATGCTGTCATTAGCATTGAAAAACACTTGTATTCCAGTTGAAGACATAAACCTAAACACACGAGTATTCCTTTGGCCATTGGACATGGAAGACTCCATAGATCTCACACTGAAAACTTTAAACACTAAAAAGCAAATGGCGGAAGACAAACTGCGCAGTCGCAAAGCAATATTTGAGGAGAAACTTAAGAAGCACGAGAAAGATCTAGAGATGTTTAGAAGATATGATCCACCATTACTAAATTTGGATTTACTGAAAGATGTCGTTGGGAAAGTGGATGAAATATTCAATAATCTGATGGTGAGAATTTTTAATGATATAAAAGTTTCATTAAGAAAATTTTAATAGCCTCTATTCGAGTACTTCAAAATCAATATTACATTAAGTCCATGTTTAACACAAGTAATCGACGCCGACTGAGTGAAGACCTCCTCCACCATTTTCCAATCCTTATGTACCACAAAGAACGGTTCTCCATACGCAATTTTATATGAATAACATAAGTCCTAAGTACATATCTCGTTTCGATATAAAAATATATAATATAAATATATAGAATTTCGTTTCGGTATATTTAACAAGAAGGAAAGCACTCAATTATCAGTCGTAAGGATATGGAGAAACTATATTAGTTTGGTTACAATAAGATAGGTTAGACTTTTTTGTTTTTTCTTACAATAGTTCAAAAACACTCATTATAAAACTATAAACTGAGGGCATAATTAATAATAAATAAATTGGAAAGAACAAAATGATTTTAACATAATCGTGTGAAAAGAGAAAGGAAAAAAAAATGTGACGATTGGCAATAAAATATTTTCCTCATCGAGCTGCAGGGGAAAAAAAAAAAAAGTATTTTCAAAAGGTTAAAAGAATCGAAATGAAACTATGGTAAAGTTTGAGCTCAGTTTATTACATGTTCCACATGACTTCTTAAGTAATTGAATAATAATAAAATAAATTAAAAACGTAAAAGATTTGTAGCTCTAAAAATCAGCAGCCCCAACTTGCGCAAAATCGAGGCATGGTGAAATTAGATGAAAACTTCACGTAATTAAAGAATTAGGCCAAAAAAAAAAAAAAAAAAAAAAAAAAAAAAAAAAAAAAAAAAAAAAAAAAAAAAAAAAAAAAAAAAAAAAAAAAAAAAAAAAAAAAAAAAAAAAAAAAAAAAAAAAAAAAAAAAAAAAAAAAAAGGGGGGGGGGGGGGGGAGGGGGGGGGGGGGGGGGGGGGGGGGGGGGGGGGGGGGGGGGGGAAAAAAAAAAAAAAAAAAAAAAAAAAAAAAAAAAAAAAAAAAAAAAAAAAAAAAAAAAAAAAAAAAAAAAAAAAAAAAAAAAAAAAAAAAAAAAAAAAAAAAAAAAAAAAAAAAAAAAAAAAAAAAAAAAAAAAAAAAAAAAAAAAAAAAAAAAAAAAAAAAAAAAAAAAAAAAAAAAAAAAAAAAAAAAAAAAAAAAAAAAACAAAAAAAAAAAAAGGGGGGGGGGGGGGGGAAGGGGGGAAAAAAAAAACACCCCCCCCCCCCAAAAAAAAAAATAAAAATTTATTAAAAAAAAAGTTTTTGGCTTGGGGGGCAACAACCAAAAAATTTTCCAAAAAATTTTAAAAAAAAAAAAAAAAAAAAAAAAAAAAAAAAAAAAACTTATTCTTGTGGGAACATCGTCTTGATACTAGTCTGAAAACATAATGTGCAGTGTGCATATAAATATTAACTGTTGAACATGAGATTTTAAAACACGTTTTTCAAACTGAAAACACATCGGCCCATTAGCTCAGTTGGTTAGAGCGTCGTGCTAATAACGCGAAGGTCGCGGGTTCGATCCCCTCATGGGCCATCATATTTTTGATTTTCTTGTATTTGTTCATTTATAATTTATTTTAAATTTAAAACGAGATTTTTATATTTTTTTATCCACTGGTACTGAGGCTTCGCTTACAATTCATGTAAAATCTGAATCTTTTAAACGGATTTGTAATAATGATATGCTTTTATTTCTTCAACTTCTTACTTGTGAAGGGCTGTGAATCGGCTAACGGCTGATTGAAACTGTTTTTTTAGAGTGACAAGTATGAAGCCGAAGATATAATTAGTGAGGAAACTTTATTAGACCAAGAAGTGTCTGTGTACTTCAGTCTGCAAACAATGTTGAACAGCGTCGATCCGTTTCACAAGTTGTGGCATACGGCGTATGACTTTTATGATGGCTATGAAAAATGGTTAGTGATAAATAATACTACTAGAATTAGAATTATTTTCCACACATTGGATAATTTGCTAAAAACATTTTGTTTTGTACATTTGTTGGGGAAAAATATCATCATTTATTTTTATTGTATCTACGCTGTATTATGCCGAAAGAGTTGCTATGTACAAAATGCATCTTTTATATAAGCTAGTGTTACCCATTTAAAATTGTTTTAATTAAATGCTTTATAATCCCGTAAAGTGTATTAAACAACACATTAATTTTAAAGGTACCATGGTCCATTCCTGGGGCTGGACGCTGAGCAGATATCAGAGGACGTGGAAGCGTGGTGGAAGTTGCTGTACAAGTTGGGCAAACAATTGTTTGAGTACCCCGGAGCTAAGCGCATAGCTGACATGGTGCGGAACAAGGTTGAGAAGTTTAAAGTCCTTCTGCCCGTACTCTGTGCTATTTGTAATAAGGTTAGTTCTATTTGCGTTTGTTTTTCTTCTGTTATTTCACACTTAAATTTTCTCTGATATTGTCATGCTTACCTTAGTTGCACCAGTGAAACTTAGTACTTAACAGAATTGGTTAGGGAAGAGAAAACCGGCTTGGCAGTTAAGCTACACGTCATTTCATTTATTTACAAAACCTATGTAATTTTAATGTTAATTTTATATAACAAACGTAATCCGATAAATATTTATTTTAACTCACATGTGTTATTTATATATTTATTAGTGTAGGCCAAGTGGCTTCAGCGTGCGACTCTCATCCTTGAGGTTGTAGGTTCGATCCTCGGCTGTACATCAATGGACTTTCTTTCTATATGCATATTTTACATTCACTCGAACGGTGAAGGAAAACATCGTGAGGAAACCGAATTGCCTTAGACCAACTACTATCTATTAGATTTACAAATGATCTTCAAACAGATTCAGAAATCTGACCTAAAATGTTTGTAGCGCCACTGATTTTTTATATATATATAGTAGTAAAAGAGTATTTATAATCCGGCTTTAACGATAACTTTTGCATAATTAGGGTATGCGTGACCGTCACTGGGCTAAAATCAGTGACCTTGTGGGTATTGAAGTTACTCATGGACCAGACGCGACCTTAGCAGACATGGTAGAGCAAGGAGTCCACGTATTTGGAGCTCAGCTGGAAGAGATTGAACAGTATGCCTCCAAAGAGTACGCGCTGGAGAAGAACTTGTTGAAGATGAAGGAAGAGTGGGTCGGAGTCAAGTTCGAAGTTGTGCCGTATAGGTACTTTTATGTTTTTTAAATTTTATCTTCGTTAATCGTGAAACTCCTTATGTAATGTTTTGTCTTTGTCACTATCGGATCGCTTTGCAGACAAATGAATGACAGAAAACATTCGCTAATTGGGTTTCATATTAATATATTGCATTCAATAATACGAAATATGCGTGCTTTGTTTAACGTTCCTCACATCAACACCAACTATGCAAAAATCACAGTTTTGTCTCCCGGACATACAACGACATATATATCATTAGCCTTGACTAGTTTAAGCTATCGCGGAATCTTAAAAGGAGTTTTAAGAATATCCATAGTGCTAAATCACTAGCATCATAAGCACACCTCACATACACACACATACATACACACCTTCACGTACATACCCTCACTTTCACACCATCACAAAACACAGCCGAATTAGGTATTACTTAGTATTGAATAATTTTTATTGATTTTTCCTTTCATAAATATTTGAAGTTTTTTTTATAAAGCCATCGTCGGATATATCTTTGGTATAATTGTTTTTTGTTATATATAATTCACGCTAGCTTTAGTTTTAGCAATAATACAAAATATAATAAAATATTAAAATATTAAAATGGCAATTTGGTGAAACTTAAACCCGATTAATCATTCCAGAGACACAGGAACCTTTATCCTAACAGGCCTGGATGACGTTCAACAACAGTTAGATGACCACATCCTAAAGTCTCAGACCATGCGTGGTTCGCCCTACGTCAAGGCGTTTGAAGCTGACATGGTCGCTTGGGAGGAAAAACTCATCAGTATGCAGGATATATTGGATCAGTGGTTGCAGGTAATTAATACATTATTTGTGAAACAAAAATCCCATAACAATCACATAATAACATTACAACAGCATGCTTGCTTCTGTATTTTTTTAAATTATTAGGTTCTTTTATAATCTTTATTTGATATATAAATATATATATATAAAAACGATTAATTTCCTGATTTAATATTGTACATATTGTCAAAAATTTTACCGAATTAAAACGATATTTTTAAAGCCTATTTTATTGGCGACACTAACTTTTCGACTTAGGTACTCGTGAATATAAAATGTATTATCAATTCCAGTGTCAAGCAACGTGGATGTATCTAGAGCCGATATTTTCATCCGAAGATATAATGAGACAAATGCCTACCGAGGCAAGGAACTTCAGAGATGTGGACAAGGAATGGCGAACGATAATGGCGGCGACGCAAAAGGACCCTATGGTTCTGAGTGCTACAGATTTCCCGGGTCTTCTTAAGAAGTTACGATATAGCAATGCCCTGTTGGATGATATTCAGAGGGGATTGAACGACTATCTTGAAAAGAAGAGGCTGTTCTTCCCTAGGTAAGACCCTTTGGTGTAAGGAAAGCGATAAATATAATATGTACGTTGACATATCGAACGAAGTTCAGTTTTAAATTAGCCTTCAATTACCTTGGTGAGCTCAGCAAGGCAAGACGTTACTTCACTCCAAGCCATCGCTGGCAACTGTTCAAAGCGCTGCCCCACAAAGAGTACTGTTCTCACCTCTGGGCGGATGCTCCCCAGAACCAACTCCTTCCGCTTGCGGCTTGACTGTATTCAACGAAGGGCGGTTAGATGCCTTGGCGTTGCGTAGAAATGTGAGATCACTCTGCATCTTCTATCTACCGCATTTACCACAGACAGTGTTTAGAGGAGTTGTTCGGATTAATTCCTACAGCTGAGTTTCATTATCCGACGTTGCGGCAGAATGCGAAATTCCATCCATTCAATTCATTCCATCCGTAGCCTGTTCTATAACAAATATTGTATTTTATTTTGTTCTCGTAAATCAATTACAAAATCAGCCTTCTCTTATAGAATATTAATTGTAATGTTTAAGATGTTATTGATTTTAAAAATAATCCGATTCTAAAATAATTTTAGATTCTTCTTCCTATCTAACGACGAGCTACTAGAGATCTTGTCCGAAACGAAGGACCCAATGCGTGTCCAGCCTCACCTCAAGAAGTGCTTCGAAGGCATCTACACTTTGGAGTTCAACGCTGCAGGAGAGATTACTGGCATGACATCTTCTGAGGGGGAGGTGGTCTCGCTGTCCACGAGTATTCAACCTGCTGATGCCAAAGTCAGTACTGTAACTTTGGGAAAATAAACTACTTTGTAACTTTGATTCACTAGCGAGGTCAATTTGATTCAACATTTCTTTAAAATATATTTACCAAAATATACACACAGAAAGTATAAGATCCAATACAAACATCCTTGTCATTATTCTCTCTTATTCCAGGGTATGGTAGAACGCTGGCTCCAACAATTAGAGCAGCAGATGAAAGTGAGCCTTCGAGACGTATGCTCAGAGGCTATTATCGCGTATCCTACTTCTGAAAGGACCGAGTGGGTTCTTTGCTGGCCAGGGCAAATCGTACAGGCGGGCTCCTGTGTTGAATATACCTCTGAGGTATTATTTTGTTACATCTGACTAAATATTTTTAGGTCTACTCGACTATGCAGTTGTACATTAGATTTAAACTCATTATGATTTCCCTTTATAATACAATGACGCTAAATATAAATTGTAGTTGATTAAAAATTCCTATAGGTAACATTAAATATTCTTTAATCAGGCGATCGAAGCGATAAAGAGCAACAGTCTTCCCGATCTGATTACGCACAGCACAGAACAGATCACGGGATTGGTTTACCTCGTACAAGGAGATCTCGAGCCTGGGAACAGAATCACCGTCGAGGCACTCATCGTACTAGACGTACACGGTAACGTATACAAATATTAACATAAATATAGTATTCGTGATTATAGTTATAATTAATTGTGTGATTAAAGATAGTTATGCTTGGTTAAGTTATTACAAGTTAGTAATATCAAATATACCAAGGAAAATTAGCAAAATTATTAACTGGAAGTGGCGGATTTATAATTACAACAATAAATAATTCGTAATTGTAAAAAAATAAACATTAAGTTGGTATTCTTTTAGATTGAGCAGTGTTTGCCTGATGGCTTCAGCGTGCCTCCCAATATGTGGTCGTAAGTTAAAATCCTTTACGGCCCTACACGTCTTTTTGTCAATGTGTTCACACTCATTTGTACCGTGAAGGAAAACATCGTGAGGGAACCGGCATACATTAGATTTATAGTCGACGGCGTATGTCAGGCACGGAAGGCTACTGATCTACTTGACTATTAAAAATCTTAGACCCAAACCTTTAAGGCTGTAGAAATATTTGTTTTATTCATTTGTATTGTTTACCCATACTCATATCCATTTCTGGGCAAAGGCCCCCAAAGTTCCAAAATTCCCTTTCTTGGTATTCCTGCCCTACACTGCAATAATACTACACAAATAAAAACAATGGGACTTAATGAATATTTTCTTACAGGTCGTTCTATTCTAGAAGAGATGGAAGAACATGGAGTCAGAGAAATAACAGATTTTAATTGGATCTCTCAATTGCGTTACTACTGGCGGGGCGATCACATGACCTGCTCCATGATCACTACAGATGTTGAGTATGGGTTCGAGTACCTTGGGAACATCGGCAGACTCGTCGCCACGCCGCTTACTGATAGGTGTTTTAGGTATGAACAAATTTGGGATTGGGTATGAGCGGGAACAATTAAGACGTTTATTTTGAATATGGAAAAACAGTGTGTATAAGCCAAAAGTTCTGGTCTAAACACATTTTACTGGAGAAGGTAAGGTTTTTCACAAAAAATTCAGATTTGATGATGTCTTTTTAAGAGCAATTAAATTTAGCACGGTCAGGCACTCTGTTATTTTGTACTAGTTTTAAATATGAGATTTTTTTAATAGAACCCTTATGAGTGCCCTGAAATTGAACCTGGGTGGAGCGCCCGAAGGCCCAGCTGGTACTGGAAAGACTGAAACCACAAAAGACTTGGCGAAAGCTGTAGCCAAGAAATGTGTAGTATTTAACTGTTCCGATGGTTTAGATTACAAAGCCCTCGGAAAATTCTTCAAGGTATGTTCATTATTTGTAGTAGGTAAATAGGTATAGGTAATACATATTAAAATGAAAAGGTACAATTATTGTAATTCTTTGCTAACATCGACAAACTTGATGATAAGTTATTCTTCAGGGCCTTGCTCAATCAGGCGCATGGGCCTGCTTTGACGAGTTCAACCGTATCGAGCTGGAAGTGCTGTCAGTGGTGGCGCAGCAGATCCTGTCCATCCAGCTGGCGATCTTACGACGGGATAAGCGGTTCATCTTTGAGGGCACGGAGATCAGCCTCAATCCTACATGTTCTGTCTTCATTACTATGAATCCGGGGTAAAAGTCTTCTAACTCATTCGTATTTGTATGTTACCTTGTATAAAAAATGTGGAATGTGCATTTCAGATATGCTGGACGTACAGAATTGCCAGATAACTTGAAAGTGCTGTTCCGTACGGTGGCCATGATGGTGCCAGACTACGCGATGATAGGAGAGATCACGCTCTACTCCAACGGATTCGTTTGTGCTGGACCGTGAGTTAATTCTTCATAAATAAGGTTATCAGATTGACCTGTATGTATATATGTGTGTGTATGTGTTATTGTTGAAATATGATATTTTTTAGTTTAACAAGCACGTGTGCTAAATTAGGTAAGTTTATATGTTCTGAAGTTTGTCGAAACGTCTAGTCTAGCATCCCTATTCCAACTTAGGGAACACTCCAAGTTTTCGACGAGACATGTATTTCTGGAGGCAATTAGTTAACCATCTATCTGAAGTCGTTTTAATTTTCCTTCATTAATTTGTCAGGCTGAAATAATGAACATAAAAATATTGTAGATTGGCTCGTAAGATAGTCCAGGCGTACAAACTATGTTCGGAGCAGTTATCTTCGCAGAATCATTACGATTATGGAATGAGAGCGGTGAAGTCTGTTCTACTTGCGTCTGGGGCTCTCAAGAAGAACTATCCTGAGAAGGATGAGGCTCAACTTGTATTGAGGGCCATCATTGATGTCAACATGCCAAAGTTTTTGTCACAGGTACTGTCAATACAAAATTTGTATGAATTATGCTAACAAGTATATTATACCTTTACAAATGTATGCAAAAGATTTTCTATAACATAATTCAAAGGAGATCGGTTGTTTTCTTGTGTATGTGTGTTGAAAATGAGCTTCGCCGTTTCGTCTAACCAAATATATTTGATTTCTAGGGTTTAAGATATTTATATCTCATTAAGAATATTGCTGCATTCACTTATATGAGAACATATAAAATAAAATAAAAAAATAAAATATGTTTATTATGGAACATAAGATACAGGTATCACTTATTCCACGTCATTAAATTTGAATTTGTAGGCATCCCTACTCATTGGCAATATATACATATAATATACTGACTAATTATACAAAATATTAGGCTAGCTTATAAACTAATACTGTATTACACAAGTAATAGAATAAAATTAAACAGGACAACGCAAGAAACAAGACTTATTAGATAGAAACACAATTACAAATTTAAAAAAAAATATGATTATACAATCAGAGGTTGTTTGCTGTTATTACTTTAAGTTGCGATACACTTGCAATGTACGTATTTTATATGTTTCTTTCGTAAGTAAAACGCATCAAGTTATTGAACATTTTTGCAATTTTTACTTGCTAATTTATAGGACGTGCCATTATTCATGGGTATCTATTCTGATCTCTTTCCTGGAGTGGACATACCTCAACCGGACAGAGCTGAACTCTTGAAGTGTATCAATAAAGAGCTGGAGAAGCGGAACCTGCAACCAACGGAATGGTATCTGGAGAAGATCATACAGGTGGGTTTTAAATCTCTTATACAGTAAGCAACTTTTATTTATTAAATCATTCAATCTAAAAAAAAATAACACTTAGTTTTTGTGTTTTTAATTAAACACTAAAATAAGACGTCGCTTACAAGTAGCATGAGGCTATATTCATCTTAGTAGACTGAAGTGATTTGAAAATGCAAAATCCTAAATAAATATATATACAGAAAAAAGAAAAAGGTAGACAGAAAACGTGCATTAATTAATTATGTTGAATAATTGAATTACCAGCATACTGCTATATATTACTGTATAATTTAACAGTTACCATATCATGTATAACTGAAAAATAAGGCTGCAATGCAATATTTCCTTTTAGTACTTTTGTGATTATGAGACCCGCTCTGCAAATGACAGAGGTCTTTGCGGAGCCCCGGGCTATTCGACCAAGCCGGTCTTAAGACTTAATTAATTAAACTAACACAATTATCGAAGGGGCTCCTGTCACTCACATGGGCAAGTAGGTCAGTAGCAATCAGCACACGGGAAGACTCAATTACGGCCGCATGGTTTCACGTTCCCGTCGCCGTGAATAGCAAATACATGAATTATATTTGCAAAACAACTTGTAGATTTATGAAATGATGCTTGTACGCCACGGGTTTATGGTAGTAGGACCGCCCATGGGCGGTAAGACACAAGCGTACCAGTCGCTCGCGGAATCTCTTCGAGCATTACAGCTGATGAAACCTCCACCGCGGCATAAAGAGTTTGGGGCCATATACCGCATCCTTAACCCCAAGGCCATCACTATGGGACAATTGTACGGATGTTTTGATCCGGCATCACATGAATGGTAATTTTTTTAATCATTTTCCTATTAATTTTTAACCTTTATGAGAGGAGCCTTATTTTTTATTACTGAGGTCGACTCGAGTATATATAATATTTAAATAGCCTTTGTGACCTTTGTGACAGTTGTGTACTGATGATTATTTTAGGTCCGTCTTATAACTCGTATATCATACGAATTACTATCGATCTTATTTACTTGTTTCAAAAAAAATTTAAAACAGGAATAGTAATGCTAGTTTCATTGAAAAAAATCTGTCGGTATATCTATATTAACACAATTTTTTTCTCATAAAATCATTTGCATGGTTATGATATTGTTCGTGGTAATTTACACAGACCATACAGAAGTTAACATGTATACAAATATTTAAGCAATTTTAGATTTGCTCACTAAAATTTCTGAGACACTATAATTACTTACGTGTGTGGTATATTGCACGGCTGAGCTGTTCCTATATTTAATACTTATTTCGAAATTTACTGCTTTACTTTCCTCCAGGTCAGATGGTGTATTAGCAATAGCATTCCGTGAATACGCAATGTCGATAACGAGGGACCGAAAGTGGATTTTATTCGATGGGCCAGTGGACGCAGTGTGGATTGAGAATATGAACACAGTGCTCGATGATAATAAGAAGCTGTGTCTTATGAGCGGGGAGATTATTCAGGTTATTAGTTAGTTTATATGAACAAATGTTGTTACGTTACCTGGGGCTAGAATATAGAAGTAATATATACGGAAGGGGACTTAACGCGCCCTTGTCTACTTTAACTCTTTTAACGAAAATAATATCTGATATTATTGTTACATCGTCCATATCGGAAGTTAAAATGCTTTAAGGCTTTTTAAACCCACTGAACGGTATATATTTCGTTTAACACATTAAGATTAACTGAGGGGCGGGGCTTAGTGGTTTATTAAGTGTGTACAGCAACTTAATATATACATATTTAAATGTTCAATATACATTAAATACATCCAGTTCAAAATTCTATGATTATTAGTAGTTTCAATAGTTGTTGTTAGGTATAATGTTTTAATTATGTATTAACATAAAAATAAATCAGTGGCGCTACTACCTTTTTATGTCAATCTAATAGGCAAGTAGGTGATCAACCTCCTCTGCCTGATACAGGCCGTCGACCTTTTGTCTGGTTTTTGTTTTCCATCACCGTTTGATCGAATGTTAATTAAATACGCAAATATGAAGAAAGAAAGTCCATTGGTGCACAGCCGGGGATCGAAGCTACGACCTCAGGGATGAGAGTCGCGCGCTGATGACTCTAGGCCAACACTGCTCTCATTATTATTATTAAACAAATAAAGAAATTATTATTCATATGAATGTATGATTTAATTTTTGATGTCAGTAAATAAAAAGTAAATTTATCTCATAGATGACGAACAAAATGAATTTGATATTTGAGCCAGCAGACTTGGAATTTGCGTCTCCGGCCACTGTGTCTCGATGTGGCATGATTTATATGGAGCCTGAACAATTAGGTATAATGGCATTTTCATATCTGTATCTGACAATTTATAAATTTCCGTTTAAGGTCACTTTAAAGAAAATTCTGATAATGAAAACGGTTTATTGTATTAATTCAAATAGTACAAAATATCCAAAATAAAAAATTACTCAAGCATAATGTGCGTCACCTGCGATGGCGTCAAACGGTTTTGCTGGTTGAGGATCATCCCTTTAGGTGGAGGAACAAGAGAAAGAAGAAGAAAGTAGTCAAGCTTAACAATATCAATATGAAATTGTTCTGTTGGAGAAGATCAACATTGTTAGTTCAAAAAACGGTATCTTCACGAATTTTATGTATCAATTACACATTTCGCAGGATGGCGAGCGTTTCTCACATCCTACAATACACATCTCAGTAAACGCCTGATTCCGGAGCAGTTCGACCTGATCCAAGAGCTGATAGACTGGCTTGTGCCACCTCTCTTTGAGTTCATGCAGTTACGTTGCACGCATTTTGTGCACGTCGGAGAAATACATCAATTCTTTGTAAGATAAACTTCAATGCATTTGATTTCATTTTCTTTAAAATCTCACAAACGCTTTAAGTGTTTTGTGACAAAAATTTTGGTATATTTGTTAGATATTTTTGTTAAATGACATGCTCTCCGTTTATTCTCTATAATCTCTGTTCTGTAATGTCTGATCTCTAATCCTTTAAATTTTTAATCCCAGGAACCCATTTAAATAAAAATAAAAATATCACAATCGGTTTAGTGGTTGCAGGAATCAAACAAACTCATTCTGAGTAGGTGTTGGTTGATGGATATAACATATTTAAGATTTTTTTAGTCTTTCACCCGGCTGTTCACGTGTCTGTTGGAAGGGGAATCCCAGTTTAGCACAATCTGGTTGCAGTGCACTTTTGTGTTTGCTCTACTCTGGGGCATCGCACCAACTCTAAACGGTAAACATCATTATTTAAAAATTAAAGGATTTATGAAAAACTATGATCCTAATATTATTGGAATTCGGTTCTCTGTATCTAGAGAGTCTGCACTTTCAGTAAAAGAAGTATTCAATTTATATATACAGTATTTTAATGTTATAAAGAACTATATGTTAGACTAGAAAATTTATGTTTTATATTGTTGCTTAAATCACTATTTTGGTTGTATATTAAACATAATGGCAGGTAAATATACACGCGTTTTATTCCTAATTTACACAGCTGTTCTATTACTTTCTATATATTGTACATAGGAAAGAAGCTAAATATAACATCTCAATATAAAAACGCTGCTAACTGCCTCTCATCTAAAACTGAAAAACCTCTTGAAATGTCACTTAATTCAATTTTGACTTGCAGGCGAGAGCCGTAAAACATTTGACTCATTTTTCCGAAAGCTGTTGGATGGAAGTAACGCGACTTACCCAAAGCCGAAGTCGTTTAAGCTAACAAAAAACCAGCTGTTCCAGGATAAGGACACTGTGTATGACTATGTTTATGATAAGAGGAATGGCGGCACCTGGATACCCTGGGTAGATCTGGAAAAAGAACTTCCACTACCAGCCACAGCTAAAGTGAGGCTATATATAATTTAATTATGATCGAAGATTTAATACATATTTTTTTGAAAAAAAAACAGTTTTTCTTTCGACTCTTCTTAAATCACCCAACCTTTCCACATTCCAGGTGAACGACTTGATAATCCTAACAAACGAAAACGCGTGTCTCCGTTACTTTGTTTCTAAGATGGTGAAATCCAAGATTCCCATTCTACTGGTGGGTCCTACGGGAACTGGAAAGTCCTCGTTGGTCCTCAACTTTCTTTTATCACTGCCCAAGGAAAAATATATCACAAATACAATTAATTTCTCTGCTCGGACTACAGCTAACCAGGTAAGTGTTCGAAGAACCTTATATTATGAATCTTTCTACTGTAAACTTTTGCTATCTTAAGAACTTCTCACCGATAGACCGCAGTCTAAGCCAATGGAGTTTAAGACAAGGATAAAATACATTTTCATGTCATATTACAGTTTATTGTAACTATAAAATAGTCATAAATATCTCTTTGAGTAACAAAACATAGTGGACATACTTATATGTTAGGATAAGTTGTAGAGTTATATACATCAAATTTTTTGTTACACGGGAATTAACGGCGAATCCGAAGGTTAATTATTTGCTTTGTACTGGCGATTGATTAATTAGTTATACACACACGGATAGTAATCAGTTATTGCTAGCCGAGTGTGTAACTATTTAAACAATTATATATATATATATATATACAGTGTACAAAATATATATATATATATATATAAAGGAATATTATTATGGATTTTTTCTAAATGAAAACACAAAATTGTTTCTCTGAAATACAAAGAAACGACATTTAATGTCCACTTATCTATCTTTTTACACTATAATCCACTAAATTAATTTACACGTCATCCGCCATTTTATCGCGTGTCACTCCGACGCGTCAAATTCAAATTAATGAAATATCATTCCATTACATCTCCCCCTAAGAGAAAAAATTCTGAATAATATATCTACACACTATACTTAATAGCTATCTTCATATTCGTTTTCCTTATATTTCATCTTCTTCTAGATTCTGTTGTAACCGGTTGTAATTTTGTTATGTGGAACAAAGTTGATTCTGTTTTTCTGTTACCAGTGTCAATCCTATAAATGGAGTTCGATATTTTCCCTACTATCTTAAAAAGGACCTATTTTTAATTCGTCTAATTTCTTTCTATTCAGTCTATTTCCATTCTCAACATATACACTGTCGCCTATATTAAACTCTTGCATTTTTCTTTTTCTATCAAATATTTTCTTATTGTACTTGTGGGATTTTATTGTATTTTCTAATGCCAATCTTTTATCAGCAATCCACTTGTCTTCTCCTTCTATTATTTTTAATTCATTTGGTAGAATGCTGACATTTGTACCATCCAGTAAATATTTTGGTGCAAAACCTGTAACGGAGTGTTCTGTTTCATTATATTTCTCTACACATTCTCTTGCCACTGTTGTCCATGTTCTCTTATTATTTTTCTCATTTATTCTACATCTTATTTTATTAACTATTGTTTGATTTAACCTTTCATTCAAGCCATTTGAGAATGGTGTATTCACAGCTGTAAAAATTAATTTAACATTATTTTCATGTAGATATTGCTTAAATTCTCTTGAATTGATGCCTGGATATTGATCTGTCAAAATTATTCCAATCTCATCTGTTTCTAGTACATTCTTTGTTAGTTTTATAAAATCACTTGCATTCTGTGTTTTTGACGTCACAATAAATGCATATCTTGTATAATGGTCTACTAAAAGGTGTAGGTACTTTTTTGTTGATCTAGATCCTCCAAAGCCACCTATAGTATCCATTGACATTATCTCAAATGGTTTTGTTGCTGGTCCCAGTTGTGACATTAATCCAAATTTTCCTTGACCTCTTGATTTATTTTTTATGCATATTTCACATGTTTTACAAATATTTATGATATTCTTTGTTAGGTTTTTAGCTGTGTATATTGGACTTATTTTTTTCTGCAATTGTCTGATCCCAATATGGCATAAATTTTCATGCACCTTTTGATAAGTTTCTTACTAAATTCTTCTGAGAGGATAATCTTTTCATGTTTCTTTATTTTCTTATAATATATTGTATTTTTTTGTATTAGATTTTCTTTATTTTTTTCTATTGTTTCATTTTGCTCTTGATCTTCAACTATATCCTTTATTTGTATTAAATTAACTATTTTCAATAATTCCTCTTTGTTATCTTCTTGATTCTAATACAGGATTTCGGCTTAAACAGTCTGCTTCTACATTTTCTTTACCAGGTATATATTTTACCGTAAAAGTCGTATTGAGACAGGTAGTATGTGAGATCACCCAATTCTTCGTCTGTCCTGCATTTAATGTTCATGTTTTCTAAAGGTTTGTGGTCTGAGTAAATAGTGAATTGTTTTCCAATGAGCCAGTGTTGCCAGTATTTGACTGCTTCTTTCATAGCAAAACATTCTAAGTATATAGCTTTTTTCCGTTTTTGAGATTCATTCAGTTTTTTTGAAAAATATGCTACTGGTTTGTCATTACCGTCCAGTTGTGTTTGTTTTAATATTGCTCCGATACCCTCTAAGGATGCATCTGTAAAGATTTTTATTGGTAAGTCTTTGTCATATATTTCCAATACCGGTTGAGAACATAAATATCTCTTTATTTGATTAAATGATTCTTCACACTTCTCTGACCACACAAACTTTTCGTTTTTCTTAATAATTTATGTAATGGATCTAAGATAATCGCGCTCCTTGGTATGTATTCATGGTAAAAGTTAATTTTTCCCAAAAATTGTCTGATATTCTTTTTGTGTCTTCGGAGTTGGAAAATGTTTTATCGAAATCAAATTATCTTTTAACGGTCTTACCGAGTTGTTTTGAATTACATGGCCAAGATACTTTACTGAGTCTGAGGCAAAGGTACACTTCATAAACTTCAATCTAAAGCCTTCTTTTATTATTGCCTCTAATACATTTTTTTATGTGTCTTATATGGTCCTCAAAAGTAGAGGAGTAGATTAAAATGTCATCAATATGATTTACAGAGTATCCTGTGAGATTGTGCTTTCTCAGAATATTACTTAAAACTCTCTGGAAAATTGCTGGTGATGTTTTTAAAACCAAAAGGAAGGCAGGTCCACTGAAAATGGCCATCTTGTGTGACAAATCCTGTTTTATATCTATCTTCCACCTGTAGTGGTATGGCCCAAAATGCTGAGTTTATATCAAGAGTAGTAAAATACTTACAATTTCTTGTCTTAATAATTAAATCATCTATTAATGGGAAAGGTTGAGCTTGTGGTACAACAATTTTGTTAAGTTCTCTAAAATCTATACATAATCGAGATTTTCTATTTTCACCTTTTTTAAATGCTAATGTCACTGGCGCAGCAAAAGGACTGTAAGATTCTTCTATTAAATTATTCTTTAGTAATCTGGATATTTGTTCTTCGATTTCTAATTTATCTTCTATCGTACATCTGTATGGTCTTTACTACAGTATGTATTTACAAGTAAATCTATGTGAGCTTCATAATCTTTAACTGATCCTATATCATACTTGTCCCTAGCAAAAATAGTTTTATATTTATTTATAACTTCTTCTATCTCAATTTTCTTTTCTTTATCTAAATGATCTGTCTTACTAACAAATTCCTCTGTTTCTATGTGTTCATTGAAATTTATTGCATATATTTTTATATTCTTATCTTCATTTCTGTTATCTTTAGACATCCTGTCTATTTTCCTTTGTTCTATCTGCAAGTCCTCATTTTGGATTAATTTGAACTTCTTTATCATATCCAATCCGATTATAAAATCCTCAAAATCTTCATTTTCTACTATATATGTATCGACCTCTTCTTCTAAATCAAAGATTTTTATTTTTATTGTTATCAAGCCATCTGTCTTCTTCACACCATTAACCGTTTTCATATATGTTATATTCACATTGTCTTTTTTTCTTTTACTTTAATCAATCTTGAATTTATTAAAGAGATCTGTGAGCCTGAATCATAAACACCGCTCACTTCTAGTTTATTTTCTAATAATAGCTTGATTTTGATTAATGGTGTACTTACTCGTTTTTTTCTCAGTATTCATATCTACTTCAATAATCGAATTATTATTTACATTTTTGGCTTTAAAAACCTTTTCAGATTCATTTTTATTTTTCTTGAACCAACATAACTCCTCCGGATGATATCTAATTCCTTTGTCCAAAGATTCACAAGTCTTACATGGCTTCTTCTCATTAATTTTATTTTTATAAGAATATATATTCTTTGTTATAGTTGAGTTTTTCTTGAAAATCATACATTCATATTTTCTTATCTCGTTGAACAAATCAGTAGTGTTGTTGAGTTCGTCCCTGTTTAACTTATTCAAGACAAAACTAGGTAAACCAGTTGCAATTAGATCTATCATTGTTCTGGAATCTATCGATTTATTTATATCTAGTATAAGCCGTTCTTTTTTTATAGCATAATCAATTAACAGCCCTTCTTTATACTTGAATGTGAAAGCAGTTGTGACTACATCCCACCCTTGGTTCCTAAAAAGTTTCTAAAAATTTGTCTTTCCATTCATTCCATTCAGAATTTACTGATAGTTTAATTACCATCGAGCTATACCAATCCAAACTGGAGTTTTCTAAAAATAATCTCAATATATCTATTTTTGTTTCATCTTTTGTTATATTAAAACGCTCACACTCTTTTTCAAAATTCTCTATCCATTGCATTGCATTAGATTTTACTTGTGAATTTTTCGATAATAAATTTCTCTGAAACATGTTTTAAATTATGTTGATTTTCTTTTTTTTTGTAGATTCTATTAATTTTTCCAGGATATGTTGCAAATTATCATCATTGCCTCTTGGTTGTTTTGTGCTCATTTCCTCTAAATATTGATCTAAAAATTGCATATTACCTTCCTCATCTATATATGTTTTCTTTAGATCTTCATCTAATTTTACCCATATCTTTCTGCTTTGGTGCCTTTTCTTTACACTATTTTTATTTTTTTGAAAAAGTGTTCAATTTAACTATATATGTATGATGAATCACCGGCTTCAATTCATCAGGTAAAACATAACATTTTCCTTCTTCTGTCAATATTGAAGTTATGGCCAATATATTAGATTTGCCATCGATTGAGGCCATCATCGTGAACTCAAATTGCAGCCGGTCCATCTTCTTTTAGTTAACAAAAATGTCGTTTTATAAAGGAATATTATTATGGATTTTTTCTAAATGAAAACACAAAATTGTTTCTCTGAAATACAAAGAAACGACATTTAATGTCCACTTATCTATCTTTTTACACTATAATCCACTAAATTAATTTACACGTCATCCGCCATTTTATCGCGTGTCACTCCGACGCGTCAAATTCAAATTAATGAAATATCATTCCATTATATATATATATAGAAAAGAGACATGTTATTTCAGACACAAGATATAATAATGTCAAAAGTGGACCGACGGAGGAAAGGTGTCTTTGGTCCGTCCATGGGCAAAAAGGTAAGTCTAAAATATAAATAGGTTATAATCTAAATTGTATACGAGCGTTTCATACTGAGTTGATCATCGGACGTCGAGGCAGAATACGAAATTCCACCCGTAGCACCTCGACGTCCGTCGTTCTACAACTGAGCGTTTTTAAGGCAAAAACAGCTGCCCACTGTATTTCCGAACCAATTCGACTTAGGATCTTACAGGAAAGAACGTACAAGTTCGTAAAAGGCCGGCAGCCTTTTGGCATTGAGAGTGTCCTGTGTGTGCCTCCTGTTCTATAAAAAAAGTGATCTTATTGATAGTTTTGATATATTCCTTGTTGTTTGAAACCAAGATAATTATGAATATTGTTTTAAGGTCCGTTTTCTAGAACGCCAAACAAACTTAAATCTAGTTTCAGTGGCTGTCAAACCATTTTTTTCTGTATTAGTTTGACATGTTTGACAGCGCTCAAGGCGTGATTGTGGCTTGAGATACGAATTAGAATATGGCCCTCAGTTTACAAAGCTTGACGTTATCTAAAAAATCTCGTTTTTATCCTCCAAAGAAGACGTAAAGAAGATTATACGTGTTCAAAAGCTTATTTTGAGTTAGTAGTATTCTAAGCCTCCGAGAAGTTAGGTTAATAATATTATCAAACTTTCGTTAAATATAGTGCGTCTTATTCGTGGATGACCTGAGTATGCCCCAAAAGGAGCAATGGGGCGCCCAACCGCCCCTTGAGTTGCTTCGACAATGGATTGATCACGGTCACTGGTATGACCTTAAGGAGATGGTGCGCCAGGAGCTGGTTGATGTGGTAAATATAGGAAAAAATTATATCTGTAATCCCGTGATAAAATTATTAGTTTTCTATATATGAATTCCTGTTCGTTTGTCTCGCTAAAACTCGACAATGGCTGGACCGTTTTGACTAATTTTGACCTTAAACATTTGTGGAAATTCAGGGAAGGTGTTAAGTGTAAAAGGTGACATAACACATGTATAATATATAATAAATATATACGAAAATAAGAACAAAAACATAACTATAAATAATTTAATTTTCGAATAGAACTCGTTTCTAGCTTTAAAACAGTTGATGTCATTTGTTTTTTTAGAAATAAAAAAAATCACTTGGTTGTCAAATATTTTATGTAAAAATGTATACATATATTTATAAGTACCTATAAATTAAGTATGTCGATAAATTTTTATTCCACACTGTTAAGCATTTATCGTTAAATATAAAACTAGATAAGGTTTTTCGTAACCCTTGTTCTGGTGATAGCAGGACTGTGATCTGTCTAATGCGTTCTACTGAAAGAATACAATAATTCTACTATTTCCTTGGTTTTTTTTGTATTGACGTACCTTTGATTACCTTTAGCCTAAGTAACAGAGCTGATAAAAATTTGCCTTTACCTTCCAGTTATTTGTGTCGGCGATGCTGCCTCCTGGAGGCGGTTCCAACCTGATCTCGTCCCGTCTTACACGTCACACAGTTTTGATCACGCTCGACTCCTTTGAAGACAACACTCTCAATAAGATCTTCTGCACTATCATGGACTGGCACTTTGCTAAAGGTTTCACGGACACACTCGCTAGACAGAGCAAAGTTAGTAATTAGTAATAAATATACGATATTAGTGTGCTTTCGTACATTCGAGTCGGGAAATTAGGGAAACAGCCTTGCGATTCTGTAACTCACTTTTCGAACTCACACAGCGGTTTTCGCATCGGCGGTCGCTCTCAAATCAGTCGTGAAGCAGTCATTTCATGATTTGGCATTCTGATAAACAATAAAATGACTGCTTCACGACTGATTTGAGAGCGACCGCCGATGCGAAAACCGCTGTGTGAGTTCGAAAAGTGAGTTACGGAATCACAGGGCTGAAGTCAAAGAATTTCTGTTTTTACATTTCATTATTTTTTAATTAAAATCGGATTCAATCCTCATTAATTCGGTCGTAGCCTACCTCAATAACTGGAAACCTAAAAAGAGTAAAACGAATGTTACTGATATTTCGTAATGTGATGTTATGTTGCTTACTCGTTTATAATGTAGGTTTATTGGTGAAAGAATTAAATGAAACTGCTAATTCAGTTTTATCCATCACAAATAAATCTAATCTTTCCTTTTTATAATCATATTTAATATTATTATCGACTCAAGGTAGAGTAAGTTTTTTTACGTGAGTTTAGATGTAAATTTTCCGTGTTTTATGTACGTAGGTCCAACCGTTCAGTGGCGCTGATCGAGGTTTTTGTACAAAATTCAGTCAGTTCTATTTGTTTTTTTCTTTACTATTATAAGAGTATTGTTAGTAGCTTTAGCGTGCGACCCTCATTCCTAAGGTTGTAGGTACGATGCCCGACTGTGCCCCAATGGACTATTTTTCTATTTAAGATTCGCTCAAATGGTGAACGAAAACATCGTGAGGAAACCGGCTTGTCTTAGACCCAAAAAGACGACGGCATTTGTGATGTGCCTACTTGCCTATGATATTGATACAGAAATCTGAGACCCGGCCTAAAAAGCTTGTAGCGCCACTGATTTTTTTATGACTTTTTTATTACAGTCGATAGTAGGAGCAACGATGGAAGTATACAAAGCTGTGACCCTTCAATTCCTTCCCACTCCGAGTAAATGTCACTATTTATTCAATCTACGGGATTTCGCAAGAGTTATCAAGGGTGTTCTTCTTGTTCCCTCCACTCATATGAAGGATGTCAATAAGCTGGTGTTATTATGGATACATGAAACTTATAGAGTATTTTATGATCGCCTCGTAGATGATAGTGACAGGTCAGGCCAATGTACATAGAAAGTTTTTTTTATGTTGCAATTTAAGTCTAACAATACAAATAGTATTGTTAAATTATTTACGAGTACTAATAAAAAATCGGTTACGTCACAGACATTCTTAACCCTTTATTTGGCAAAGAACATAAACATTTTGAATTGAAACAAATACTGAAATAGGAATGTGTAGAAAAAGCCTAAATATGCCCAGAAAAATAGTAAATCTAGGGTTGTCAATTTTCCTGAAAAATCATGTATGCTACTACATACATTGCCAAGTGGGTAAAGAAATATGTATTCATTTGAATGTATGTTGGGACATACCTTTTACAGGCGTCGGGACGTGACGACCCATCGCCCACTGGTGAAATAACCTGTGACAGAGGTTATTTCATCAGCGCAATCAGTCAACCCCTTCCTAGTGGGAGTGCCATGCTGTTGCCTTCGGGCTTCAGCCAAATGGGCAGGCACGACCGGGGCAGTACCACTGTCTCTCAGAAAACCGGCGTGAAGTGATGCAAAAGGTTCGCCTTCTTGTACTCGCGTTTCGTGCGGTGAGAGATTCCCGAGCCCATCCCCCCCACACACACAAGAAATATGAAGGTGCAGAAAAAAACAGAATCTACCCCAGGGGGTACCACACGCGCTCGCGGTGGAGAATCCCCTCTGGCTCCACCACCGGGACACTCAGCACCCGGTGGTGGACGCACAGGCTGCCCTTCGTATTCTGGGGGCAATTCTGCGCTCTACAAAAATAGTAATCGTCCTCGGGGCAAACGGAGCAATTACGTATATACAAAGGCACCCCCGTCCACACTCGCCGTGGACTTCACAAATGTTAGGGGGCTTAATTCTAACATCAACGCTGTCCACTATCATCTAGAGACTGCGAAGCCGGCCTTGCTTTTCTTACCGAGACTCAGATATCCTCCCCGGCTGATACTTCCCACCTATCCTACCCGGGGTACAAATTGGAACATTCACTTGTGCCGCGGGCTGGAGTTTGCGTGTACGTCAGAGAGGATATCTGTTCTCGTCGCCTCGGGACGCTTGAAGGAAGGGACCTATCTAACCTCTGGCTGCGCGTAGACTGCGATGACCATCCGCGATTCTACGCATGCCTGTATAGGTCCCATAGCGGAAATACCGAAACTGACCGACTCATTGAGCACATCCAAATGGCTACAGATTCCCTGCTCGAAAGGGTTCCTACCGCTGAAATCGTGATACTTGGCGATTTTAACGCCCACCATGCCGATTGGCTCGGCTCTGAAACCACCGATCACGCGGGAAGATCCTTTCACGACTTTGCTTTAGCCTACGACCTGACACAAATGGTCCCTGCGATTACGCGAATACCAGATGTGGATGGTCATAAACCCTCTTTGTTGACCTTCTGCTGACTTCTCATCCGGAGAACTATCAAGTCTCTGTTGACCCGCCATTGGGTTCATCAGATCATTGTGTGGTCCGGAGTACTGTGCCATCTACGCGCCCTTCACGGCCCCGCTTTATGGGTTGTCGCCGTATTTGGCACTATAAGTCAGCAGATTGGGACGGGATGCGGTCTTTCTTTTGCGTCCTACCCTTGGGGGCCTATGTGCTTTTCGCCGGAAGCTCCAGATTCCGTCGCCGCCTCTGTCGCCGAAGTGGTTCTGCAGGGCATGGAACTCTTTATTCCATTTTCTGCGGTGCCGATCGGTGGCAAGTCTCAGCCCTGGTTTAAACGTTCTTGCAAGGCGGCCTCGCGTCGAAAGCGAGAATGCTTTAAGGCATGGGCGGAAGCGGCGAAATCTCGTGATGCCAATACCAGTGAACTTAAAAAAGCATATAACTCAGCCTCCAGGTCCTTCAAACGGGAAATCACTAAGGCAAAGTCAGAGCACATTGCCAGATTTGGCGAGAGATTGGCCCAACTCCCATCAGGGACTCGAGCCTTCTGGTCTCTCGCCAAAGCTGTCCAAGGGAATTTTTGTCAGCCCGCCATTCCGCCACTGCACAGGAGGATGACTCTCTGGCCCACACTGCGAAGGAGAAGGCTGACCTTTTGGGCTGTCTCTTCGCGTCTAACTCGACTTTGGATGACCGAGGGAGATCACCACCGACCATTTCGCGGTGTGATTCTTCGATGCCGGAAATCACATTCCGGCAACGTGCTGTCCGCAAAGCACTATCTTCCTTGGACATTCATAAATCGAGCGGGCCGGATGGTATCCCCCAATTGTGCTCCGTACTTGTGCTCCTGAGTTGGCTCCGGTCTTACGCGCCTTTTCCGGTACCTGTACTCGCTCGGCACTGTCCCGAAGTGCTGGAAGACCGCTTTGATACATCCGATCCCTAAAAAAGGCGATCGCTCTAATCCGTCCAACTATCGCCCAATAGCTATAACCTCCTTGTTCTCCAAAATAATGGAATCCATTGTTAATTGCCAGCTCTTGAGGTATCTAGAGGGCCACCAGCTGATTAGCGATTATCAGTACGGCTTTCGTCGTGGTCGTTCGGCTGGTGACCTTCTTGTATACCTTACACATAGATGGGCAGAGGCAATTGAGTCCAAGGGGAGGCGCTAGCGGTTAGTTTGGACATAGCGAAAGCCTTCGATCGGGTGTGGCACAGAGCACTGCTCTCGAAGCTTCCAGCCTATGGGCTTCCCGAGAAATTACGCAATTGGATCTCCAGCTTTCTGGCCGATCGGAGCATCAAGGTCGTCATCGACGGAGCATGTTCCGACCTAAAACCCGTAAACGCTGGGGTCCCACAAGGCTGTGTTCTATCCCCGACCCTATTTCTTCTGCATATCAATGATATGTTGAAACTTAGCAACATTCATTGCTATGCGGATGACAGTACTGGGGATACTTTTTACACTGGCCGGGCAGGTATTTCTCGGGCAGTTGTTGATGAGTACCGGAACAAACTTGTGTCTGAAGTTGAAACTCTACTTCGTGGAGTCTCAGATTGGGGCAGACAAAACCTAGTCCAATTTAACCCCAAGAAGACACAAGTTTGCGCGTTTTCCGCTAAAAAAACACCCTTTGTCGCTACTCCTCTTTTCGAAAACACTCTTCTTAAAGCCACAGCCAGCATTGGAATACTTGGCGTTGACATATCGAGCGACGTTCAGTTTCGCGGTCACTTGAGAGGGAAAGGCTAAATTAGCCTCCAAAAAAGCTTGGTGTGCTCAGTAAGGCGAGACGGTACTTCACCCGGGCCACCGCATGCAACTATATAAAGCGCAAATTCGGCCCCACATGGAGTACTGCTCTACCTCTGGGCGGGGGCCCCAGTACCAGCTCCTTCCACTTGACCGTATACAACGCAGAGCGTTTCGAATCGTTGACGACCAATCCCTCTCCGAGCGGCTTGATCCTTTGGCGTTGCGTAGAGATGTGGGGTCACTCTGCATCTTCTACCGCATTTACCATGGAGAGTGTTCAGAGGAGTTGTTCGGATTAATACCTGCAGCTGAGTTTCATCATCGGACGTCGAGGCAGAATACGAAATTCCACCCGTATCACCTCGACGTCCGACGTTCCACAACTGAGCGTTTCTCAAGGCAGTTTTTGCCGCGCACCACCACTACGTGGAACCAGCTGCCCACTGAAGTATTCCCGAACCAATTCGACTTAGGGTCCTTCAAGAAAAGAGCGTACCAATTTTAAAAGGCCGGCAACGCACTCGCGAGCCCTCTGGCATTGAGAGTGTCCATGGGCGGCGGTATCACTTAACATCAGGTGAGCCTCCTGCCCGTTTGCCCCGTTCTATAAAAAAAAAAAAAAAAAAAACCTTACCAAAACCAGTAAGAAAAAAGATCATAAATATGTATTGTAACTTTAAATAATAACAAACATAAATAAAACCTCTTTATAAAAATTACTTGATGTAGCGGGTATAATGGCTCTGCAACACTGTTATTGGAAGTAAATTCTGGAAGTAAACCCAGAAACTCTACTCATTTTTTAAAATGATATATTAGTTGACAATTCCTGGGTTTACTTCCGGTAATAAAACCGGACTTGGCATTTGCTGCAAATGACAGTCGTGAGCTTAGAGCATAACCTGCACCGACCCTGAGATGTCATGGTCATGAAATGAGCCACATTGTCAAATCGCGAGGACTCAGCAGGAACTAGGCTCGCTTTTTGTAGTCGTTTTTCGTCGGAGACTCCAGTAGTCTGTATATGTAGGCATGGTCACGAACCCCACGATGTTGTGAATAGCCAGAAAATCTTGAAGTTCGTCTTCAACTAATTCAATCGATCATCCGGATTTTTTCACTGAATACGAATTTCGTCGCTGTAGAATTATAACCTCGTACCAAGAAAACAGCGTACTAGTTACTTAAAAGGCCGATAACGCACTTTTGAGCCCTCTGGCAATATCAGCGTACTAGTTACTTATTTGTTACATCAAATAAATAAAAGTATATTTATTTAGAATTATGTTGCAAGTATTTATATAGTAAACATATTTGTACCTCTATTGAATTAATTACTTAAAATGTTTCCAGACAAAAATTGTTTGAGCTGGTTTACAAGGCCGTATACGGTTATTATCGCGTACACATGGACCAAGTACTCACTGAGACAGGATACGTCCCCGAGGGAGAAAAGTGCGGGAACAAACACGCCGCCAATATAGTCTTCGGGAACTATATGGAGCCGGATGCTGATCCCAAGATTTATGATCAGGTAAAGCAACAATAAAAATCAATTGACTTTATCATAACATTTTCTGATAGTCGGAGCATTCCCTGACATATATATGTGTAAGAAATTTTCTTCAGAATCCATACTCTGTGAACGGTAGGGTTACTCTTTATTATCTGCCATATGGGTTTAAACATGAAATTAAAGCTTTGAAACAGTCTTTTTCTAATATTTATTGTCGTTATATATTTTACTAGCAGACCTGCCAAGCGTTGCTGTGGCTAAGGTTTTTGTTATATTACATGCTAATAAAGTATTCAAGGGTAACGGTATGAGAACACCACTCATGGGGACCACCATGCTTTTTTGGTGGTTATGCCATTAAATTGTAGCTTATGTGAAACGTTGGTACTTTCATCACAGCGCCGCGCCATCTGTTAGAATTGTGTATCAAATAATAAACAAATATTTTTCAATAAAATAATATTGCGGGTATAAATTGAGATGTAAGCTATCCTATCTTTTAAGTTAGATCAAACTGCACACGGTGTGCAAATTTGATTGAAATCGGAGGTATCTAAGCTCAACCCCTGCAGAGTTATAATTAATTTTTTGTTTTATAAGAATATTGACTTTTTTTTTACTAATTCTTATTAAAATTCGAAAAAATCTACATCCTGTATCTTTTTCATAATATCCACTAGATTGGTACTGATGAGTTCTTGCGTTAGACATACTATTTATAGTTGTTTTTATTGCGTGTATTGAAGATAATATTAAGTTATACGATATAATTTTTTTTCAAATCATAACTTTTTGTTTACTTCTGACCCCACTGTGAAAAAAATTACTCTACCGAAAAGTGACCCTGTATAAGTTTTGGCGCATTTCATAGGGATTCTAAAAAGGTATTACACATAGCCATGAGTTTCAGGTCCTGGATCTAGAAGACATGGCTGTGAAGATGCAGTACTACCTGGACGAGTACAACGTGGTGTCGTCTTCCCCTATGTCCCTTGTAATGTTCCGTTATGCGCTGGATCATATTTCGCGCTGCACTAGAGTGCTGTTGCAGGATAATGGTAATGTATTATGTGTTCCCTTGATAATCAAATTCTTGAAACCACTACTCATACGAGTAAGGCTGAATTCTATCACTCCTCCTTTACTGTGCAAAGCATCCCGCTATGGAACTCCTTACATCTTGATATCAAACGAGCTCAGTCTTTAAATTTATTTAAAAATCTTCTTTTTGAGCTTTTATCTTATGTTTCGTAACCCTTAGATTAGTTTTTACATTATTATTCATATTATGAATAGTACTTTTTTTCAGATTTTAGTTAAGTTTAGTTTTAGTTATTGTTACATGTTATTTTATGTGATTTTTTTGTTAAATATTTATGCACTTCTTGTAATTTACCCTCTGCAGGTGTTTATTTTTTTATACTAGGGTTGCCTGGAAAATTCGCTTATTGGCGATAAGGCCGCCCGTCGCATAATAATGCCGGCCATACACACTACGGTCTACCGGAGAGGTCCACCTGTGCAGGTATGCCAGCGCAGGTAGACCGGAATGTGTGTGGGAATAGACGCAGGCGACCGGCGCAAGATCGAAAATCGATTCTTTCGAGTGACACCGTACGGTGTACCTGTGCGTGTGTGCGTGTACTCCGGTCGCCTGCGCAGGTTGTAATCGTAATGTAACTGATAATCTTTCGTGCGCAGAAATACTATTTCTTATAACTGTGTCTTCTTTTTTTATTATTCCTATAATACTCCTGTAACCATTTCAAGTAATTTAAGGTATGTTTTCTCGTCCATTCGAAGATAGTTTTTAAAATCTTCTGGTTCAAATTTCAATTCATTTAATAAATTAACATGACTATATGTTTTCCTTTTCAATAACCAATGCTTACACCACTTTCTTCGCTTGTTTTTCGTATCATTTTTCTTCAAAATTAAAGCAAGACCTAGCAACGCCAGCGTGTCATCGTCCACATTCTATGCCATCGCAAAGAGAACTGAAGACCGCTTCGATACACCCGAACGTCCCCATACACGATACCATTGTTCGGTTGACCTGCGCAGGCATACCTGCACAGATTACCTCTCCGGTAGACCGTAGTGTGTATGGCCGGCATAACGAAGTGTTAATAAATAGATATTCTGAGAACTGTATGCCAACAGTAAATATAATACGTCACAGAAATCGAAACAAAAAAAATTCTTTATTTCGGTAATTTCATAAACAAAAAATTTATCTATCTGAATTACAATAGTCTAGGATATTATTCGTAGTTTTGCTGATTGTTTTCTCTGAAAAAAAATGCAATCTTTGCAGGTAATCTCTTACTGGTGGGTGTGGGTGGCAGCGGAAGGAGCAGTGCTGTTAAACTGGCTGCAAGTATTCTCGAGATGAATGTTATACAGGTTGGTAATATATAATGCTGGTTTAATACTTCATGTATAAGGTTTACTTTCTGGAACCAAACGTACGTTGAAGTGTTCTTACATTGGTTATATCGCCAGACGCCAGATAATATGGAACCAGCTTGTCCAAGCAAAAGCCGCGGCGAAGATCGCCAACCCGTTGATGTGACCAAGTCACGTTTCTAACGGGTCTCCCCATAAATGCTGCGTTAAGGGAAGATATAGACTCAACAAAGTGGAGAGAAATCACTAGCAGGGGAGCAGGAACCTTCAGCAAATTAAGAATACGACTGAGAAGAAGATACGCTGCTTATTATTTAACATATTCATTTACTAGAGATTCGTTTTTTAGATTGAAATTTCTCGAGTATATGGACAAAACGAGTGGAGAGACGATATACGTAGAATGCTGATGAAGGCTGGTATCATCGGGAAACCGCTTGTCTTCCTTTTTGCTGATAACCAGGTATATTATTAGAGTTTCAAAGTTATTATTAGTTTATCATAATGTTGTGATGGTGCTTATTAAGTTCTGTTGAACTATTGTCAGTTTTTATATTACGCTTTTCAAGAATTTTTCGATATATTTACGTCTTTTGTGTCATTTATCCAAATGTGATGTAACTTTTTAGATAATGTACGAAGGGATGGTGGAGGACATTAATATGTTGTTGAATACTGGGGACATTCCCAACTTGTATGGCATGGATGAGAAAGTGGAGATATTGGACAAAATGCAGGCTGCAGTTAGAGAAAGTGTGAGTTGTTTTCTTTAAATTTTCATTACACGGCTAGAGATTTTCCCACGAAATGCAAAAAGTTTGACGATACGTTTCAATTCAGTGATGAGCTTTTATAACAAAACGAAAGGCTTTAAGGGACTTCAAAAATAATTTATAATGTTTAAAGAACTTTATTTCTCATTACAAAAAAGAATGTATTTTATTTACATGAGAAACTTAATATGTATATACGAACGAGATACACGTCGCCATCAGCCGTCCCAATTTTTAGTCTAGGTACTAGGCTCATTCTGATACCTAATCTTTAATTCCCTTTTGAATTGATTAATCGCGCTAATATTTCGAATTTTAGAAGGTTATTGATTAAATAATTGCGCACCCTAAGCAAACTCGCTCGACGAGTATTGCGTATGGTGTATTTGATTTTTTTAATGATAAGCTACTATGGAGTTAGTAATTTATATATAGTTAGTTATTTATTAAAGCTCAAGGAAGATTAAATCTTATTTATTTTACATTGCCGTTAAATAATAGTTGACATATATATATGTTATTAAATGCAGGGTAAAAAGATAGAGACGACACCGCTAGCGATGTTCGGCTTCTACGTGGAGCGAGTGAAAGCGAACCTACGAATTGTACTTGCAATGTCCCCTATCGGAGATTCCTTCAGGAACCGCCTGAGGATGTTCCCTTCGCTTATCAACTGTGCGACTATTGACTGGTATAATTTTTTTTATTTACATGTGGTTATGTGAATTTTATGTCGCATAGTATATATGTTTAGAACACAGTTAGGAGTTAACTGTTAAAATAAAAATAAAATATGTTTGCATGTTAATTTTAATATATTATCTCTTTAGATCTTCTCTGTTATTTACAAAAAATAATACCACATAATCATGATAAAATAAAAATATATGTATACACATAAAGTGTACGAAGAGAAAATTTACAAAAATTATTTCACTTAATATTAATACACTTAATAAATTTAAGTAGGTAAATTATGTTGTGTATTTATGTCATAGGCCTCCTCTAACTGCTTTCACTGCTTCCCATCAGACGTGACTCCAGTCCAGTATCGCCCCAGATGCGGTGGTACAGCTGGTTGATTATCTACCCAACAAAAAGCCAAGTATTACCGCGGAATAATTGGCACAATAGCTATATTAGCAAAGTTATAAATACTTAAGCATGAAAACAGCTAATACATATGCAAAGCTCCTTTAACTGTAAAACAAAATTCTAAACTACACTAGATTGTCCCAGCTTCTATTTCCCTTTCACAGATAAAAAATCTAACGTGATAAAAATTCTTGGTGACCAAGAGCGTTAAAAGACCTTGATCTTATCAGGTTCACGTCTTGGCCTCCGGAGGCGTTGGAGCGAGTGGCGTCGATGTTCATCGCGAAGATGGAGAACGTGGAAGACGATCTGCGAGAATCTTGCGTGGAGATGTGTCAGCTGTTCCATACGAGTGTGGTCTCACTTAGCGACAGGTATTGGGAATAATTTTTTATATTATCTTTAATATAAATAAATTAGAAGTGAGCTGCAGTTTTGGGGACTGTAAAGATTTGTTATGTTATCTATATAAAATTCTCGTGTCACAATGTTCGTTCCCATACTCCTCCAAAACGGCTCGATCGATTCTTATGAATTTTTTAATGCATATTCGGTAAGTCTGAGAATCGGCTACTATCTCTTTCAAAGCCCTAAGTGATATGGGGTGTCCACTCCAAAATTTATATTTTTTAGACAACATTTTTGTTTTTATTTTTTTATGATACAGTATACAAAAATACATACAGCCCTTAATGTTCACCCCTCTACGATCAACCCCTATTTTTTATTATAGTAGATGGTTATTTTTATTGAAACAACGTTGGCCGAGTCAGCTAGTCTTAATATATATATTTCTTGTGTGCGTGTGTATGTGACTGAACTTCTCTCAAACGACTGGACCGATTTTGATGAAATTTTTTGTGTGTGTTCAAGGGGATCTGGGAATGGTTTAGATTCACAAATCAGCCCGGCAGATGGCACTGCAGTCGGTACTTTCATACTTTGCTTAATATCCTAATCGCTTTAAATATCATGCAGGACAACGTCTGTGGGGTCCACTAGTATTCTATAATTTTCAGATTCTACTCTGAGCAAAAGCGTAAAGTGTACGTGACGCCAACAAGTTATTTGGAGCTTATTAAGGCTTTCCAAAACCTGTATGCCATAAAAGTTGATCAAATCACCAAAGCCAGGATACGGTATGTTACGTTTGTTGTACTTTTTTTTTAAAGTGGGACGTTTCAGCAAAATTTTGAAAATGTGTATTTTTATACTTACGGTAAAGTTTTATACTCGTGAAACTTAATGGTTACCACACGTTTCCGCTGTGGAGAATCCACTTCTGGGGTCCTCCATCGGAAAATATAGCATTCGGTGGTGCACGCACATGCTGCGTTTCGTATTCTTAGACTATGCGTTAAATAAGAGCCTACCAATTTTTAAAAGACCGGCAACGCGAGCCCTCTGGCATAAGATTGTCCATGGGCGTTATCACTTAACATCAAGGGAGCCTCCTGCCCGTTTGCCCAATTTTGTAAATATTATGTATCTTAATTTCGTCATCGATACTGTTATAAATTTTAAAGAAATATTTAGTAGAAAGTTATCGTTCGATAGATACGAGACAGGTCTGGAACAACTGGAGTTTGCAGCAGGGCAGGTTGCCGTGATGCAACAGAACCTGATAGATTTGCAGCCGCTGCTTGTTGAGACATCTGATAAGACTGAGAAACTCATGATCAAGATCGAGCAGGACACGGTTGTAGTGGAAAAGCAGAAAGAGGTATTTACTTGATACTACACTAGGGGTCCCGGCATCACCGCTGGACAAATCTACTAAACATATACAGTAACCCCCTACTACGGTACTATAATGACGCATTTCCATATTACGCGATTTTAGTCCCCCTTACACGGGTATTCCCCCATATAACGAGGGCATTTCACACGTTATATTACTATACTGTGACATTTATAATGATTTGTACGCACTTATTTCGTTCATAACATAGTTTTTCTTAAAAACAAGAAAAGTTAAACGTGAGATCATATAAGCGCGTTATGTAAGGTGACCAACTATTTTTTGTTCAAAAAGAGTACACTTTGCAAGTATTTCATAGGTGGAAAAAAAAGAAGAAAAACGATATAAAGTTTATTTTTTTTAAAAACAATTTTTCTTCGCATGGATTTTTTTTAATGAGGATGTTCGCTAATTATGTAGCCATATCCGAACAACTTTCATTTTGCATATAAATTTGACTGTTAAACGCAAAATTTTTTACAGAAAGTTGCGACTTCTTACTACTCAAAACCCTATGAAAATACCCTTATAACAGCAGCATTAGTGTGACTATATAAGAAATTCTATTAAAACTAAATTATACATGAGTACTTTCAGAGTACAGGATTTAAAAGAGTAGTTTGTGAAAAAGAGTAAAAACTCATTGAGTAGTTGTACTTATGCGAGATTAATCCACAACGCGGAACCAATCTACCATGTTATAGGAGGGATTATTGTATAGGTTTGGTCAGAATAAGTTCATTATTTATTTTATTTATTTATTATAAACATGATCTTAAATAGAAAATAAGTTGGTGTGGTGGAAACACTAACTGGACACAGTTAATAATAATAAACAATATTAGTATACATTTCTACACTATATTATGGTTTTATGGTCGGCTTAAGGTCTCAAAATTTATTTCCATATAAGTGACTCTTAACTAATGCAAGATGTTTTGACACTATGATACATAATACTATTTCAGATAGTCGGTGCTGATGAAGCTCTAGCAAACGAAGCGGCTGCAGCAGCTCAAGCCATTAAAGACGATTGTGAATCCGATCTCGCTGAAGCAGTGCCAGCCCTACAGGCGGCCCTTGATGCCCTAAATACCCTTAAACCAGCTGATATCACTCTCGTCAAATCCATGAAAAACCCTCCAGCAGGAGTCAAGCTGGTGATGGAAGCTGTCTGTGTAATGAAGGGCATAAAAGGCGATAGGAAAATGGATGCTAATGGTATATAAAAAATAATCAGTTTTAGATAAATTATTAGGGTTTATTAAAGTATTTAGAAATAACCGTGTCTGTGACTAAGTGAGAAGTTGTAGGTTTGATCTCGATAAAACCAAAAATTTTTTTCTACCTTAACATAAAATATCTATATTTTTGGACAAGAATTTCCTTCATGGGTCAAGAGATGTCTCTTAATAATGGAGGAAATTTTGGTTGAAACGAAAAAATCTTAATATTCATTTTCATCGCAGGCAAGCCGTTTGATGATTTTTGGGGACCATCGCAAAAAATGCTGGGAGATATGAAGTTTTTGGAAAGTTTGAAGAATTACGACAAGGATAATATCCATCCAACTATTATGAAGAAAATAAGAGACAAGTGAGCAGCTGAAATCAATAAGTATTAATATTAAAAAAGGGTTTTCTATTAACTCATTTCCATGTCCTAGATACATCCCAGACCGTGAGTTTGATCCAGCTGTGATATCGAAGGTGTCTTCGGCTTGCGAAGGCCTTTGCAGGTGGGTGCGAGCCATGGACGTCTATGACCGAGTTATCAAGGTTAGTTTAAACATAAATGAAATTTAATTATTTCATAGCAAATACATGATTTTTAAGATTGTGATCGGTATGAAGGGTTTCTGTTGTTGAATGTTTTTTAAGCGATCAAAATGTTATACTTTTAAGATTTCATTTAAAACACTGATATGCCACAATTGTACATTTTATATTAATTTCTTACATTTAGGTGGTAGCACCAAAGAAAGCAGCTCTAGCGGAAGCTGAATCTGAGCTCCAGATGCAAATGAACACCCTCAACGCGAAGAGGGCCCAGTTGCAAGGAGTCCTCGATAAATTGCAGGTTCATAACTTCCTCCATTTATACCAATTCTAGCATTATTATAAGACTCCGATATTTCACACAAAGATATATAAAGTAAAAGATGGAAATATTTAAAGGAATTTGGTAACTAGGTTCTTCTTAAAATGTCGATACTTCAAATTTTTAGATTTTTAAGATTTCATTGAAGGACTTGTATGTATTTTTGAATGAGTCCAATAAAACAAGCTCATATGAAAATTTGAATTAACTAGATTGGCTAGGACTACACATTACAATGCTAACATATACTCGATCATGTATATTCCAGGCGCTAAACGATGAATTTGCCGAGATGACCCGGAAAAAGAAAGGTCTGGAGGATGAAATTGACCTTTGCTCCACGAAACTGTCACGGGCGGAACAGCTGATCGGGGGTCTTGGAGGGGAGAAGGCTCGTTGGACTGATTTAGCTTTACAGTTGCAGAACCTGCTGGATAATATTATCGGTGACTATACAATTAAAATAAACTACCTACTTAGTTTCTCTGTACTCTTTAGATTCAACGGCATATTTGAAAATTAAACTAGCTTGGATAATGTGGAAGAATTTATTGCCAAATTTATTTCCGTCCAAGATTCAGAAACTAGACTTCAAGCGAATTATGATGTAAATCAAAATTCAATACGTATGTCTCGGTTTTGGATACACTTTTAAGTAAACTTTTTACAGCAAACATTTTATTACAATTTTGTAGATAAATCGATGTAAGCTTTTTTTGCTCCCACGTAAAAACACAACACTTAAATTATGGCATAAATAACAAGCAACTTTAAAAATTTCAGGTGACGTGTTATTGTCAGCAGGATTTATCGCTTATTTGGGTCCCTACACGGTGAATTATAGAAGAGAAATTATTCTTCTTTGGAACCAGCGCACTATTCAATTAGGTATTTTTTCCATTCTATTCTATAATGGAACAGATAGACCGTCTCAAATCTAACAAAAGGGAATGTGGCATATACGATATGCCTAGAGCCTTTGCTCATCATATAATAGCAGTGGCCTAGTGGCTTCAGCGTACGACTCTCATCCCTGAAGTCGTAGGTTCGATCCCCGGCTGTGCATCAATGGACTTTCTATGAGCGTATTAGATTTATTTTTAAATATAGTCAAATATCTAAAAAGATTAAACGAAAATTTTAAGAACCTGAAGTCTACTTTAACTCTAGAACTATTTGTTTAATTCCATTAAAGTAAATATTAGTTATCAATTCCAGAGATACCATGTTCGGAGACATACTCGCTTCTATCAACACTGGGGGAACCGGTTGTGATCAGGGCGTGGAACATCGCTGGACTACCCGTCGACGCCTTCTCTATTGAGAATGGCATTATTGTTGAAAAATCAAGGAGATGGCCTCTTATGATTGATCCTCAAGGTCTGTTCTTCAAGTTTTTTGGTACCTTGTCTATAACACATAAATATTAGTTACGTATAGTACTACCTTAAAGTCAACACATCAGGCAGTGTTGCCAGGCTTGCGACAACCTCTTTAAATACTTGCAAGTCTTCCGGTGTTGTAGTCTTGCTGGTGTCCATAGTTGCCGGTTCTTAACTCTAAGAGTCCCATCTGTTCTTTTGGCTACTGTCCCATAGTAAATAAATGTCCATATGTCCAATAAATGGTTAGATTAGACTGTAGCGACATCTACAAAGCGCTTACAAATCACTGCAATTACTTCATACTTGAAACACGCTAATGAAGTTATTTTGGCCGCTAAGGATAAATAGAACTTCTTGACCTTAGCCACTGGGACCTTCGGCCTTCGGGCAGTGGTAAGATTGGTCGAGAGTCCTTTCTTTAGGTTGGAGGAACAGTACACCATCCTTCCTCCACAAGACAATCTCCAATTATTATGGTAACTGTCTTCATGCCGGAGAAGTCATGCTTATTCAAATGTGACGGGCAGTTGCGTTGTGTGAGGGGTAGTTTAACTGCCACAAATATGGTTGAGTAAAACGAAGGCTGGCTCACACGTCATGCTTGTGAACAGGTGCCGCTTCAGGAAACTGGACTGCGAGGTTTCCGTTCAGTTTTGTAACTCCCTCCTTTCTGGTTTCTTCTATCTATAGTCATTTTGTATGATGATTTGATATTTTAAAAGAGTACAGAGAGTTTTTTACTCCGGCTTTTTCTCTCTGCCTACACCCTCTGTCTTCTTTGCCGATGAGTAGCGATGTCTACCGATTCAAATTTAATGACGTGGAATAAGTGATACCTGTATCTTCTATTCCACAATAAATATATTATTTTTCATGGTTGTGTAGGTATGCATATTTGTGTCTATGTATAATCCTTATAATTCGTGACTTTATCGATTTATTACATCATAATTGGCAGTTTTTGAGATGAACTTTCTTAAAATAACTGTGATGATGACAGAAAATATTATCATCAATTAATTATTTTATCTTCAATAGAGCAAGCGAACAAATGGATAAAAAACATGGAGCGTGATAATCAATTGAAGGTGATAAAGCTAACGGACCCGAATTACGTGCGTGTGATGGAGAATGCTATTCAGATGGGTTTGCCGGTCATTCTGGAGAACATACGGGAGCATCTTGATGCTGTACTGGAACCGGTTTTGCTTAGGAATGTATTCAGGTGAGAAGAAAATCTGAAAGCGCTATTAACATCGTCCTTAATACCTACTTTATAATTAGACATACGTTTTGTTTGTCATTTATATCTGGTTAAATGTGTATTGCGTTTTTATGTATTGTGTAATGGTATAGCTATTATTAGTATAACTAGCTGTAGGAATATTAAATATCAAATGAATAAATACTAGTTATTTACCATTTATTAGATATTCAGGTACATGGATCTGCTTCTGGCCTGATTACTCTAGCATAAGATCTCATTCACTCTATTCAATTGATTGCTCCTGTTACGTTATAGATCAGGTGGTGTGGAATGTCTGAAGCTGGGAGACAATGTGCTAGAATACAATCACAGTTTTCGCTTCTACATCACAACAAGACTTAGCAACCCTCACTATTTGCCAGAAATCGCTGTCAAGGTACCCATAACTCTCACCCTTTTCCTCTCTCAAGTTCTCCACCGCCTCGATGATCGAAAAACTAAAATTATTATTTTTAGGTAACAATGCTGAACTTCATGATAACCCCACAAGGTCTCCAAGATCAGCTGCTTGGAATAGTGGTAGCTCAAGACAGACCTGAGCTGGAGCTGAAGAAGAACCAGCTCATCGTGGAAGGAGCTAATAACAAGAGAACCCTGAAAGAGATTGAGGATAAAATTTTAGAGGTATGCCAATAATATTTATAGTACAAGTTTGGTGAATTTATTGTGCATTAATTTTTATTTTATTTGATTAATTTCTTGACTAGCTGACCCGGCGAACTTCGTACCGCTATTTATTTATTTTATTTATTTACAGCCTTGTATCAGAAATACAAAATATATACGTTATAACTATTATTTTTATTAATCTACGATAACTGATTCTGTGTGCCTACGGGCAAAGGCCTCCCCCATTGTCCTCCATTTTTCCTTATTGTTTACCAATCTCGTCCAGGTCTTAGTCTTTCCAGCCATTTCCATATTTCATCGGCCCACCTTTTAAATTGCCTACCTCTGTTTCTTTTATGGCCTCTTGGTTGCCATAGTGTCGTACCGCCTAACACTCAATAAATATATTTTTTTAATTTCTGAACGCACGCATACATTTTAACAACCAATATATTTGTCAATCCTATTTCATTACTTACATTATTCTACATTTTTAAATCTAAAATATGCTTTAATCCGAATATGGAAACCATTATTCAGAAACGTTCTTTAATTTGAGGGAAAAGTTTACCGTATCGAACGATTTTCATCCAAAGTACTTACTATATTGTACACTTTCAATAAGAAAGAGACAAAAGGATGATATAATCTTCTTTTTTCGTTGTCAGGTGCTATCTTCAGCCGGAAATATATTGGAAGACGAGTCAGCCAACCAAATTTTATCATCGTCCAAGGTCCTTTCCATAGAGATAGAGGCCAAACAGGCAGCCGCTGCTATCACCGAGAAAGAGATAGATGAAGCTCGACTTCTTTACGTTCCAGTCTCGAAACATAGCTCTGTCCTTTTCTTCTGTATCTCGGACTTGTCCAATATTGATCCTATGTATCAGTACTCGTTGAATTGGTAAGGTTTCCTTGAAATATATATTAGTTATAATCAATTATATTTTAAGTTATAGGTACTTTGAATATTCATTTAGAAAGAAATACGACTGTTTTGTGGCTCTTATATTATTCTTATTGGCAGGTTCATCAATCTTTACAACCAAGCTATATTGAATTCGCCCAAAAGCGATGTTCTGGATGAGCGTCTGGAAGGGCTCAATGCATTCTTCACGAAGAGCATTTACGAAAATGTCTGCCGAAGTCTTTTCGAGAAGGACAAGCTTATCTTCTCTCTCGTTCTCACACTTGGAATACTTCGTGCTAGGGTAACATTGAATTGTTTTTCTGATGTTATTTTTGTACTTCGCTGATTTTTAAACGAATGCCGGCCATACACACTACGGTCGGTACGGTCAAAATTAAAGCAAGACCTAGCAACGCCAGCGTGTCATCGTCCAAATTCGATGCCATCGCAAAGAGAACTGAAGACCGCTCCGATACACCGGAATGTCCCCATACACGCTACCATTGTTCGGTTGACCTGCGCAGGCATACCTGCACAGATTACCTCTCCGGTAGACCGTAGTGTGTATGGCCGGCATTATAGTTTAGAACTTTAACTAAAAGCAGTTTAGCAGATAAGGCGTAAAAGAGTTTTCGTATTTGGGATTCAAGTACTGCGCTCATAATAAAATATTATTTATTAAAAATAAAATAACAAAATGAAAATAAAACTAGCCGTTTAATCAGGATTACATTAAGTCCACATGTTTAACATTAGTACACGCCCTCCTACGCAGTGAAGGCCTCTTCTAAATTCTTCCACTTGTCTCTCATCCTCCCATCCACCACTTTCCAATCCTTCCCCGCTTTCCCTTTTATTCCATCTTCCCAGGTTTGTAGTGGGCATCCTCTCTTTTTACAAACGAATATAGTCTTGAAAAATTCGCAGGGTGAAATCGACGATGAGTTGGTATCATTTCTCCTGACTGGTGGAGTGGCCTTGGAGAATCCTTACGAGAATCCAGCTCCCACTTGGCTTTCAGACAAGGCGTGGTCGGAAATCGTGCGCAGTAGCAATCTTAACGGGTAAGATCCAAAGTCTTAATTTTCAACGCTTCATTTACGTCGAAAATTAAAAAAAAATTGTTCAAAGAACTAGTATTTATATAAAAAAATTATTATAACAAACGGACATAGACCAGAGGACTCTCAAGTGCGATTCCGACCTTTTAGGAATTGCTACACTCTTTTCTTGAAGAACCCTAAGTTAAATTGGTTCGGAATTATGTCGGTGGGCTGCTGCTCTACATAGTGGTGGTGCGCGGCAAAACCCAAGGCAGGTCACCAAGCTTTTAGAGGCTAAATGTGCCTTACCTTCCAAATGTTCTCGAAACTGAACGTTATTCGATATGTCAAAGCCCAGTATTGCGATGCTGGCTGTGGCTTGAGTGAAGAGAAGAGTGTCTTCGAAGTAGAGGAGTAGCGGCAAAGGGTGCTTTTATATAAAATTTGGTTAAAATAAAGTAATATTATAAATAATACGATAACAATGAATAGCACGTTTAATTGATTTTGTATTAGCATTCCAACCATCGTCTAATTATTATCGATGGTTATATAAAGCTTATCACACGAAAATAACTTCTCATTCCTAAGACTGTTCTAATCTCTCTTTACGACTTGTTTATAGCCCTCGAAACGTTGTATAACGAAAATTAACCAAAGACAATGTCTAAGGAATTTGCTTAGCAACAAAATTGTGTGCAGTACATTGCTTTATATAGGTATATTATTCACAACAATTTTATGACATACTTAGATAACAAATCAAATCGTTTCATAAATTTATTTATATTGATAAGTTTTAATAAACCTATCTTACACACAGAAAATACAAATTTTGTCAATAGTGTTGTATAAGATATTGTCATACGAGATGCCAAACTATTTAATATAAGATCAATCCAGAAATAGATTGTTACTGTACTCTAATGTACTATTTCGAATCATTAGATATGGGTAGCGTGGCCGAGCGGTCTAAGGCGCTGGTTTAAGGCACCAGTCTCTTCGGAGGCGTGGGTTCGAATCCCACCGCTGCCAAGATATCTTTTTAGTTTTTTTGTAATATTACCAGTAGATTATAAATTATGAGCAGATGAATAATTATAAATTAAATTTAATGAGGATTTAGCGCGTTATTTATATAGATAATTAATATGTATTAAAACGTACGCTCTGAACAAGATATTAACAATAATAATTGTTATATGACAGTACGTTATATCTGTAAATTTTCTATAAAATAGCCATATTTTATTTATTATTATTTTTATTTTATTTATTCAATATCAGGTTTTTATAATGCAATAATATCTAACATTTTTAATATAACGATTGCCATTTACAGGTTACGCGGTTTTAAAGAGAACTTTGAAACGAACGTGCCTAATTGGAAAGAGTTCTACGATCTATCAGCTCCGCACGAGACGTCTTTCCCACATCCCTATGAAGAAATTCAAGGCATACCCAAGCTGATTATGTTGAGGTATTCTTATATAATTTATAAGTAACTGTGCGCGTTTGCGTATCTGCTTATGGAGATTTGTTTTTTAAAGCAGACGTGATCGATATGGTTTTTAGTTACAATTATAATGGCATCAGCTCTTTGTGCAGTTACGAGTTACGGTAGAAGTGTTGGCGGTTAATACTTGTAATTGTATAATTATGGGATCCTACCTATGAGTACACAAACTAATATAGTCAAAGTCAAATCAGTTATTTCAATTACGCCTGTTAAAAGGCAATTTTGAAAATCAAAATTACAAGTTAAAAATATTTTTTTAAAATTACTTTAGTTTCCCCTTCCAAACGATAGGAGATGTACGGAGAAAAATGGGCAAGAAACTACTTACTTACTCTTTTAAAATAGTTTTTACTATATGTTGTATACGTTGAAATTATATGTGAAGACCATGTTCCTAGAACAAAGAAAAACTACTATACTTACTAAAATAAAATAGGCGCATTGTGTTATAGAAAATAATTCAGCAGATGATTATTATGTAGACATGGTGCTCACTGCTCACATATACACAAATATTGCAACTATAGATATGACATTATTTTTTATATAAAAAAATATAATTAACATACATTTAAAGAAAAAACTTTTTAACCGGATTAAAGCGTGCGTGGTCACCGTGACCACGCACGCTGTAAAGCACGCGAAACGTCGGATAAATTTAAAATTATGTTAAATAATTGTAAATTTATAATAATACATAACTTTAATCCGGTTAAAAAGTTTTTTCTTTAAATGTGTAAAGGTTATGTTAATCAAAGACAATACAATTAACATACAGTCATACAGTGTGTGAGCTATGTCAAAGTTGATTTCTTTAAAAAAAATAACCTATACACTAGATTAGCAAGTTGATTTTGTCTAGTTTGATTGTCCTATGATCAAGGACCAGCGTGTATCCAAGCATTTATATTATCTTGACTATACGTATAATCCTCTAATTATAAATAGGAATTATTACATAATAAATATCGTTGCTTTCAACAATAGATCGTAATTTGTGTTTGCGACGTAAATGTTTATTTAGTGACGGTCTCGTTAGCCAGCAAATCAATACGATTGATTACTTCAGGATTTTTATAAAGAGGTTTATTGTAATAATGTTTGATTTTATTTAAATTAACCATTCTTGATAATATTGATAATGACTTTACAAAACCTACATTATATTCGATTATATTACAATGAACGATTTTTCACCAGAATATTCTCACGACTTGTGTTGTTTAGATGCATCCGTCCTGACAAGTTAATACCACTAGTCCAACAGTATGTGGTGGTGGAAATGGGCCGTACCTACATCGAACCACCACCCTTCGACTTGGAGAAGTCCTACAATGACAGCAATTGCTGTTCTCCGCTCATTTTCATCCTGTCTCCCGGCTCTGATCCTATGTCAGGGCTGGTCAAATTCTCCATGGAGAGAAAGGTCGTGAGCTTCGAGACTATTTCGCTTGGTCAGGGACAGGTACGCTATTTGATTTTCTTTTTTTTATATAATAGGGGGGCAAACGAGCCTACGTGACGCCCATAAAAGGCAGTCATCGCAGCCCATAGACAGTTTTTAGTGGGTGCGTTGCCGGCCTTTGAGAGGAGTACATCCGAATTTTGAATAATTGGAGGTCATACCTTTCATGGAAGACCCCGACCGGGAGACGATACCACAGTTCGCTAGTTCGCAAAAGAAAATTTGAACATTATTACTATTTTGGTGATTGGGGAGTAATCTTTGAAAATGCTGAATTCATTTAGAAGTCTCATAAAAGTGGGAAGATATTTGTAGAACGTAGCTTAACTGTCATTTTCGACTGTGTTTTTATATTTGTGGTTTCCAAAGAACGAATTCATACGTTCAACAGCTATTTGTTTGTACAGAATAAGCGTTACTAACTAATTTTTTTTTGCAGAACAAAAACAAAACAAAAATCATTGCCTTTCAATTACAAATAAAATACAATTTTCCAGGGTCCAATAGCAGCGAACATGATTAACTTAGCTATCCAGACAGGCGGTTGGGTGGTCCTGCAGAACTGCCACGTGATGGACTCCTGGATGGGGGAGCTGGAGAGGATCTGCGCGGAGGTCATCATCCCTCAGTACACGCACAAGGAATTCCGATGCTGGCTCACCTCATACCCCAGTCGAGCGTTTCCCGTTACCGTGCTGCAGAATGGTTAGATACTATTCAATTGTACTTGGGACCTGAGACGTAATGAAAGTCAGCCACAGTGGCTCAATGACAAAATGAAGTGTTAAAATATTGCAATGTCCTGAATAAACTTATCTGCTATTAGGATTGACGGCAGCTATATTAACGTAAAACTTTAAAAAAATAATAAATTTAAACCAATATATCTGACAACAAAAATACGTATTATTACTTCTTATTAGTTATATTACTTGAAGACGTTTAGGGACGATTTTATTAATTATATTTTTTTTTAAAATAAAGGATAGGTTATTTTCAAAATAACAATTATTAGATTCAGATTGAATGTTACAAGCTATTTGATACAAGTTGATTGTAATAATGTATTTAAAATACTATAATAGTTGTTTAAAAATGCTCTTAAGATGTATGTAAATCAAGCGTGAATGAATATTGGTCTTATTTTTAAGTATGGTTTCTCATCGAGTAATGATATTTTTAGTTAGTGTAATAAATTAGTCATTATATCCGTTTATAAGAGATTACTTATATAATAAATCATAAATTCACTCACATTACTAATAACCATACCATAACGCAGGTGTGAAAATGACAAATGAAGCTCCCAAAGGTCTAAAAAACAACATTTACCGTTCATACATATCGGATCCCATTTGTGACCCCGAGTTCTATATATCGTGCCCTCGAACTGAGGAATGGCGAAGACTTTTGTTCGCACTTTGCTTCTTCCACGCGATTGTTCAAGAGAGACGCGCCTTTGGTCCTCTCGGATGGAACATTCAGTATGAGTTTAATGAGAGCGATCTGAGGATATGCATTATGCAGTTACAGGTTTGTAACCAGACAATTTGTTTGTTATTCGGTAGTTTTATTGTTATATGTAATCAAAGTTGTTGTTGTAACTTTTGTAAACTTGTACACAATCTAATATAGATATAAAATTCTCGTGTCACAATGTTCGTTCCCAATTCATACTCTTCCGAAACGGCTACACCTATTCTTATGAATTTTTTTATGCATATTCAGTAAGTCCGAGAATCGGCTACTATCTATCTTTGTAACCCCTAAGTGATAAGGGGTGTCTATCCCTAAAAAAGACACCCATAAATTTTATTTTTTAATGATACAACATATAAAAATACATACAACCCCTAATTTTCACCCCTCTACGATCAACCCTTATTTTTTATTTGTTAATTTAAAACTTATGACTTGAACTCTGAGGTTAATATAGAGAAAAATCACAGAAAAACCTAAAAAGTTTTCATTCCGGAAAACCGAAGAGTCTCTGGGGTAGCATAGCAAAATGTTCCATGTTGGTATGCACTAAAAGGTAGGCTAGGCATTAAGGAGAAACGAAGTTCACGGGAGCAGCTAGTTATGTTATAAAATTACAGTTTACTTATTAGGCTCAAAATTTTTTTTGGTTTATGTAATGGAGGTTGAAGGGTGTAGAACTTTGTATGAAAACAGTATCAATTCAACTTTAGATGTTCCTAACGGAATACGCGGAAACGCCCCTAGAAGCCTTGAACTACTTAGCGGGTGAATGCAATTATGGTGGAAGGGTAACAGATGACAAGGATAGAAGACTCATCATGTCGCTGCTCTCTCTCTTCTACAATGAAGATGTTACTGCGGAGCTTGAGTGAGTTACTTGGTAAATTCACTTATATCGCGCATAAATAACGCTGCCTTTCAAATGGTAGAACATTCAGATAAAAAGTATTCTTGACCATGGGTGTTCAATTAAAAACAATGAGCTAATATCTACTATATGCACAAACATACATTATGTTTTAAATTATATCGAATTATAATAGAATACCAGTCACATTGTATCAGTGTCATGAATAATTTTATATCGTTACCTTACATAATTTTATTAAAAGGTGATCAGCCTTCTATGTCTCACATACTTGTAATTTTTTTGGTCAAAGACCTGCGGGCTTCCTCTCATGTTTACCTTCGCCGTACACGTAAGGCCTAATTCCATTCATAGAAAAACATTGTGAAATTCCGTTGGTGCACCGTCGGGATTTGAACGCACAGACTCAGAGTTGAGCGCTTATACCACTAGGTCAACACTGCTGTAATGATTTTATATGAACAAAGCTTTTCCTATCCTCCCTAGTTACTCGTTTTCTCCGAGTGGAGAATATCGTATGCCAGCCAGTATGGACTACAATAGTGTGTTGGAACACATTCGTGCGTTGCCAATGATCGCCAAGCCAGAAGTGTTTGGTCTTCATGAGAACGCTGACATTACCAAGGATAATAAGGAGACTGCAGCCGTGAGTCGTTCTGATTATGTTAAATATATGACGGGTCGGAAAATTTGATATTTTTTATATAGGATCCGTTGGTGTTACCTGCCGTTTCAATTTAAATTATTGGGATGTCTGGAATAGATGGCGATCACTTTATTATTCTAATAATTATTGTCGATAACAGCTCCTTACACTCGACTTCTCTCTTTCTGTTCTAAAAAAATGTTTAAGTCTGCAGAGGCGTCGTCTCTAAGAGAAGAGGCCTTTTGCGACTCTTGGGAGGCCCAAATTACCTTGGAGTCAATGACCTTCTTTGGGCCTTTGCCGTATCGGTATAACCATGTCTTTCCTATTGAAAAATTGGTCGAATCGTAACTTTAATTATATATCATAATTTCGACTTGAAATCAAAACTGTATATTGGAATTATTTCTTTCCCAGCTCCTATTCGGTTGCCTCTTAACGCAGACGTCCATAACATCAGGTGGTGGTGGAGGTGAGGGGGGCGAGGGAGGGGGCGTGGTGGAGCTGACTCGAGACATGAAGTCCAGACTCCCCCCGCCCTACGATGTCTTCGACGTCTCACAGAGATACCCCGTTCAGTACTATAACAGTATGAATACAGTGCTTAAACAGGTAATCTATATTTGCTTTATAGATGTTTGTATGCATGGGAATTTCTAGATTACAAAAATGTATATTTAATGTCTGAAGATTTGAGGAATTTAATCACAAATATAAATAAGAATTTAATTTGTGAAGCACCTGGAATATGTAGGTACACAGTGTGTTTTTATTTCATATGGTTGGTTATATTTTACAGGAACTGATCCGATACAATCGTCTCTTGGCGGTAGTAGCACGGACGCTACATGGCGTGTATATGGCAGCCCAGGGTCTGGCCATCATGAGTGCAGAACTGGAGGAGTGCAACAATGCGTTTGTCAAAGGCATCGTGCCTGGTGCTTGGATGTCCAAATCATATCCTTCTATGAAACCCTTGGGCTCATACGTCGCCGATTTTCTTTCAAGGTATACAACATAATAAAACCCTGTAAATTTTTTGAATGGAAATGAAGAACACCCAAAAAGCCATAGATTATAGTTCTTCTGCATTTTACATAATTTCGGATATAAACAAAATAATAATATTTAATCAAGGACTAGAAGATACTTTGTAGATTACTTATATATAAGAAAGTACCAACAGTTTTGACTTTGGGGAAATGTTACAAGCTCCGACAGTAGGGTATTTGTCGTTTTTAAGTGTTACTTGTTAAATGAATGAGACAAAACCTTCTTTAAGAAATATAGTATTATTAAGGTGACCAACTATTTTTTGTTCAAAAAGAGTACACTTTGCAAGTATTTCATAGGAGAAAAAAAAAGAATAAAACTTTATTTTCTTTTAAAAACATATTTTTCTTTGGAGTGGATTTTTTTTTCTAAATGTGGATGTTCGTCTAAAAATGTTGCCACATCCGAACAACATTCATTTTGCATATTAAATTTGACTGTTAAGACGGCAGATAATGTTTTTACAGAAAGTTGCGACTTCTCACTGCTCCAATAATCATTTCCAAGTAATCATGTCCAAAATACCCTTTCAACAGCAGCATTAGTGCTTGGACAACATAAGAAAATTTCTATTAAAACTAAATTTTACAAATGCGTAGGTACTTTCAGAGCACAAACTCAAAACTCAAACTCAAACTCAAAATATCTTTATTCAAGTAGGTAACCAAGTACACTTTTGAATCGTCAAGTTAAATTAATCGTAAATTTACATTTACTACCAGTTCGCAAGTCAAGGGCGTAGAGCGGGTAAGAAGAATGGCAAGAAACTTTCCGCCACTCTTTTAATCGCCAAGTATTGTCATACAAATTGTTTGAACTGGAGCAATTCAATCCCAAGGATTAGGATCATTTAAGTAGTCCTCAAATTTATAAAAAGCTTTGTTGATTAATTTTCGTTTAAGAGGGCTTTGAATTTATTTAGTGATAATTCTCTAATTTGTTGGGAGCTTGTTGTAAAAACGAATACAATTTCCATATAAGGAGTGGTTTATCTTTTGGGCTGTTGGTGGTACACTCAAATTAGTTCTATTTCGCGTATTATACTGGTGAAAGTCACCATTTGTTTTAAAATCGTTTATATTTTTTTGGACATACAACAAGGCTTCAAGAATATATTGACCAGATAGTGTCATAATATTTAATTCCTTAAACTTATTCCGTACCGACTCCCTCGGAGAAACACAACAAATACCCCGAACAGCCCGCTTCTGCAGCACAAATATGGATTGAACCTCTGCAGCAGCACCCACAGTAAAATGCCGTACGACATAACGCTATGGTACACAATTTTAGCCGTGTCCTCATCAGTAAACTGTCGGATTTTCTTAATATATGCTGAGAGCTCAGCCTATGAAAGAGTCTCTATGTGTGGGCCCCATTGGAGTTTACTATCTATTGTTATGCCTAGAAAAACAGTTTTGTCAACAAAGTTTAGTTCACTGTCCTTAATTTTCAGGTTACCAATATCTCGCTTTACGCTAGTAGTTGTAAATCTAATACATTTTGTTTTATTCTCATTAAGCAATAAGTTATTTACATTAAACCAGTTAACTATAGAGAGATAGAATTGTACATCGTCAATAATACGTTATTCCTATTCACTTTAAATAGAAGTGAAGTGTCATCAGCAAACAATACCATCTCATGAACTTCGTTGACAAAGAATGGGAGGTCATTTATGTAAATCAGAAATAAGAAAGGCCCGAGAATCGATCCTTGGGGACGCCCATTGATACCTGGAACCGGAGAGGTGACTCCATTGACATGAACTCTTTGGATCCTTCCCTTTAAATATGAATTATAGGCTGGAAGCTTTGCCATCAACGCCATAGTGTTGAAGTTTCAACGAGTATATAGGATGAAACAGTCAAAGGCTTTGACAGGTCAAAAAGAGCGACTCCATCATATGATTCTTCCAGGGTTAAATATGTCCGAAATCAACTTACACCGGCATGATTGTGAGGACCCTTAGTGAAACCATACTGTTTATTATGTAAGAGTTTATTTTTATTAAAATGTAAAGAAAGTGGTTAGATATTTTAAAAACTTTGTCAAGAGGGAGAGGAAAAGGTTGAAGTTTGAGGATAATATAGGCTTGAACAACGGTGTAATATTAATTTATTTGTGGAAAGCACAGGATTTAAAGAGTATGGTTTGCAAAAAAGAGTACAAAACTCAGTTAATGAATATAGTTGGTCCCCTTAGTATTATACAAATGAGATTGTTCATCTATAAATGCTTCAGCTTAGCAAGAAGCACATGAAATAAAAAACCATAGTCTTAGATAATATTAAATCACTTTACTATCAAAACATTTGTGTCTGTGTACATTATATCAATAACTACTTGTACTCAGTCTGCCCTTAAGACTAGTAAAGATATTGCACTAATAGTGATGTCAAAAGTAACAACCATATCACAAATTGAGATTTACATGCTTCTACATTAAACTGCAATATTAAAGCTTCCTTTAACCTAGACTGGGTTGGCTAATTAGAGAAAATGATTTTAATAATAAACAACCAACACATAAAGTATTTAGTTTTTGATCTATATAATAAAATGTCTAAAATATAGTTCCTTCCACAATTATTGTATTTATACTAAAATTGTATTAGACCCTATTGGCAGTACTAAGTTTAAAGGGGAAATCTGTCATTTTTATTCTTTCTAATAGATCTATGTCTTGATAAGCTCCATATTATATTTGTATGTGTTGTTCAGTTCAAGCTCATAGTCTATTGTCTTGATAATTTTCTATCAAGGGAAATATATAAAGCAATGCTTAACATAAAACTGTAACAGAGGTCTTCAACCATCAGTTTTCTTTGCTAAATCGAGTAATTTATTCATTAGCTCGCCTCCAAAGGATTCTCTGTACTTCTGGCTTATACTGTTCAATAAGGCATATGGAGTCTCATAGTTCATATTTTCTATAGTTGCAAGGTTTGTGTCATCATATTTTCGTCCAACTACTCGGAACCCTGCCGCAGACATTTCAATGCAATAATTAAGGTCTTCTAAGGTTGTCAAATTCAAATACACACATTGGTTGGTGTTTTTAAGTGCAGTGGATATGCAGGCAGTTTTAACATGCTTTTTTATATCATTGATGGCGGCTTCTGCTTCTTTGGGCCAAGTGTTTTGATCTAGCACTTGTTCTGACATCTGTAATGATAGTAAAGTAAACTAAGTTTTCACATTTTAAATTCTTGGATTATCAGAAATGATTCATCAGCTTTTACTTAATGTTTAGTACATTATTTTTTTGTTTTACTACAATATAGACATTATTTAATAGATTAAGCAGAATAATACTGAAGAAAAACATGAAGAAGGTCTCTATATTCTATCTATATCAATGTTTATTTGCAGATTAAAGTTCTTGCAAGACTGGATAGATGAAGGGCCACCTATAGTATTTTGGATATCAGGGTTCTACTTCACACAGTCATTCCTGACTGGTGTCTTACAGAATTATTCTAGGCATAATCGTATTCCTATAGACCAGGTCCATTTTGAATTTACCATCACCAGTATGGAAGCAGAGTGTGAGCAAGAACCTAGTTTTGGAGTGTATTGCAAGGTAATAATTAGACATTCAATCTATTAGACTTGCAGGTAATGGCAAAAACATTTTCTGGGTTACAAGCTATTAGAGTCTAAGGTTCTAAAGTTCCTTTTTTTAATTTAATTGTAATTAATTTTACAAGCAATCATATAAAATGGATAAGGCTGATCAGGAGCACAGTGTATTTGTATGGGTGAGTGCTGAGTGGGTTTATGCCTAGTGCACCAAACTTAGAATTGAGGATCACGCTTGAATATTTATTTATTTTGTATTTTTTATGCTTAAAACATAAATTTATATTATATACAAATATAACCCCTTACTTCATAAATATACAATAACCTCAATTAGACTCAAGTTCAAAATTTATAGTAAGTTACATGTATATCACACTTTTGGGTTATTTTACAAATAACACAAAATTAAATGTAATAAAAATTAAATTTAAATTAAATAATTTGACTGAGCTTTTACTATGTTTGTATGTTTATATAAATGCATTATTTAATGTTGGCTGATTTTATCTATGTTAATAAATTACTTCTCGAATGAGAAAGTGGTTTTTAATAATGACTTCTTTCAGGGTCTATTTCTAGAAGGAGCAAGATGGAATCGTGAGATAATGGAACTGGATGAGTCCTATCCTAAAATCCTGTTTGATACAATCCCAATTATTTGGTTTAAACCAGCTCTTATAGCAGATTTTAATCCTCCCCCTTCATATTTCTGTCCGATCTATAAGACCAGTGAGAGAAAGGGAGTTCTTGCTACAACTGGTCACTCAAGCAACTTTGTAATGTACATTACATTGCGTTCTGATGTACCACAGAAACATTGGATCAATCGGGGAGTGGCAAGTTTGACCCAACTTGATGATTAGTTTCAACAGCCAGTGATAAATATCTAGTCTTATTAATATATTTTTTTTATTTTTATGACTGATTTATTTTAGATGAGCCCTTTTTACTATTGATCAATATAAACATTAAAATTATCTTTATTTAAAATAGACGTCAGGGTTATCACTTTTAAGCTTTATCCGTGACTTAGAAAACTATAATGATATGAATTTCAAAAATTTGAATATTTACCTTGTTAATACTGTTTGATGTTTCTTCGTAGTCTGTATAATAAAAACGTAAATATAAAGTAGACCGGTCTTTTAACAATTCGACCGATGATTATTAAATGAATAATCTACAGTCCAAAATTTCCAAATATAAATAAAAAAGATATAGATTGTAGAATTAAAATAGAAAATTTACATATATTCTTGAGTTTTTCATTTAATTGTCTATAAACATAGACATTGGACTGACAAATGACAACCAAACTCCAAAGACGTATAATCTGACAAGCACCTACGAAAATAGAGTAAAAATATCTCGCGATTCTGTGAGTATCAAGTGCGTAAACTAATTATTCTATTGGAATATTAACAACAATTACAAAGTTTAAGGTTTTTACAAAATCAATGTTCTTGACCATTCCAACAATGTTTGTATAGTTTCATTCTTATATTGAATTATTAAATTAGTCTTTAAAAGACTAGCAAATTCACGTATTTATTCTTAGCCAAATTTCCTACTCATATATAAAAAATATAAGTACACAAGTTAAAACTGAAATGTTCAATTAAGGATTATGCAAAATCTTTTTCCCACAAGAAGTCTACGACTCTATTTCATGATCAAATCATGGTTGATAATGCCCGTAACACGTCTGCTAACACATGCTACAACTCTCGCAAATTTTATTTTTAAAATATATCACCAATTTTATCCGTCGAAGTTGTGTCGGTGGAGTCGGTGGCTCGACTAAGGATTCGACTGAACCCAGTTGCATTATCTATTATGTCGCAGTGAGTCTAAGTTGTTCGTATTAAATTTTCAAATGAAATTCTACTATATTACTTACATTACATTATAATTTATTTTTTTTAATCGTTAAATTATTAGGTAAGACCTAAAAATTTCAGACAGCTTAGGCCCCCTAATAAAAATAGCCATTGACCTAAAAACTGCGACGGGGACAATCAACATTTCGTAACAAACTTGTCTTTTTTCATAAAAATTTAAAGGTACTTTTTTAAATACTCTCCACTAATGCTTAATATCTGAGAAAAAACAAACGAAACATCAAGTTATTAGAGAATAAATTTAAGAAAACTGTGGATTTTTCTGAAATTATGGCATTATTTATATATATTATCTCTAAAGGTGAGACCTTTAGAGTAAAGTAAAATCCACGTAAAAGTACCAAATACGAATGCGTGTAACGAAACGAAAATGTCGATTCCAAAAACTTGTTTGTTGGGAATAGATGGCGCTCTATGATTGTAAACTGCGTATGGCGAATTGACGTTTTTGGTTATTTTTGTTCTCGCCTCGTGTTTACTTTAGTATCTAATTTCGATCCTATTGCGAAAATTTTGTTGTGCAATAACGACATTGTCAATATTTCGGTCTAAGACGGTCTCGCGATATAGTGCAATATCGATCCATGCTTCCGGACTAGATATATGTATACAATTTTATCACGTGGTGGTGTGATTTATATAATTCTTGTTTACCGCACAACTGGAAACTTTGCGCATGTGCGTTCCTTCAGTAACCTCAAACTATAGAGAGAACACCGATTCGGCAGGTTCCGGATATCCGGGTGACGGTGCGGCATCGTTTCTGTGAAATTGTGATGTGCTATCGCGGCGAGGGTGCGCGCCCCGCGTGTGTTTGTTGGTGATATCGGTACACGCCTGACATGGCTCAGACTCAGATCTCTCGGAGTTCGGAGAGCGACGCCTGGGCGCTTCTCTCGCTAAAGGCGCCGCCTTCGCCCTCAAAGGTACAGTGGGCTCAGGAGCCGGCTCCCATAGCAATCGCCCGTCTAGATGGCCGCGACTTTGAGTATCTCATCCGGCAGAAGAAAGTGATTATCGGTAGAAATTCTAGTCGAGGACAGGTCGATGTGAATATGGGTCACTCCAGTTTCATATCCCGGCGTCATTTGGAACTATTCTATGATCACCCGGAGTTCTACCTGACGTGTAACAGTAAGAACGGCGTGTTGGTGGACGGGGTGTTCCAGCGGAAGGGAGCCGCTGCGATGTTGCTACCAAAAAGGTCAGTACTCTATAGATAAGCTTAGAGGTCGTGATTACGCATTATTTATTAGCATTGTTTGTAAACAAAGTGTTATTGTTTATACCTACCCACCTGAATTTTTTTCTTTGTTTACACAAGTGCATATGCCCAATTTGGGTTTGTTGTTAGTCTTTGAAGGTGTTTACCTTCAAAGGTCAAAATAATGATACTGAAAAAAAAACAATTTATTTCAGTATTATTATTTTGCAATGCATAGAAAAACATTATTAATAATACAAAAACTACTTAAATAATAAAAAATATGTTATCAATATTTAGTGATTGTTAACATATTCACATTTGAAATGTTTCAAATTATATATAAATTGTTTTATATCCCCAGTAACATTATCATGCATTAAATTTTTATTATTACATACTCTATACTTTTTAATCTTTAATAATTGTATGAACTTCCATTTTTATCAATGTAAATATATATTTAGCCTATTTATAGCATATGGTTTGTTAATTACATGCTGGAGGTCATAAGGGTAATTCGAAAAGCAATAAATTTCTTGTAATTAATTAAAGGAGACCTCATCTATAGTCACTATTTAAGTTGGCAAGACCTCTTAGACAAGTAATAGTGATTTTTAGGTATTTTCTTCTACGTACATGATGTATTCTTTGGAAGGTTCTAAGTTAAAGATAATGTGAAATAGATACAGAAGCCCTGTTATAGGAATATTTCTTCAGATTAAGAATTTTATAAACATATAGTTTTTATAAAATTCTTCTCGTTCCAATAGTAAACTATGGGCAAAACCAACAGTTGATATAAATGTTTTGTAATTGAAAAATCTGCACAATCAGCCATATTTAAATAGACATGCAAATGTCAAAATCAGAAGTCAAGTCATTTATAAGTACTTGTTAAACTTATCTTCTAAATATTCTGTCACGCTATAAAAGCACCTTGTAATTAAGTTGGATGATGCAATACCCAGTACTCTTTAAAATATATTTATATTTTTAAGTTATATTAACTTAAAAGTAACATTTATCCTGTGAGCTAAATAAAAGTCAAATAAGACTGATTTTTACTTAGCAGTACTAGCATCATATTATAAGCATTTTTATCTATCATTTAAGTTGTTTTCTTGAATGCTTAGTAGGTCATATTCATACATTATTCATATCAAACTGCTTACTCTGATAAACATTTACAAGCATGTATGAGAAGCAAAATATATTATTATTATTTTAACACACCCGTTTATACCTATTACACACTATTAGGTGTAAGAGGTATAAATCTAATTAGATAAGTACTTGGTTTATTCAATACTGGGTATAATAACCTGTAAAACAATAATTGTTTTGGTTTTAAACGGCAATAGAATAGAACAGAAATGTGGCCTTACGCCACATTAGGTTCAACCACTCTAGGGTTAAAAATACCCTAATGTGATGATGATATAGATGTATGTATATATATATATATAATATGGAATATATGTAATGGTAACAATATTATAAAAATTAAACTTATAAACATAAACTAATAATAATAAAATAATATACATTGAAATAAATAACGAAACTTAACATAAACTAAAATATATCATTAAAAGGAGTCCCTTTAGGCAAAGGTTCCGAAGATACTGGCAGCGTTCCCCCTTTGAATTGCTAGACTAATTCTTTGTCCGAGGTAGCTGCCAGATCTTCGGTCTCCTGTGATGTCGACTAACCTTTTTGAAATTTCTTTAAAAAAGCCTTAAAGCGCTAGGGACCCCACGGACCAAGGGTCTCGACACCGAATGGGGACAAAATCATATTCAGAGCCCAGACCCCTGTATTTGCCTGCTTTATTTTTTTTCAGCCGCTTCACAAGCCGCACCAGCTCTGTAGTTGGTTCCATGTAGATGGGAAGGGGCCAGCGTGTCTGAACAGGTTGCATCCCATAAGTACCCGACCCATCTTCCATGGAATCAAACTCATACCGTCCGGTCTCTTGCCATCGTCTCTTGCAATACCACTTGGCTCAAGAAGACTTGGCAGTTGACGGTGGCAAGGGAACGGCGTATGATATCGTTAAGTGGGCATGTCTCGAGAAGCGGCCTGACTTTTTGGCATGACAGGCCGTGATGTCCTAACTTGTCGACATCACTGCCACAGGGACATATATGAGGAGCGCAGACCGGAACCCCAAGCCGTAGACAGGTTGCGATTCGAAGCGTGTCAGGCTCAAGAAAAGTTCCTGTATTTGACGATGGGTAAGGTGAAGCCAGTAGCCGGCCTCATGCGTGCCCACGGCCAAAAGCCTAGCACGCGCCGAACCCGTACTACGACTCAAAAGATCGTCAAAAGTCAACTTGCAGTGTATGTCATCCCAGCTCCTCTGTGAATTTAGAGATAATGGAAAATTTTGACCTGGGCATGCAATCAAGAAAGCGTTTTAGCTTCTTCCAAGCCAGCAATCTCAAAGTTTGAAGGGGATGCCTTAAAATTTTACTTATGAGATTTGCTGAACTATGGACAGAAGATAGAAAGGCTGGTAAAGCGACACTGAAATTTTGCGAATCCCTAAACCACCATAACGGATGGGTAGGGAAGCTTGGGTCAAGATTTCTGTTCAGCTGCATATTAAGAAGTATTTAAGCAAATATAAACAAGATAATTGATATTCTACTGTGAAGATAAACTAAATATTTTTTAATGTTTAAGGTTGGTTGTTAACTTATTGCCTAGTTTCTGTGACATATTTTTACTAGATGATATTGCAAATGTGATGAATTTTATTTGATAATAAGTACTATTGTGTCTATATCTAATAAGTTGATTTAGTTTTTACTCCAAAGCATGGAATAAATCTATAATGGTTAAACAGTACTATTTTGTATTCATTATTTGAATTGATGACGATATTTACACAATGAACGCGTCAATTGGAAATTCCGTTTGGTTATCTCCCTATTTCTCCCTATCTCCATATGTACACACGTTTATGTGTGACAATATTTAATTTGATTTTCACACATATATAAAGGTCAGGTCTGGTTAGCCAGGTTCACCTATTATTTAACTTTAAGAAATTATAACAGTTCTTTAAATTATGTTAAACCCGATTAACGATTTTAGACTAAATAAACGGAAAAAAGCACGTCACCGATCTACGGAGAAATGATTGCAGAATTTTAGCGTATTGAAAGCCAGTCGAAATAAGGCTGATTATTATTATTAGTCACGATAAACGTTCCACGAAATGCAATAGATGATTTGGCTGCGATTTCATTACTTCGATATTGGCATTAAATATCTTTCGGGTGAATCAGACTTTCGGGTGACTTTCACTGAAACAACGTGCCTTGTTCCGGCAATACAGTTTACGTCTTTATGCTGCTAATTTATATTATTAGCATTTATTTTGGTTTTTGTCCCTTGAATCGAAATCTAGAATTGTCCTAAAACGAGCTATTTATACCATAAACTAATTTGGAGAAATTTCCTGTCCATATTATGCTGCAAACGATATTAAAGTGTTAAGGTTCAGTAGATTTATTATTTACTATCGATTTTCAATAGGCGGTGGGCGATGCTTGTAAATATCTGCGCATAGCGACCTATTTTATTGATAAATTGTACTATTTAACCTATACACTGTAAGGCTTAAATTGCGCATGTTTACAAGTCTGTGTATGCGTCTATATGTTTTGTAGCGTCAAAATAATGCTCCCTAGTCTGGTTGTATTTTATCTACAATTGCCTGATTAAATGCGATAGGTATTCAAAATATTATTTTGGTAATGGTGACAAAAACCGTTATTATTTTATAATTACGTAGTAGGGTCGCGTGCTTCTTTGCAAATAATCGATTTTCGTGTTGCAGATAATTAAATGATATATTAATTAAAGTAATGAGCCGCGTTTGTTTCATCATGGAGGTGCGTGTAAAAGGCCGGTCACCACTAGTACGATGCGTGTTGCGCAACTGATGCGTTGATAAACAAAGTCCATCATCGTTAACGCAAAGTCGATAAATGACGCATGCTTATGTGATATAAGTATTAGTATTATTACATCTTTTTTCTTTTTTTTGCGACTTGAGGCGCAAACTAGCTGCTGTGGTCTCTGGCAGAACCACCAGCGCTATGGAACAGTCTTCTCCTCAGCATAATGCTGAGCCAGGGCCAATTACAGCCACAGCACACACGCATTACACACTTGAAACGAACCGAAAGGGAAAAGGGAAAAAAGTTTTTTGTTGTCTCTCATTAATTATTTTTTTCTTTGATTTTGTTAGTAATAAATGTTATGTCTATGTATATGATAAACATATATTGTTTTTTTATGAAGCAACTTATTAGTTATTTTATTTAATTTGAATTTTAACCTTGCGAAACTTTCGTAAAATAATATTTCATTTATAAATAAATTGCATGTCATTAAACAGCCGAGCACTAAAGTCATACAATAAGTTTGTTAGCGTCGCGAGGTGATAAAAAATCTATGCAGTATTTTTAGGACAGTTTACAATGCGGCGCCGGCTGGCTCATATCAACAAATGCCGAGGTATTGTCTCGTAGGTGCAACAGCGTGCTGTTTTTATAATCTAGGCCAAGCTTTGTCGCCGTCTCACTGTATAATGTATAATGGCTGTTGGTTGATTTTCCAACCTTATTGCTTGCGACATAAATAGATATATTCTATCTACTCCTATACATATTCCAACAAAAGGTGATAATAGTTATAATTTATAAGGTATAATTCATCCACGCTTGAGTTTATAACATTAAATTAATTATTGTCCCCCTTAGATCCTACGGGTTCGAGTTAGTTACGGTAGTATGCAAGAGCGACTCAGCCTCTCTAACGCTCTATACACCCGACGTGGTTTTAGTGGGTATTGCTCACCCCGTCTCTGAATAGCAGAGTTTCTGATGTGGGTCGAGTCCCACATACCCCTGCTACTTTCAAGGTCAGGAGGTGTGTAAATTCATTTCCACCACATATATAATATATTAATAATAAAAATGAGGATTCTAGTTCAAATAC